CGCAAACGCACTACGGGTCATGCCGCGTGCGGGGTAAAAAGGGTGTATAATTCCTCGTAAGTCGAGGTCGTCGCCGCCTCCCAGGGGCCGCCGTGCGGTTTGGCACCCGCGCTCCGGCGACCATCGCCAGGTATAGGAGTCCCACGTCTCCAGCTGATGAGCGTGGTGTCCTCAGATTGTTCATCCGTTTTCATCGGAGCATGGACATCCGACATACCCTATTGTGTGCGTGGCCATAGAGTCATAGGTACATGGTAGACTTCAACATTTCAGCAGTTTCAACCTTCAACAAAGTTGAGCGCATGATGCATCTTGAAGTTGAAGGTGCTCTCTGAGTCTATGCGCTCGCAGCTGTGGCTTCTGCCTTGAGCTTTGAGTTTTGAGCTAAGGTGGCTAACACAGCGATGAGACAACGTTGTACAGTAAACTCATGTAAGGTTGAGGAGCAGGTGGCAGTTCGTTTTGTCACGGTCTTGCACTATATGGGAGCGGGGAAGAGCCACTGACAAGATTCTTGCGTGGTCCTCAGAAGTGTGGTGCCATAGCTGCTGAATGACAGCTGCTGAATGTCAACAGCTGCAACTTAGGTGGACGCCCTTACGAGTTTCATTGCGGGTGCAAGCTTTCCTACGACAAGCAAAGTGAGGCTTCCACTACTGCACCATGTGCTCTGCACTTCTGCTGCAGATCTTGTTCAGTCTGCTCTTGCATTTTGTATGCTTCACATTCTGCCGGGGCCAGAGCTTCAGTTCCCAAACAAGGAGAACTTTGAGGTCCTTCTTATCATCCCGACACCCCAGCACGAGATTGCAGTAATCCTCGATGGCCAAATGGCTGCTATTGCATGGTGAGCTTCATGGGCAGCTGGGCAGGCCCTTCGCAGAGCCTTCATTGATGAATCGTCTTGCAATCAGCCTTTGGATGTACGATAAGCTTGTTTTTGACTCGCGAACGCTGCTGTTCCGTCCTGAAATCGAACTTGGCTGGGCACATTCCAAGTTGTTTGTGTCCTTGATTGCTGGACTTTTTTTGTATCCATGAACCTTGCCCACTCTTGGCTGCGGAAAGCTCAGAACTAACAGTAGTCCACCTTTTCTCTATTGCAGTTCATGCCACGCGCTTTCACTGAGCCTGCACGTTTGAAAGAGGGGCCCAAATCAGCTGGCCCCCTGAATCAAGCCCTTCAGACGCCCACTGAGTGCTCCGCTGAAACCTGTCCCAAATCCCAGCCCCCCTAGATTGCAAAGCCCCCCACCCCTCTGGCCACTCATATGGCGGAAGGTGCCTTCCCGCTTGGCAGACTGCCCCAGGGACGGCAGGCCCTTGGCCTGGGCCTAGTGATAGTGGCAGGGCTCCTGTATATTTCTGCGGGGTTCGCCATTCAGGTGATCATAGAGAGGGGCGCGTCGTCCTTCCTGGTGTCATACGTCTCATCATGCCTGTTCATTCTGCACCTCCCCTGTGCCATGCTCGCCCGCTGGTACCGGCAGGGGCATAACGCTGGCTTTTGGGAGCTTTCGCGCAAAGAGAAAAGCTCAGATGGTGGGGATTCTCCAGGGGCAGGGAGCCCTAGCCAATGGAGAAAACTGGCTTCGGTAGTTGAGGACGGGGAGGCAAATGGGTGTAATTGGAGTAGAGGGCTTCAGGAAAGTGCGGGAGGCCTCCAGTTGGAAGCGGCGGCGATTGATGAGAGGCGGGTAGGAAGTGAGAGAGAAGTGCACCCCCATGTAGGGGCCGCACTGCCATTTGCCCTCTTGGGCCCGGAAGAAAGTTCCGGGGACGTGGGTAGTAGGAGCGTGTCTGAACCGCAGACACCGATACTGTCCGTCTTAGAAGCTTGGAAGGCGCCCGCTTCTCCAAGCAAGTTAATTGAGTTAACGGCCCATGGGGGCCCCGTCAATGTCGCTGCAGTCAGGACCTTGTTCAGCACTCCAATCGGCAGCAAGTCGATGGCGGAAGAAACCTTAGGTAGGCAGGATGGAGCAGAACTTCAGAGCCTTCCGGAGCTGGGATTTCAACCTCAGAAGTCCTGGGGACTTGACAGCCAGGGGCAGGCCCCGTTACTGCCCGATGTAGAAGCGCAGGATGATGCATTGGACAGCACCGAACCGGTTGTGAGCGCATACCAGGGTTCGCTCAGGGGCCTGAGGCTGGGGCCCTTAGGTGCGGAGCATTGGGAGGCTGTGAAGATTGCGGCCGTGATTGGTCCGCTGTGGTTTATGGCACAGTACACATATACCTTGTCCCTGGGCCTGACCACCGTGTCTGTGAGTACTTCTTCCAATCAGATTCCTCGGAGTGGACGTAACTTCGCATTTCCCCTTGACTTTCTATTGTTCCCTCTATTTGCTTGTCCATTGTTTGCAGGACGTGCATCTTCTTGGTGGAGGGTCTGCTTGCAGTTCATACAGCAAGAGCCATCAGCGGTACTTTTGCTACTGTAGATCTTACGTTCTTCACAGCTTTGGAAGAGCGGAGGCTCACTAACTGCCAATCTTTGGAAGAGCGAAGGCTCGCTAACTGCCCTTGTTCCACCAGGGTTGGGACGTCTTTATCTGCTACTGACTTAGTACATATCTCCTCCTGTTTGGGTGCAGAGTAACACGATCATATTCTCTTCCACGAGCCTCTTTACTTTCCTGATCTCGGTCATCTGGCTGAAGGAGCCGTTCACGATCTTCAAGCTCGCCATGATCGTTTGCGCCATGCTGGGAACAGTGGTCGTCAGCATCTCGGACGTGGAGTCGTCTTCTGAGTCGGACGGCTCCCTTTCGATCCCTTCTGGGCCTGCCTTAGGCAACGGACTTGCCTTTGTGGCGGCCATAATCTACGCCTTCTATGGCACTAGTGTCGAATACACGATGCCAGACGAAACCGGGGAGGATCTTGACAGCTGTCCTAGCAAGCGGGGCAAGAAGCCGGTCAGCACGTCCCTGGTGTTTGGGTATATGGGTCTGCTCGCCGGTGTGTTTTTGCTGCCGTGCCTGTTGCTGCTTGCATGGACCGGGTTGGAGAACCTGCGTTGGATGGGGGCAAAAACGTTCGGGCTCTTGATCGTCAAAGGTGAGGAAATTGTCCCGTTTTCCCCAAGCAGAAGTACTCTTCTCGGTCCGTTTTTGGAAGGTCAGCATCACCGGTGTGTCTTTCAAGACGGCGGGGTCTTTGTCTGTTGTCAAAGTTCCTGTTCATTCAGCAAGGCTTTGGCAATCTGCACGAGTTTTTCACAGGGTCAGATTGCTTCAAGTTGGCTCCCTGGCCACAAACACAAAAGTCGCTCCTGCCTAAAGTCGTCCAATGTTCTTTCTAATGCAGGTATATTCGGAAACGTTGTCGCTGATTACCTGTGTGCAAGGGCTATGCTGCTAACAACCCCAACCGCAGCAAGCGTGGGCCTGGCGGTTCAAACACCGATTGCTATACTTGCCGAGCTTCTCATCTTTGGAATCGTTCCAAAGCCTCTGATGCTGGTTGGCGGCACGTTGGTTCTGTGCGGATTCTTAGGTATCAACCTCGACCTGGGGTCTCGAGGCTCAAAGTCCTGATTCTTTGCATTAGAAGGGCGCCTTTGTAGGAATGGTAACTTAATCGTCGTTCCTTGCGCATCTGGAGCAGCCACGTTGCGGTATGTGCAATGTAGTCGCATGACATGAAAGTCGACGGCAGATGAGGCGGCGCAACAAATAATGGTTCTGAATCGTCAAACTTAACATACTGCAACTTACTGAGTTATCTTTAGGTTTGTGTTTTTCATGCAAGAGATTCGTGAATCAGGCAGCAAGCCAGGTAATCTGGTCCCGTCCTTCATTTGCACCTTCGTCAAGATCTGGCCACCGCGCCAAACCATTTTTTATATTGCTTTGTCGAAAATTGCAAGATAAATGTGCGTGCATGAACTAGCTCACAATTCCATTGTCCTATGATCATTTAAATGGTGCTGGGCATGCATCCGATCATTTCCACGTGCGTGTCGAGTGAGCTTTGAAGAAAAGCTACAATTGAGCATGGCCGGCATGATGCATATGTATGTACCAAAACACCGCATCCATGCTGGCATATGCACCTTCTGCGGTCTACATTCCGATCCCAAATCGCCAGCCGCCGTCCGCTAGTTAGTGCCAATCCTAGTTCCAACATTGAGTCGATCTGCTGGCCCGTAGTCTTGTAAAGTTGCAGCAATTTTGCTAGCATAGCTAGACTGCATTGACCATGAATAACGTTGCGAGGAGCTGGGTTTGGACTAATCATCGTAGCACACGGAGATTCAGACGGTAGGGTAGCGCGAGGCATTCAGAACTCTAACACAAACCTGCATGTATGCCATGGAGCCTATGGCCCATGTAGCTTGCACGGTGAATTGAAAAGAGAACATCATTATCGTTTCATGTGGATCTCGCACATGGCGGCCAATGTGGAGAGCTCATCATCGAAAGTCCTACTACTAGCGTGCATGCATGCGGATCCCAAATTAAGCATGCACTGTACCACATCCGCGAGTAAGCTGCCTTAAACATGACCGTCTAGCCAGGTTTCTACATACCGTGAAGTTACTTCCTTTGAGAGCTTGCCATGAACTGCTGGGGTGCGTCAGTCTGCCAGCACGCCAGCTTGCCTGTCACTGTACAAGATCAGTATAACCGGACAGGCTTTCGAGTTGCGCGTAAGCCACTGGTATAGAAGCTGATTTTACAGCTGTGCGATCTCGCATCGATCAGGTGCACGTGACCATGCATAATGAATGCCACGGTGCACGTTGCACTTACCACACAACGTAACGTACAACGAGGAGCTTTCGTAGGCTCCGTTCTACCCAGCTTACCGCGGTATCACTAGCAACTTGACTCCTATTTTGCAGTACTTGTAGCATCAAAATGTATTCAGAGTTTAGTCCCAAGACCGGTTAGCTCATATCGTTGCACTTATTGGAGCTTACTCACAAAGCAACGCTTAAGTTACAGTGGGGACGGTTAGGGCAGTACGAGGACGACTGCATTTGGCTGTTCATTATTCACCAATGTCAAGCCGAATGATCAAGCATCAAGTGGCTCGACGCCCTCTCCCTGAGGCGGAGCAATCCCATCCCTCTTCCACATTTGATACACGCTCGGCGACCAGTGAGCGCCGTACAGATCCCACAGCTCCTTCTTCAAGTAGTCGGTTCCTTTGAGGAGCCTCCGGCACCGCTTCGTCTCGCACAAGCATGGCATGTCCTTGATGTTGCTCAAATACACAATAGGAGACGAGTTCGCCGCGGTGGCGTAATCGAGGAGAATAGCGTCCCCGACTTTGAGGTCGCGGCGCGCCACCATGGTCCAGTCATCGGGCAGAAACCTGCACGAATGTTTGACGGTGTTAGTGACTCTCAGAGCTTTGAATATGACGCTATGAGACGATCTTCAAGAGAAGTGGGAAGATCTTAGGCAGCTCCTGGTTCATCAGTTCTCGATTCAACGACAGGTAAAACGCTGAAAATACCAGCAGATGTCAGAACCAGCAGTCGAAGAGGCTCATCTGCGCAGTCGCTTCTTATGTCCTGGCTCGCTCATGTAGGCCTCGAAAGAAGGTCGATTCAACAACTTATCCAGTAAGCAAATTCAACTTGCCAACCCCAGTAAGTTGTACGGATCTCTCGTATTCTGCAATCAAAGGTTTACAAGCGTTTCTTTGGTGTGTCGTGAAACAATAAAACCTTCACTTTTCTGAAATGCTCGCGGCACTGAGGAAGTCAGCCCTGCTCACCAGATGGTGGGGTCGCAGCTGTGGTTCATGAACGCCGCAAAGTCCTCGGGCACCCCGTCCTCGCGCACCGTCGCCGCCTGGAACTCGAAGTCGGAGATCTGCACCGTCCAGTGCATGAACTCCTCGCGCTTCTCCACCGGCCACGACAGCAGCTCGTCGGCCGTCACGATTGTGCCCTTCCGCTCGCGGAGGTAGTGCCCGGTGAAGACGACCGCACCCTTTGGGATGGGGGCTTTCACGACCAGTTCTTTCTCCCCGGGGAACTGCTTGCTCTCGGCGATCCAGACGTCGGGGTTGAGGCCCTCGTAGCCTGGGTCGCGCTGCTCGTTCTGCAAGGCACAGAGAGTTGTACTATGTGCTTCAAGAGATTGGCTAGACTTGTAGACTTGTATCTGAGAGCCTGAAGCCTTTGTCCTGCAGCGCTGTGTTGTGATTTTTGGAGAGGTTGGGTAAGCTCTGGTTAAGTGCCATATCCATTGAAACGCATTACGAGGTCCTGAGTAAGACACTAAGCTGACTTCTCCTCAAAGATTTCATGGCGATTGGCTGGCTGATGGGCTCACCTAAGGCTTTTAGAATGATTAGTGCTCCTTCCTGAGGCCCAGGTTGATTTGGTGGAAGATTGACAGTTACTGTAAAAGTATTTGGTCTCCAAAGCTGCTAGGTTTGTAGCAATCAGCCGTCAGGGTGACGCAAGGAACCATTTTAGAAGATTAGTGGCAGACGCAACGCCAGATTCTGCAAACATTGGAGGATACTCCTCCTCTCATCACCCATTGCTGCATTATTGAGGTGTAATGATAACTGGAAAGCTCAACCTCCAAGAACAATGACCAGACAGTGGCGGCCTTGATCAGGAAGACTGCACGACTGGCATGCATAACTAGTTGCTTTCTCAAGTAATGGTGAAGCCATCACTTCGCACAATGCCATGCCAGAGTCGCAAACCAGCACATGTTTGAGGATAGCCTCCAACAGGAAGGCAATAAGTTCAGGCTGTTCCCTTTGACAACGCACTGAAAGGACATGGGATGTGAACCATCTGACAAATCATGAAGGTGGCAGAGCGCTGTCTGGGAAAGCTGCCCATCACTTGCAAGTAAATACTCACCCTGGACCAGTCAATAACATAGGAGGAGGCTGCTGCAGACACAAGGAAAGCATAGGTTAGAAGCTTGTTGTGTCAAAGAATGGGGACACGGTCTTGAGTTTCTGTGACCAGAATGCTGAAGTGTTGCAACAGGATGCTGTCTTGCGCAACTTAGAATGGCAGAAGAACTTCATTGGCTAAGATATTGTGTGTAAGAAAAGGTGAGGAAAATGTAGGGAGATCCTCATACAGGCAGTAGTATCCTATTGAACCCCTGTAGTCGGGCTTTCACACCTGCATTTTCATCCCTTAATCAAGGTACGTGAGCTACCTAGAATGCCCGATGTACATGGAATAGAAATGCTCATAATTGCCCCGCTTGGGACCCCCAATCCACCAAGAATGCTGTCGAAACGTTCTAGAAGAAATGCCATAGAAGGCATTCAAAGCGGCCACTCAATGAGTAGATCTGTTGCGCGCGTCTAAGTGCCAGCTGGCTACAGATTTGGGGGCATTGTGACAGCCAAAGAGCATTTGAGAATGATGCAGACAAAACAGATTAGCGGGAAGAGGGTCCACAGACGGAAATTGCAAAATGGTGCACAGGCAAAACATGGCAAACGGCAGGCCCAGAAACACCTGACATAATCATATGCTGTTGGAAGCATGGTCTTACTCCCATCTGCCTGCGCCATCGCTCCTGATTGGCGTTCCTTCCCTTGACCTTCTGAGTTGCCCCGAAACTTGTGCAGCTGTTCACCTGGTTTGCTGAGCGCCTCAATGCTAAACCGTGGACGTGTTTGTTTACCAATTGAGCTTGCCAACGGCCACAACTTCAAGAGACATCTGGAGTCAGAACTTAGCGGCTGCTTAGGACCAGATCGTCCTCGCGATAAGAAGAGACCACGATCGAAAGTCGTATGAAGCTACACACACCCATGGGGAGTCCTGCTCTCAGCTGCCTGCTCTTAGCCTTGGGTTACCCTGTGCTCAATTATGCAAAGCAACTAGCTGACCTCCTGTGATGGGGAATTATGGGACCAATGTCAGGGATCTGTCAGGGGATCCCTTCAATCCAGGTGAGATCTGCGTGCCAAGTCAAAACCGTCGGATGACCAGAGCAGCCAATTGAACGGTGACGATGTACGCGAAAATTGCACGGAAGCAGTACTTACTACTGCGGCATTGAATGAGCCATATAACGGCCTCTTGAGCTGCCCATAGGGGATAGTATCAATCCCGGCCCTAGCATACGCGCCCTGAGTCCCAGCCCGCGCTTACACACTTGAGACACTGAGACCATGCAGAATTAGGTACACATCCAAAAATTCATGCATCTCAGATGCAACTTTACATGTAGAGCCTGCGGCTATGCATATTTCCATTGAAACTTCCAACTCGTGCTCGCTAAAACAACTGTAAAACGAACACATGCCGCGGAGAGATGATCTCAGTTTTCAGATTGGAGGCAAGCTACTGTCCAAAGAGCTACCGCCAACATTGATTGCAACTTGGGATTTGTACTTTTTGGCGAGTTGACTGATGGCCTGAGTTAATCATGTCATGCTATCTAGGAGAGCTATGCATGATGTGTTCACGGCCTTTATTCCATCACCCAGCTGAAAATTGTTCAATCGGGTCAAACTTGCAGGCCTTGCTTTCAAGTACGCTGTTACATTCTTCAGCAGCGCTTGCTTGGACTTCCATAATTGTCGGTTTATCCGAAGCAAGTCCTAAAGATGTCCCCAGACCCGTGACGATGTCCACAGACGGGTTCGCCATACTTGACAATTTGCTACATTCTAAAGCATGACTTCCTAGACTTTCTATATAGATTGACACTAGCTTGCCATTGGACGAAGTGCCCGGAACTGTGGCCGGGAGGATGTCGTCCGTGGCTTCGCAGGAGGTTCCGGGGCGGCTACGTCACTACTATGTACATCACTCGCACTTGAACCCCATTCCGTTCCCAACTCCAACCCAGACGTCTGCATCAAGTCTGACCCTACCCTCCTTCCATTCTCGAAGTCTCCCCCGGTCTTCCGATTGAACCCCAAACCCTCCAACCGAAGCGTGACCGTTGGCACCTTCGGCAGGTCGTTCTCCTTATCGCTGCTCTGCCTGCCACCCACGCTCGCCGCCAAGTGCTTCTCCCGTGTCGACGGCTTTCTAGCCGGAGCCGCCACGGCCGGCGGATGCGGGACGAGAGCCGCTTCTTGGAGCCCGAACGGATCCGAGGTGTTGTTTCTTCTCGGCAGGCTGTCTCTTCTGAAAAGCCTCCCCGCTCGCGTGTCCAATCGGTGGGCGGCAGCCCCGAAGTCGCCCTGCGACCCAACCCTTCGACCGCTTGCCACGGTCCCGACCATTTTCCTTGACACTTCGTGTGCGCTCGCAAAGTGGGGGCTGGAGGGAGAAGGCCCCCGGGGGTTCACCGGAGGCGTAGGCACACCGGTCTTGGGCGACACGACCCGAGGAGAGGGCGGTTTTGAGCGCGGCCCTTGGGGGCTACACGGAACCAGCTTAGGGGATCCCCGCCAGGCGCCCTGCCGTCCCTGGGGGCTAGACCGCTCTGCAAAGCCGTCAGTCCTCGACGCCCCCCCCGAGCTCTCCATCAGCGGCGGCTCCGGGCTGAAAGTATCGGCGCTCGTGCGCGAGGCGGACCTGGACTCGCTGACGCTTCCGTGCCGCCAACCGTCAAAGTCCTCCTCACCGAAACCCTCAACTACCACCTCCTGCGCGATTTCAAGTGGCACCATGCCCCAAGCGCCAGATCCGGACCTCCCGTCAACAGTATATGCGCGTCCGTTCTGCTCGGGGATCCGTCCGTCGCTCGGGATGTTTTCCGCCCCCTCCCCTTCGACCCATCGCCCGTTCATTGTGCGGATCTGAGGAGCTCCGGCAGCAGTGACGGGCCAACTGCTCCGGAGCGCTTTCTCGTCATAACTGCTTGCCCGCGCCAACTCGGCATAGCCCAACTGGAACGAAGCTTCAGCCCCTTCCACGGTCACTTCTCTCCCTGTTCCTTGACCCAGGTTGTTTAAACTGCCCACCTCTGTCAACTCAGGCGGTGCGCTTCCTTGCAGTTGCTCTTCGACTCCATATCCCATGTGTTTCTCCTCCGTTGCCAGCCCCAGAAACTCCTCCATTTCTTCGCTCCCGCTCTCCTTCTCTTCCCGTTTTGCTTCCCCCCCGCCCCAGGCCTTTTGCTGCCCTACACCATCTCCCAAAACGAAAGCGACCCTAGCACTTCCCACCCCCATTGTGCTCCCATTACTTCTGCCTTCCGCCTCGCTGCTGCTGAGTTTATCCTGCTTGACTCGTAAGAACTCCGGGACTCCAACCTCCCCCTGCAGTACCTCCACGCATTGCTCTTCCACCGCTCCCGCATCTCCCTCAACAGCACTCTCTTGCTGATCAAACCCGTCACCCTCTCCCGACTTCAAAACCGCGTCCTCCGACCCACCAAAACCACTTTGTTCAGTTACTTCTCGCTCAGACGACCTCGCCTCTGTTGATCCCTCAGGCCCCGGCTTCCGCCCTGCACCCACGCCCTCGCCAGGCGGGCTGCCTGAATCCCGCTCACTCTCAACGGGGCTATCACAGGACCGCTTATCTCCATCCCTAATCCTCCTCTTGAGCGGGCTCTCCGGCACATTCGGCGACACAAAGAACTCGCCAAACCCACCTTGCGCTGACTCGAGGCCTGCGCACGCGTCGACCATCTCTTCGACGATTACTTCCACCTCCTTTCTTTGTCCCCTCCGCTTTCGCCGGATGCCTGGCGAGCCCCCCTCGCTTTCCGCCTCAGGGGAACTGGCGCTCAAAACGGCCAGCGGGCTCGTATCAAACTCGAAGCTAGAATCAGCCCCGCTCTCGCTATCTCCGCAACAAGGCCCCGCATCGCCATCCATGTCGCTAACGTCTCTTGGCTCCGCCCAGGCATCCAGCGAGGCCCCCCTGTGAAGCCGCTTCACCTTAGCCTCGCCACCCGCCCCTTCGCTGACATCATGCTGGTGCGAGCTCTGACCCGTCGCCAACTCCTCTTTTGTCTCCCTCCCAATTGCCTTTCCTTGTTCTTTCGATGTGTAATGCTCCACCTGTAGCTGTCCCTCCGAAAAGATACCCTCTTGACTGACTTCTCTTCCCACCGGCTGCTTGAACTGCCCTCCTCTGACGGCTTCTGGGGAGGGTGACGTGGCGGGCTCCTCTGGGAGGCCCTGTTCTCTGCGGAGGCGCTCCAAGTAGCGCCCATCCAGGGCCAGGAACGCCGCCTGCTGCTGCGCGACAAGGCCCGAGAGGTGCTCCACCTGGACCTGCCGCAGCTCAATCTGGAAAAAGCGAAGTTGCTCAGAAGCTCACACAACAGAAGTTGGTGGGAATCTGCTTGTGTCTCTTATCAACGAGACCCAGAAGCTTCAGAGCTTGTCACTGCTTTCTCTGCCGCCCCTGCAACCTCGACTGGAATGGCTACATGATGTTGGACGTTTATGATTTCCTTCCATTCGAATAAAACTAAAATGAGCAGAACTGTTGAAACACTCACTGGTTACCTTGTTTTTTCCCCCACAAATCCCTCTTCGAGCCCAGCACAAAGTATGACTCTCTCCATATGCCAAGTTCGTTACAGACAACTGAGAAAAGAAGCATCAGCGAGATCTCTGAGACTCAGAAAAGAATGCACACAAATGTCCATGTGCGCTGACACATTGTGCCCCTAATCAGTCATAGGGTCCTTGTACAATTCTCAAGGACGAGCGATCCAGGAGTTGATGACCAAGTCAAACCTGACTTAATCAACCATTGTATATAACGGACTGCAAAACTGAAAAGACATTCATCCACAAACGTAGCTGAGAAGCTGAGACATGGTCAACCGGCTGAAATATGATGAAACCATTGGGGACACAATCCACCTGGTTTGCCCCTCTGCTCTTGCTCAAGTCCAATTGTTGAATTGCTGAGTCTGCACTGCAGTTCATAGAACATGCTGGAATCAGGAAAAGAAATTTGGGATGGCGCTCAAAGTGCTCATCACAGCAGAAAGTCCGCAAACCAGCAAAGCAGACAAAACCACACAAACCCCACCACAAGAACCAGTGTCAAACCAGCACCCACCTGTTTCAGGAGCAACGCCAGCTGTGCCATCAACCGCTCCTCATTCCTCCCCATCCTTGTTGCTGCCACCTCCGCCTCCCTCGCCCTCTGCTCTGCCTGCTCCCAGTACTTTCGCATGGCGTCAAGCGCCCCGGCCGACGCTGAGCACTGCAGGCAGCTTGCCACCCCCCCCCAGCTCATGACACCGGCACTAGGACCCCCTGACTTGCTCTCTGAAGCAGTACAAATGTGCACAGCGGCTGCGTGCTGGTCCAATGGCACAGAGATGCTCAGTTTGCTGGGGACACTCGTGACAACCACGCTCGCCCTGCCAACTGTTGACAGCTGCTTCAAAGGAGACTCCCCCGGTTCTCCTCCGCCAACGTAACCAGCTGTGGTATCCAACTTTTCGGCGTGGGAAGTTCTAATGGGCTCCCTACTGGGGCTCTGGTGCAACAGAGCGTTCCAGAGAGGTGTGCCTGCAGGAATTGGCTCACATTCTGTGCTGGACGGACTTGATGACAATCCTGAATGGGGCCTCTCTGGGGATAGCCCATCGCCCCTTTCTCTGATCTCAACTGTCAACCGGCAGGGGCCACCTTTTCCTGCTAAAACACCCTCCCTTCCTACAATCTGCTTTGTATGCACCCCCACCCTTGTTGGGGGCGTCTCCACCCTTTCCAAACCATGATTTTCAGCACTTTGGAATGCTTTACCTGCACCCTGGCTTGGAAGAGATGCGCCAGATTCACTTTCTAAGGCAACCATCTCAGCAGGGGCGACCTGGTTTGCTCGCTTGCTCGAAAGGACGCCCTTCCAAGCGGCAGGGGCAAAGCAACAAGCGGGGAGAACTGGACTCTGCTGCGCTGAGTCCATGGGAAGAGACCCATGTGCTGCACAGTATGCAGATTCAGGAAAAAGCTACCGATATTAGCTCGATATTAGAGGAAACCGCATGGTCATTCAATCGTAGACTTCGCTTGACATCTTCCTGGATCCCCCGCAAGCGTCTCGACTCCTGCGAGTGCCGCCCTTCTGAAGCCCCCAAGCTAGGTAAAATTCAACCTGTTCTCTTTTTGGAAACTTTTCCTTCATTGCAATTTGCACTGGCAGAAAATATCTTCATGTTGTGCGCCATGCTGTCACTTTTGGTCAACAGATTTCTAGGCAGGTGATACCTGTGGTCCTGTGGCGTCGGGCGTGGGCACGAAATTAGGGTTTGGTGATCATGAAGTCGACCCGTTGATAGCCGTTGCCCGCGCGTAGGGGGGGTGCTAGTTCAAGACTCCGGTTTGCGTGCATTCCAGGCGTCCGTATCAATGATCGAACGGATCTTGTATCTTGGCTACGTAATACCCGGGGGCGTGGGTCTATGCTACTCAAGGAGTCAAACAGACTTCAAACTGCCTTCTCAGAAAAGCACTGCTGGCACCAGCCTCCAGGTGGCCCCTGCCGCCCTAGCCTGCCTAGGCACTTGCGTGCTTAGAAGTTAGAAGTGTGGCTTCGGAATGGTAGTGCTGTGGCGCCCCTTCACTGCTTCAGCGTTCGATACATTCTTAGGAGCCTCCGCTACATGTGACTAAAGATTACAGGAGCAGTGCCAACAATGGAGGCAGCAATGCTGGGTGTCAGCTTGGGCTGCACTTACGCGTTCTCCAGAGGCGCTTCACTTGGGCAGGCATCTACTCTGTTGGCCCCAAACAGGCCTGGTGGATTGCGTGGTCAACCGTTCAGCATTCAACAGAATCTCTTAAGTGAAGGGCTAGGCAGGCACCATAGGCACTTACCTACAGTGGTCGTTCCTGGCAACATTCGCTGTTCAACTGGTGGCCAGCATACGGCTGTCGCGGGAGAAAGAGCTGGGGCAACGTTATTATCGCAGGAATGGTCGCAGAACGTTGATGCACTTGGGGATGCAGGTGCGCTGGTCGTTTGGAAAGGGCACAAGGAGGGGTCTCAGATTAGGGTTTCCTGTGCTGCAACCTGTTTCTGTGGCGATGGAGGTGGTGGTTATTATTTGTTTATGTTGGGCTTGCTATCTGATCTCCTTTCCATCTTTCAGTCATTTTCGCTGGTGGTTGCAGACGAGATTTACAAAACCGCCTGCGGTGGTTCTGGTGGTAATGGTGCAGATTTTAGGGTTCCACAGCGCTGTATTGGATGGTTTCAGACAAGATCCTCTGCGCCGTGCTTGTCATTTTGTAAGGAAAAAGGAGAGAAGCACCGGCAGGCATCATTGTCTCCCCTGTCACCTTGTAACCCACTTTGACCAACCATCATCTCGTAGTCTCTGCCGCGCAGGACTGAAAAAGTCGGGCTGAGGCGTCTAGGCTTCTTTTTTTTTGCCTCAGCCTTCAAGCTGAGCATCAACTAACCAGTCATCTCTTGTGCGTTCCGGAATGTAAACTTGCCCTTTTGTTGCCACAGGTCTATCGTCCCCTGGCGAAGACATTCTCAAAAGTTTACCCCCCGTGACAAATGTGGGCGACCTACGTGAGGCCGCACGGTTGTTCGCCGAGGGAAAGTTTGATGGGTTGCTCCCAACCAAACCAGGGGCCATTCCAGCCAAAGTCAAGAGGTCCGGCGCTCCGTACCCAAAGGCAAAGCCTGCCGGCCCTGCCAAAGATGGTGCAACGGAGAAGGGCGCCCGAGACTACACAAAAAGGAACAGCCGGATCTCGTCAAATGATGAGGGGGTGGTGCAGTCTGGGGAGAAAGAATCTAAGGTCGAGGACGCAATCAGAGACGGCCCGAGCGGGGCAGCTCCGGCGAACACTGTGCTTGACTGTCAGCACTTCGAAAGGTGAGGGCATCCTTATGATGTTCTTTCGCTCATCAGAAGCAGATTCAAGTACTGTACATAGGTCCGTGACCTGTTAAGACGATGTCCTGCATCCTGTTCACCATCCGAAGCTACTTTTCTTTGGACAGACGAGACAGTCGCTCCTTGAGGAGCACTACAGAGCGGCAAGAGCAACCGCTAACCTTAAAAATGCACTGCATACAGGGTAGATTCGCTTAGGAGCTTTGATGAGGCGTCTTTCCAGAGCGCATGACGGGCGATGCTGTCCATTTGAAGAAAAGAAAACATAATCTCAAATCACCGACCGGCGTTGTTGTTCTGCAGGTGTTCTGGCTGTGTCCTAGACATCGGTCTTGACAAGCCCCCTGTCCTAACCGATGCTACTCGGTTCTTCGGGCGGCATGGAGTGCGGGAGTTTCAGCTCGACACTGGGGACATTGTAAGTTGCTACTGCTGGACGTGGGACACATGTCAGAAGACGCAGCGTGAACAAAAAGTACGACGGTAGTTCACTTGTTTTGTTGCACTCAGAAGAGTCCTTTGCGCCAACCTTTCTCGAGAATAAAGAATTGCATCTCTGATAGGTTGAGTGAACTCGCGGAAGCGAGTGGCGCAACACGATTCCAGGAAGAGATGGCAGAACAAGAGCTGAAGGAGCGCATTCTGCCTGGTATATCGAGTGAACCGGTTTTTGTGATGCTAATGCGCAGTGGGGGTGGCGGTGTCGCGCCCGGCTGGCTGTCCGGGGCACGGTCGGAAACCCGCAGATTGGGCTGTATCAGGAGGGCAGTCACGCAGTCACGGACATACCAAACTGCCGGTGAGTGCACCCGTCCATACTAAAGTTGACGGATTGTGCTTGGGCTTTGGAATCTACACCCGATTATGTTTGCTTGGTTGAGCTGTGGCTCCTTTCTGCCAATAGGCATAGTTGTGGCGCTGGTCTCAGAAGGGGCTCAGAAGCGTACGAACACTCTCACCTCCACCCTCCAGATTCCTGCCGCACAATGCCATTGTCAACTTCGTTAAGAACTCATGGTCAGACCCCGAAAACCCGCAGAACAATGAGAACACTTGTACTAATCAAGTGCCCCGCTTCAGTCATTACAAAGCGCACACTGATCAGGATTCAATCCAAGCAATGCCGCGTTGACTTCGTCAAAGCAATGATTGTCAAGTTCGCAAATCATGCCGCTCAACGAGTAAACGGTGTCCCCAAAATGCCTTCCGAAAACCTCAACCGCTAAAGTTATAAATGTAGCAAACCTATCCAGGGCGCACCACCCGGCCGTCAACGCCGCTGTCGACCTCGCGAAAGGTGTCATGGTCCTCCTGATCATGCCTCACGGCGAAGAGTCGGTCGTCAGAAATTTTGGTTCCTGTCATTGCCTGCAACTGCTCACAATGTTATCTCTTCTCTACTCATCAAGTTATCAGGGGCCACCACCCGGCCATCAATGCTGCCGTTGACCTTGCAACGAAATCATGGTCAAGCTCCAGCTTTTGCCGTATGATGAGGATACGCTCTCCCTGAAATGTGCCTCCTGAAACCTTTCTCAAGTGCTCACATCCTGCTTTTTCTGAAACCCGTCCAGGGCACCACCCGGCCAGAAATGCCGCTGTCGATCTCGTCAAAGACGTCATGGTCAAGCTCCAGATCATGCCGTACGACGAGGAGACTCTTGCTTCCTCATATTCTCTGAATTTGAATCTAAATACATGTTCTTGCTCGTTACGTGATCAGAGCCCACAACCCGGCCATCGACGCAGCGGTCGACCTCGTCAAGGACGTCATGGTCAAGCTCCAGCTTTTGCCGCACGATGAAGATACGCTCTCCCCGAGATTGCCTCCTAAAACCTTTCTCAAGTGCTCAAATCCTGGTCTGTCTGACACTCGTCCAGGGCACACCACCCGGCCATCAACGCCGCCGTCGACCTCGTGAGAGACGGTATGGTCAAGCTCCAGATAGTGCCATACGATGAAGATACTTCCAAATTCTCTTCGAGATCCGAAACCCAATACTCGTTTTTGCTCGTCATATGATCAGGGCCCACCACCCGGCCATCAACGCGGCGGTCGACCTCGTGAAAGACGTCATGGTCAAGCTCCAGATTATGCCGTACGACGAGGAGACGGGCGAGGGCGAGTTGCGGTACATCCAGGCGGTGGTGACGACCCAGCACGACACGGCCATTCCCGTCGGCGAACGCTATCCGCGCGCCAAGGTCCAGCTGTCGCTCGTGTGGAACGCGTGCGACGAGAAGGCGCCGGCCGCGGAGCTGCTCCCGGAGTTTGCCGAAGTGGGCTGCGGATATGTTGTGTTTATGAAGTGCTATGCGTACTTTTCAAGGCTTGCTTTGTTTCGTTGATTAAGCGCGGCGGGAACGTGCCCGCTGCGGAGCGGCTCGCCGAGTTCGCCGAAATGGAAGCCAGTGTCTTTGATGCACTCTTACACACAGATAAGGTCTGCCTGTTTGCACTCTGTATCTGCGAGCCTGCCCGCTTGGAAACATGTCTATTCAATCCTGCAAGCCGCAACACGAACGGGTACCCGTCCGTCAGACGTGCCTAAGCTCTGTTGATCTTACCAAGGCAGCACGCCTGCGAGTCGGACCGGAGACAGTTGCCTTTCAAATCTTCCACTTTTCTCTGTTTTCGTAGAACTTTTGCGCTGAATATGGTGAGTCGTGGTAGAGTGCCCGAACGGCAGATCATCCTGTACAGACGCTGGAGTCAGGCCATACAACAGTCATCTGGAAAGAGCTCCAACCTATCCCATCTTCCTTCACAGACGCTGTGGCGGTTCGGGGGTGGTCGTAGCCCCGATGCGGTGCTTCACTCGGTGTGGGCCAACTACCAGACGACGCGGAGCAACATCATTCTCGGAAACAGGTGGCGGCACATGCACGGAGATCCGGAGGTGTGGGAGCGGCTTGGAGGGGTGGACCTAGCATTTACGCCTGCGTCATTTGGGCAGGCGAACCTTCAGGTGATACGTGCATCAACACCTTGAAATGCAAGAGTTCCTCGGATTTGCAGGTTGTGTTCGAGGCTCCTATCGAAAAGAATGACTAGGACACTGTTGGTGGCCTGCAAGTGCAGAGAGGAGTCTTTGCTGTAGACTGACAGGCAAGAAAAATTCTAGCCAAACTGTTGAAAACGAAAGCGCGCAAGTGATACGATGTTGCATGTGGATGATCATCCCCAGCTCAGCAGAAAAGTTGTAGAATCCTATTTCGTCGCCCCAATTTGTCCCAACATCATGTCCAGGATTAGCGAGGACCGGTGAGAATGGAGATTGCGTCTTTTAGTAGGAGCTTGTATCACTCGTGGTGGTCAATCAAAAGAACTCTCACGAATGGTCGATTCGTGATGCAGTCATCACATTGAAGGCAAAAGCTGTCGGTTATTAGTTGTGGCTTTGCACTGTATCAAGAAACTGAGTCCAGTTCATTCACTTTCAGAATCGACGTTGTAAGAGATTCTTCGATCGCAAAATCTGAGCAGCCCCTTCGCTCCCGAGCTTTCTTACCGGCGATTTGACTCTGTTGGGAGTTCCCCTGCAGATGTTCGACCGGCTGCTGCTGAAGCTCCAGAAAGCCGTCAAGAAGGGGAGCAGTGTCACCGAGCTCTATGCGGGAGCCGGCGCTATTGGGCTGAGCGTGGCGGCAACCCGTCAGTGCAAGTACGCCCCCTGATGCGCTTTCTTGACGGTGTTTTCTTGCTTTCCTGGGTTTCATTGTCCGGGCTTTTGGACCCGGTGTGTCCGTTTTAAGTCATGAGCGACTCTTGCCTGGTCGTACATTTTGCTTCGCGTGGCCTCTGCTCGATTCTCATGAGAAGATGGTTCTCGGAGAGGCTGTCGCTGGAGCGTCGCCTTTTCAGAGGCCGCTGGATTTTGTTGTTCACACGTTCATTTACTTACGTTCTCCCTACCTACTTGTGTTAGCGCAGCCATCCGGGTCTGGCGACTCCCGACGCCTTGGAATGTAACTTGGGCCCCCTGGTCTTTTCAAGTCAAATCCCGTTCCGGTAGCATTTTGGAATTGCGCTTCCGGGAAAAGAGTGTACACAGATATTCATATCTGTTTCTGTTCCCGCAGGCACGTCCGGTGCGTGGAGGTGAACGCCGCCTCCAAAGCTCCCTTCCAGCAGTCGCTTGCCCGGCTGCCCGCCAGCGTGGCCACTGAGATCAGCTGGGTCTGTGCTGATGCAGCCGACGTAAGCGTTCCGGACTCTCGATTTCGATTTGCTTACCTGCTTCAAGCATACTACGGTGCATCTAATTTTCTGGTGTAGGATGCGGTCGAGAGTCGCAGTTGACAAGCGAGGCTGGCAGCCTTTTGAGGTTTGCGCCCGTTATAATCGGCGCCCGTTATAATCGGTAATGGGTGCACACATTTGCCAACCAGCCAGTTCGGTTGTCCTTTTTCCTCTGCCGCGTTCGCCTAGGGTCGCAGGCCGCAAGGTATAGGAAACTCCGGCAGGTTGCTTTTGCGCGGAAGGCTCGTCGGCTGTGGCGCGCCTGACGTTTCTAGAATGGTCCGAGCGTACAAGAAAGCTGAAGATGGCTGTCGCACGTTCAGCTTTCCGGGTCCTTTTTTTGCAAGATCTCTATTCAATCCCTATTCAAATGTTTCAGGAGTTTATAGGTAGCCGACGCAAGGCATCTCGTTGTCCTATCGACAGTGCTTAACATTCTTCAGTGTCGGGTCTGCTTTGGGCTTCGATTCTTTGGCCATTGACGTGACCCTGCGTGTCTGCAGTCCCCCTCTAAGTACTTCAAAGGCTCCGACACCATCATCGTGGACCCCCCCCGGAAAGGTCTGGAGCCCCCCCTCATCGACGCCCTCTGCGCCCCCCCCCCAACTCTCGCCCCTCGCCCACCCCCCGACAGGGAGGAGAAACGGCCTTGGATCCTCCGGGGGAGGAAAGGCACCGTACTCAGGGAGGGGCAGCCGTCCGAACAACTCGAGGAGGAAGAAAGCGCGGACATTCTTTGGCCGGACACGCTGATCTACGTTAGCTGCGGATGGCAGGCGTTCAAGCGGGACTGTGAAGATCTCGTCGAAAGCCGGCAGTGGCACCTGGAGTCAGCGTGCGGATACCAGTTCTTTCCGGGAACGGACAGGTACGCTCACTCCTGGGAACTAGCGGGCATGCTTCGCAGAATTTGCGTCACGGCCTCTTTGAGTTGGGCCGCGGTTTGGCGAGTCTGCAATATGGAGGGCGCGAGGCGCTTAGTGCACCAAAAGCACAGCGCACTTTTTCACAAATGATCAGCCATTGCAATGCCTCTTGGCAGAGTTTGCAGCAAATTCCTTACGGGCATGGAAGCATCTAACTTGCACGGTCTCGGATAATTCTGGTATTGGGATCTTGTCAATTCGGATACTGGACTTTTACGGCAGTTTTGCCCTCCCTGCGCTGCTGGAGAGTACGAAGAAGAGAAAAGCATTTGCTGGTCTACAAAAACCTGGAGCAGTCCGATCACCAGCTTGCCGTGCGCTAATGAGTGGAGTCCGCTTGCCTGCACGCCCAAAGTGTAATCAGGCGCTCGCAGATATCTGCGATCTAAAGCCGCCCACAGATTTGTGTAGCTGACTCTATTCAAAGTCACTCGACCATACATCTCTTGCAGTATGGAGGTGTTAGCCATTTTCAAAAGGGGAAAGGCGCCCAAGCGGAGCGCCATGCGGAAAGACAACCTGCAGAAGCAACAACCGAAATCTGTCCTGCCGAAGGAAGGGTTTGCGATGCGGATGGAGAACAAGGAACGGCGAGAGCGACGGAATGCGCGGGAAGCGCGAAAGGTAGCCAGGGGCGGAAAACGGTAGAAAGTGGGTGGTAGCAGCTCGCTTGCGAATCAGGTACTGAGTTGTTCAAGTTGAGAGTATTTTCAGTTTCTAGCATTCGCTTATGCTAGGCCTATGGGAACGGCGAATAGAGATTGCTGCAAAAAGCATAGCAGCGCATGAACCATATGTCAGTCGATTGCGCTCAATCAAAGTCCTCAGCCAAGCCGACTAGAAACTAGGATTGAGCGTTCTTTTCAGCAGACACCATGTCATTCGCTTCGCTAGATAGACTGACATCGATGTAGAATGTACCACTGGTGCCGTCAGCTTGTTGTGTGCGGTACTTCCCATTCCTCATAAGGATATCAAAGGGCTGGCTCGCAGGAGCTCTGGTGCATACCGTTCAAGTAGCTGTGTTGCCAGTCATGCCTCGAGCACCAAGCTTGCACACGAATGTAAGTAATGAACGTGTGATTTGACGCTTCGCGAGATGCCAACTCTTAGTAAGTATTTTCGACACAGAAAGTAATTATGCATGATCCCCGACCAAGGAAACGCCTCCAACTTAGACTCAGAGGTGTAGGTGCAACCAATGGTTTTGTATAAGCACCATGAGCTTACATTGCAGAGCGTCGCGTCAGTTACCAGCTAGTGTTGGACCCAAGTCGATCGGAAAGCCTGCATGCTCCTAGGCACACGTGCGTGAGGAGCAGCTGGTCAGGGTTTGGAATTTGCGTGATAAGCTTCCCGTTGTAAATTCCTTCTTAGAGCTCCTGAGTCCGCGCTAAACACACTCGCACTCAGACTATCTGAGCCGATGTAGCCATCATGACAATCAATAACAAAAGGTCATGATGATGCATTGAACTGTCGCTGGCGAGTCCCGATCCGGACCTAATCTGCATGAGCACTACTCGAGGAGCTTTTGGTGTTTGTGAGGTTACTTCCCGTCTTGTAATGTAGCCATCGGATTTCAATTGAGGTCATGCTTAACGGTTTCTTGTGTCATGCAAGCAGAGCTGCCCTCATGAATAACTTTACCATGGGACGAACAACAGAAAGGCCGTCAACTGCGTGATTCAATGTGCTCATAGTGGACGTTGCCAGCTGGGTACTACCTTAAGATAAGCTGAACAGCACCATGAACACGCATGAACAGTTGCGTGCTTCGTTTTCCTGACGAAACGCTTGCAGGGCTTGTATTCCCTTCTCTTATGACGGCAGGCTACGGAACGCGCTAGAACTTGTGGTCTAGATCAACGATGATGCCAGACTGTAAGTAGACAATGCCTCTCTAGTCGGCTCATAGTAATTCCCCTCATAGCATCCCAAAGTCGAATCCTGTTCTAGGACCTTTCCTTCTTCGCCATACCAGATGAATGGAATCTCGTCTTTGTATCCATGATCGAACTCTGCGTCTTCCTTCCCCTGCAGGAATTCGGCGTTTCAACGTGACAGAAGATGTAAATGAAGAGCTCCAAAAACAAGGGCCGCGAATCATACGCGATCTTGGCATTTGGAGCTCATCTCTTGAATCTTTCCACGACTGCATTAGAGAGACTTCCTGATGCTTTGCCAGCGCCCACATTTCCTGCCTACATGTATAATTCTTATTTTTAGTTTTCCTAAGCAAAGACGGTCTTGCAAACGGCAGAATATTGGAAGAGTGCTCAACGTTTGCGACTCCTGACAGAGCAACATAAAGTTTGGACGTATCTTCTCTATGAAGGCGGTGTGGGACCCGGCGTCAAAGTCGAAGACATTGTCCTATCGTTGCGGAAAGGAAGCGGTTACAGTAGGCGTTGCCGTGAACATCAGAAAGTGGTCCTTACGTTCAAGAACTCAAAGTCTTGCTTCGTGAAGGAAAATACGTCCTGGGTGTGACTCTGGTATCCTTCGCTTTGGCGCTGCTCCTCGACCACCAGGACAGGCAAGAGACGCAGGGACCATCCGATTTCTCGGAGAAGGTCAAAGAAAACCTTGTCGCCCCCTTTCAGCCCCTGCAAGAAGTTAAGGTGTGCGGTTTCACGGCAAGAGCTTACCTGACGATCGGCTCTGCCATTACGAGACGTTCTACGGTCGATCAGAAGGTCCGTTTCCGAGGTCCCATGCTACGAGTTGGAGCCGCATTAGGCACCAGGCGTTGCGATGCTTCACATAAGCGAAGCCCTTCTCCGTGAATGTTAGTACGGCCGGTTACATGAACCTTGTGCGCTCGGAAAAACGCGAGCTGGAAGTCAAAAGTTGCTTACATGATTAATTCACTCATTCAGGCACTGAACGCGGAAGCTTGAGGGAACGCCACAGCTTTGGACTAGATTGTCTGGCAGGCATTCTCAACCTGCCAATCAAGTACGCTTCCTTGTTAAACTGCACACTAGAAGCGCCGTATTACAAGGGGAGAAGAGCGCCAATCCTGGGGAGATCAGCTTACCTCTGGCACCAGTCCGCTCCGTGTGTACTCGTGCTGAAGGATGAAACCGACGTACGGATAACCAATTCCGGACAGCGCAGACAGTTGCGCTTTCAACGCTTTCTGCAAGTGTTGAGGAACGGGGCCCCCCTTTGGCAGTCTGGCCAGCGGAAACGCTCTCATCTGCAAGGCAGCACGATCGGCATCAAAGCTCAGAATTTCTCGCGACGTCCGATCCGGGTGCTGTGGGAACTGAGGAGATGACTGCGGGAAATTTTGGATTCTGAATCCCAGGGAAATTAGAAACTCGACAGGCAAGCTGCTTGCTGATATTAGCAAAGCTAGAGACGATGAGCATCATGTCGTGAATGCTTTGTGACAATGGCTGGTAGCCAACAGCGAAGGTATTGGAATCTGCGCTCTTTAGGAGGCCTTATGGTTGGTCAAAGTGGCAATCCTAATGGCTGCGTTTGCTTAAATGTATTCTCTAGCCTCAAATTTACCTGTCCGAGGTCTAGGGGCCAATAAATCTTCTGGTCGTTTGCATCGGGCTCGCTGATCGTTTCCGTGCGCAAGATGTGATAGGTGAGGGTCACCCTGCGACCTTCCGTGACTGGCTTGATCTCGTGAAGGCAGTCGCCATAAAAGGCGGCAAACTGATACACCCCAGGTTTTCCGGAGTGCTCGGCGAAATCGAAGGTCTGGCAGGTACTGCCGTGTGATACCAGCAACTCGCCACCAGAGAACTTGGACGGAAGGCACACCACGACCGTGCCAATGAAGTGCTGCGGGTTCACGGGGGTGTCCTTGTGGGGCTTGAAGAAGTCGCCTTCTCCTGGGAAGGAAAAACGCTGCTAGCGTTGGTCATGCTCACGTTTTTGTTATTTCGCATAGCAATCTGATCGGTCTCTAGGTTGATAAGAAGAGGCGGCAGCTTCATCACTTCGTAGTCGTATGGCAATCCCACTCCAATCACCTACTACTCAAAATGACTAATTTGAGGAGGATTTGCGAAGTCTGTTGAGGCGTTACAACGTGACTCTAGACTCTTCCTTGGAAAGTATTGGAAGCTTGCAGATTAGACGACGGCTTCACGGATGACAGATCTCTTGGGGTCTGCTTACCGTAGATGTTCAACTTGTACGGCACAAGTCGGACCGCCTGACCGTGAACGAGATGCTTCTTTACCGCTTGCAGGAGTTGATGCTCGAAGACAGGCTGCAATCGAGACACATGTGCAAGTATATGTTCCCTTACTGGTGGAAATCCGGAGGTATCAGTCACTTGCTGGCAGCATTTCAAGTGATTGACGTCCAAAATTGCAAAATCAATAGTGTGACGCGGCTTCAAACGCTTGATGCGGACGCAAGGAGTTCAAACACCTCTTGAGGCATCATACCATGTCAGGGCTTTTGATGCTTGAGCAGCTAAGGGGAGATCTCTTGTCATGCGGGGTTTGACGCTTCATGTTAGTCCAGGCGCATTCAGCTTGGTTGGGAGCCTACTTGATCCGTTATCATGATCATATCGTTACCTGTGGAAATGTCTCTTCTCTCGGAATCTGAGCAACTCGTGTACCAGTCTAGTTCAGCTTGACGTCACAGCCTGCTTCCAAAGCCCTTCTAACGGTTGGGTCCAGCTTGGTGGACTCGGTCAGAAGGTCTCCATATGGAGCAGGGGAGCAGACAGACAGAACAGAATCCATGTTCAGATCGGCGAGGCTTGTCAGGACGGAACGCCCTTCGTCAATGTCATTGAACTGCCAAGAAAGAATAAGCAAGTTGATTAGCTGAGGCAGTTTTGAACGCTTGAGCATCTGACCTCTCTGGACGCAGTCTTTGAAGATCTGCAAGCTCAAGTTTACTTTAACATAACGGCTTAAAACCCAATCTAGCAGGTTACACCAAAGACAAGAAAGATCTCGTGTCTATCCTTGTGAAGATGTCATGCAAGAAAATAAAGGTGACTGCAAATGTTTTGGCTTCTCTCCCTGTAAATGATGCGGGGACTTCCTTCAATCGTGTGGAAGTTCTAAACCGGCAACTTTAACCCGGCAACTTCACGTTCGGCTTTTTGAAGATCACTACTAGTGCCCTGCTGATCCGCCAATCTGAACAAGTTGGACCAAACAAGAATATTTTCCACGCCAGAAGTCCTGTTCAAGGAAGCTGAGAAACCGTTGACAAGATTCGACCATGGCTACAAATATTTGAAAATCCTCGACCACATTTTTGCAGCACTCTATGGCACTTGCCTTTTCTTTGTTGGCTGCCGTCAGCTTCACGGGACGCAGGAGGAGCAATGCATGCTTGATGTCGTGTTCCTGAAACCTGTGGACAGCCCCGTAACAAAACGCTGTTCCCCCATCTCCAATAGATTGAGCGATCTCAGTTGTCCGTGCAAGATGGTGCCTGACCGTCTTGAAGTTGATTCCGAGCTCCTTACATTGCTTTTTACAAGCGGTCTTCCAATCGCAGGAACCGTCCAAACCAAGCCAGCGTTTTGCCGCGTCGCCAACCTCCGGACTACTTTCGAAAGCAACCCAACCGAGCTGGTTGCCTTTCATTTCACAGGTGACAGCAGATAAAGCTCTGCGCATGCTCAAATGAGCATCATCACTGGACTCTTCCAAAGCCTGCGCCGTTATCGTTGGACTCTTTCGCTGAACATTAGGCTTAGTATGCTGTACTCTCTGCAGGCTGGGAGTGATCTGAAGCAGTCTGAAGTCGTTCAATGACTTACACCGTGACAGGACGTACTTTGATTTAGGTGCCAGAAGGGCAACGCAGAGGTTGCTGCATGTGAATTTCGGTGAAAAAGACACCGGATGATTGGAGCAACATGACCTGGTGACATGCTGCCGGTAAAAGCTCCTTTGCGCCGGCAAGGCGCTAGCCATATTATTTCTCGTCTGCTCCGCTTTTGTATGTAGTAAAGGCCTAACAAAGCTTCAGCATGGCATGCCCAAGTTCACATCCGACCCCTTTCTTCAAAAATTGTGACTCTGATTGAGGTTACGTACATGATCGAATCGTCGATCTGGTGGCCTAGCTTGCGCACGGCGCGGCGCAGCCGGCAGGTCACGCGCGCGCCAGGGCCGGGGTTTAGCGCACCGCACTTCTACTAAAGCGCGCGCGCGGCGGCCGGCGCGCTGACTCAGTGACTTGAGTCAATCTGCACAGGCGGCCACGGTTGGCCCACGACGCTGCGGAGGTAGGTATATCAATCAGCTTTTTTCTCTTATGACATCCGACGTTGTAAAGGAGGGTGAATCAAGTTTGTCAGCAGGTAATTGAGGTGATCATCGCCTCCGGCCTATCTGCCAGGCGTATTGGGTTGCCGCAATCCGGCGATCCTGCATCAGAGAGGGCGCCGCTGCTCTGTGCGACAAGACGCAATATCAAGTCTCGGCCGTCGTCTTTGTGCACGATCGAATAGCTATTGATCTGAGTCGTGGGAGGACTCGAACGGCGGGCTGTCACTGAGGCCATGGCAGCATCAAGCGGACTGGCGGAACATCGATATTTTAAAAAGCATTCATACTGTCGTCCTGACAAGCTTGGAGTCTCGTACAAGGAAGTGATTTAGGAAATTTCAATGTGTCCAGCGGCATACGTTTAGCCCACTCGGATTCCATGCTTGCAGACTTGGGGCAAACTTGGTGCTCAATTCATCATGCATCAATCGCACAAAATTCGAAGCACGTACAGGACTGCAGATCATCTGGTAACCTTGGTGACGGGTTGGTGACTCATTCATGTTTTCACAACGATTTAATTGAAAGTGTCCTACAAGCGCTTCCAGTAGGTTATCAGTTCCGTCCATCACAGCCTCTTCAGAGTTCGACACGAAGTTGCGGTGATGTCCATTGTAAACACTTCCGACAGATTCGTGCGCACTAGCTTCGAGAAATTAGGTTAGTACGTCCCTACTTCACTTTCAAAACTTTGTTTTTCGAATTCTGTCTAGTACTTCCCTCAAGTTAAAGACGAGATGAGTGAACTCCTCGAGTCTTTCTGAACTCTTGCCAGGCCTGCACCTGCTCTTTTCCCTCTACGCGTTGGCTTTCCCTTTTGCCTTTCTCGCTTCCTCTACCAAGGTCTTGGAGATGTATGCCAGGTCTAGGGGGCCCTTCGTTCCGAAGCCGCTCCGCCCCGGGGGCACCGGTGGCCGGAACTTCTCATACAGGTCGTAAGCCACCTCGCCGATCTCGTTTGGCGAGTAGACGCACGCGAGCGACTCCATGGCCTCTGCAAGGAAGAAGTTTCATTTGCAGGAATGATACAGCGCTGATCAGAGACACGGGAACTTTTTGGGCTTTTGAGAGCGGCTGATATTTTTCGATCGCACGTACACAGATTTCCTCTGACCTAAACAACAGCAATCGAAGTCGCCTTTGGGCAGGATTCTGCAACGAAGAAACAGATCCCGACGCTGAAATAGAGCTTTTGGTAATAACGCAGCTCTTCTGAGGGCATAGGAGTAGATGCAGACAGAGTTCGAAAGTGCATTTTGCGGTACCCCTGGGAGTAACACGGAGACTCTTGCAAAGCGCATGCACCCTCACTCGACAAAACTTCTCGTTGCGATCGGCTCAGAGCAGTCAATTTCTCAAGCTGACAGAATGAGGGAATGAGGGAATGAGGGAAGGAGCCTTAAAAAGCGGCAAATAAGATCTTGAGTAGCGTGTCAGCCAGCTTTCTGGTGCCAATGTGAAGTGTCCAAAACGTTCTGCCCACACGCGACCGACTCCGCTACCAACGGGACGAAGAGGAAATCAGCTTGTATGCATCGCGCTCTCATACTTATAGCACGCGCGCTTAATGAACCGCGGCACCACCTTATTGATCTCCAGGTTGGAAGTCTCAAAGATTGCTATAAGCCGTTATTCTCGTTCAAGGGAGCGCGCGCGCTCACTTTTGACGAGCTCCAGCTTGTCCCCAAACTTTCTCCGCAGGTACTGCATCACATCATCCGGCTCGATGGGCCGCCCGTCCGGGCCGATCGCCCGCAGGCCGCCCGGAGTCTTCTTCACGTAGATCTGCAGCAACGAAATTGAGTAAAAGCTCAGGCAGTTCCCTGCTTGTAGAGGCAGCTTGTCTTGCCCCAATCAGCCAATCATAGAGCGTAGATGTCTGTTGGCTGTGAGATGCGCTTCAAATCAATGAGCAAGCGAGGAGTTTCAGGAGGAGGTGAGGACCACGCGGCTTGGGCCCCTGTCAGGCTTGCGGTCTACATTCTTCGTTGTCTTTCTTAAATCGTAACTCAAAGAAACTTTGTTTTCACCCAAGTTTTCAGGAACCTTTCTGAAAGTAGCTTGAATTTAGGTTCAGGGCGGTCTGCCAGGCAAGCTATAGTTGTTTCCAAACGTTCCATAGACAGAGCCGAAGCGATTTACAGCTGGCGAAAGCGAATAAGACCTGATCCAATCTCAGGTGTGGCAACGGAGGGGGGCCTGAGGGGCTCCATAAACCCGGCACCCCGGGTTCGACAAGCAGGAAGCCGCCACCATCTTCATCAATCGTCACGGCCAGGAATAACAAGCGACAGACGTCACTCTGACTTCACGTGGGCTTATTGTCAGAGTCAAGCAATTGGCCGAATGCAGAGGGCGCACCTGGATGCCGAACACGGGGCACCGCCCGAGGTGCATCATCTCCTGCTGCCGCCTGGTCCGGTCCACGCGGGCCCTCCGGCGGACGATGCCCAGATGCCTCGCTGCAGCGAAACGGGACCCTGGGGTTTCTTGTTCCATCAGGACACCGAAAGTAGAGAAGTTCTCACTGCTCGAGTATTGTTGATCCCGTTTTGGATGCAAAAGACTAAGAAACGTTCACATCCGTGTTCTCGACTGACCTGCATGACAAGAAGGTCGAGGAGAGACGCTCAGTCTGATACCAGTCCGAAGACGTTTTGCACGAACACGAACTTCCGGCAAAGTACATGTGGGTTGTTAGTCCAGGCTCCTTGTCAGGTTTGATAACCTGCAGAAATGCAGTTTTTGCACCTGCTTCAGCAATCTTTTGGCAAATACAAGCTCGAGATGATTACAACGACGGTATTGATTGAATTGCCCAGCTCTGCACCAAAAGTGACAACTTTGTGGATGAAGGTTGCCAAATTTTGACACTAGGACACGAAAGCAGAAGGAACTGGCCTCCGTTCTTCTCTCCAACGTTAGCAGGGATCTGGCGATCGCTAAGCAGCGCGGTCTCCGCTGAATCTTTGAACTGTGTTCTCTGCATGGGGCTTGCAGTGAGTCTTCAGTTACAGATGTTTACTTGCACTTCGGACTCATTCTGGCTACTCAAATCGAGCCATTTACCCAGCTGTCTCACCTTTGCTTACGGCGAACAGTCCCGCGATATACATCCCAAAGCTGAGGCTCTCTGGCCACGTGTAGCCCTCTCGTTGCGCCACGACAGCTACCCAGAGCGCCAGCACGGGCGCCCGGTTGACCCGCACGCAGCCCTCGACAGGCTCCACCTTGCATTCAGCTCCTTTGCGCTTCCGTTCCGGTCCTGCGCCACCAGACACGGTTGAGAATTTGGTTCTGCATGTACGACCTGTGTGCAAACCCACTTATGCCTGGCAATTGAGTAGTCCGATCAACTTGTGTAGCTCTCCTCATGCCGACCATCTCACCAGTGACATGACCGGCTCCGCTTTGACAACCCTTTTTGCAGCTAACGTTCAGCTTGTTTTCTACTCTTTCTTTGTATCGATTCCATTGACAAAAAGCTCAGTCAGCATCAATACCATCTAAGACAAGGAAATTTTGAACCACTTTTCAAATTTGTTGCTTTGTTGCTTCACGGCTTCTTTCTTCAGCTGTTATGGCTAACCCGGTTAGCGAGCTGCGCCCCCTTAAACAGGGTTCTCGAGAAGGAAATCTCTGGTGCTACCCATCAAGTTCTTTCGAGCCGTTCCACAAAGCGGGCGTGCTGAAACTTAAGAAAGCGAAGGAATGATTCCTGCCATGGAATCCATCCTGCCAATCTCTCACCATACTCCGGAGTCGAATCCGTCGTCTCGGAGTCTCTGGTCCGCCTGCCGCCTTCTTTCTCCTGTTTGGAATTGGCAGTGTGTCTCGCCGTCTGCTCCTCCTTCACGTCTTCTTTTCCCTCTTCTGCAAAATCAAATTGAATATGCGTACAGGTATTCTCGATTCCAGGACGTCAGAACGCGCGGCCCCAATTTCCTTCCGGAGTGTCACTGCCAGGGCAATGTTCCTGATCATCGGACTCTCCTTCCTTTAAGTGCTAGACGTCTGTCACTATGCTCTGGTCCCTAGTCAATCCTTTGGACAGCAAACCTGGGTTCTTGGAGAGTGGAAACAGAGTTTCAGTCTTGCAGGCTCCTTAACTGTAATTTCTGGGTTATCGGCAACGTCTGATCTATAAACTAGATTTTTCACCCCGGCTCCAGAGACTGTCTCGTCAGACATCTCAATCCACGAAGCCACAAGGAATCGAACAGTCTTCCGCGCTTATATTACCATCCTTGGGCTCGGCTAGAGGAAGGTCCTCGCCCGTCGTTCCAATATAAGGTTCGCCGCTTCCTTTGCGCCGTTTCGACGCTGCTTCTGCAGGGCCAGAGTCGCTTGGCTCCTGCGCAGCCTTCACCACGTTGCTCTTATCTCCTGCAAAAAGCAGCGCTCCCGACTTGGTTCGGTTTTGTTGCAAGACATATGCCTACTGTTGCATCCTTAAGAGCTGCAAGAAGGACGACCTCAGAAAAGACTATCTGTGCCTTCCTTAAAACCTCTTCAAAGGGCTCTAATGTCTCACCAGATCCAGCAAGCAAGCAAGGCCGTCAGGCTTTATCTGCTGGCTCTGTTCCGCGAGTCTCGCAGGTTTGAGAGTGTCCAGAAGGGCCAGAAACAATGTTGCTTTCGAAGGCGCATCTTCTGGGGTCTTAGTGCAGCTGATTGGCAGCACATGCACAACACGGATCCACGCTAAAGTATCCAGAGACGAGATGGTTCTTGAAAGTCAAGTGTCGCTTGCAACTTGATTCAGGTGGAAGATGATGCAAGTCTCTAGTTGTGAGGAAAGTAGCATTCTCTTCGTGAACTTGCCTTCCGCTTCACCGCTTCCGTTGGCGGGAGCTGGGGGATCCCGTCGCTTGATTCGTGCCATTGTGACGCTTCCTTCCAGGCTCGCCGTGCGGCCATGCGCGTAAAGTGACACCTACGTCTTTCCGCAGAAGCCTCTACATTCAATAGTCCACCGTGCAGGCAAGAAGCCTATTTCGTGCGACACGTGAGAAGAAACCCTCGAAGCGGGCGGCGTGCCCTGGAGGCGCCCGCGCCCACAGCCGACCGAGATTCGCAAACCTGCTACAGTAGTCAGCTGAAAATCGTAAGACTGTCTGCGACTCTATGTTGTCACACGTGGCAGGCACAGAGATACGACTCCATGCAGCCGGTCGGACACGTGTAAAGTTTCGTCCATTCGTCGGCTTCGTCTTTAAAGCACGGCAGGCCGCAACTTTGATGGCTTCGCCGAGACAATCTGTTCGGCGCATTTCATGCCGAACGTGTGGGTCAATCAAGACTTAAAGGCCCGACTTCGTTTCTACGAATTCGTCATTGACATGCCTCGACTAGACCTGCATGTCGCTCGCATATGCGCACCGTTAAGTCCATCCGCGCAGGATGTCTGCCTCAGTGACGTGCAAAAGTTCTTCAAGGTCGTTTCCACAGATCAGCCAGGACTTACTATGCTTCTCATATTTCGGAGGACCATCTGCCATTGCAATGCGGGTTGAATGATTGTAGGCGACCGTGACAGAACTTGTCCTGCGCTTGAGATAGCGCAGGTAGCCCAGCCTGCTACTGAGCGCTATATATGATCAATTACAGCGCCCTTGAGTTACAAGAAACGTTGACCACTATTCAAACTAATTAAATCTATTCCCGAATCTCGCTAAGAAGAAAATGCTTTTCGCCGAACACTGGGTAAGTATAGGTTATCTATCCACTACCCTAGTATCGAACTTGATCTCGACCTCGCTCCTACGCTCCAGTGAATAGCTGAAACAGCACGTTTAAAGTTCGGCCTGCAAACAGGCCTTTCCCGGCCGGACGGCTGCGCGGATCACTCAACCTACCCAGACTGCCAACTGTTCCACATGTAACTCCAAAAGCTTGACGAAGGGGCCAGGTCATATCTCGCTATTCTTGCACAGGATTCATCGTGACACTTTCGATTGACTTGGGCCCTGCCTCACACACCAAAAAGGGATCTGATGGGTATTGTCCAAACACTACCGCCCAGCTTGCTCCGCAATGTTAAACGCTCTCAAGATTGAAACAGCAAGTACCCTCCCGCACTCTTGATCTCTCTGATTAGTAGCACGTGTTAAGCTTCTACATGGCATCATCGCCGTCTCCGCTGAATTCTGGGTTCTCCCGCACGATAAAACCCCATTCCTCCGGCTTCCAGTTTCCGCGCCCTTCTCCAGCAAAGTCGCCCTCTTCTGCCCGCGCCACTTCCTTGGTCCTCTTGCCATTGGCGCCCGCGACCGGCTCGCGCGCATTTTCTGGCGCTGCGCCCGACGGCGTCTCCTCCCGGACGCGCTTCCCCTTCCTCTCCGCTTCATTAGCCGCAGTCGTCGTTCCGCTCGCCCCTGTGGTTCCGTTCTTGAAGCCGGAAGGTGCTGACCCGGGCTGCTTCTTTCCATTGGTCCCGGCGGTCGCGCGCGGCGTGAGCGCGAGCGGATCGAGCGGACCTGCATGCTTCTCCTTGTTGAACTGCAAAAGAAAGAGCCCAAACGGAAAGTCAGTGTTCGGCAACACCTAAGGACTTGCAGGAAGCAAGTAGGATTAATCTGCTGCGCTTCAAGTTAAGTAGCGGCTGCCTCTCCGTCTTCAACGGATGACAGCAAGATACGGACTAATTCAGGCCGGACCGTATACAGCATCTTGGAGAAGTGCTTGACAACTAGAGCGGGCGTTTTGCTAGATGGTATTCCTTTGCAACGTCTATCAAGCGGTTGAGCAGGTTTCGTTAACGCCAGTGAGACGTCCGACCTGCAATCGCAAGAATCTCAAAGAGCTAAAACCTCGGAAAATTTGATCAACTCTGCAACTCGAAGCGCTAGAGAATCGACTAATGCGCCGGTCAAGAGTGTATGAAGGCGACTCTTAAGCGGCGAAAAATGAAGGCCATCAAAGATGTAAATCGAAAGAGGTGTGAGGTTCAGAATGTTGAATGTTTCAGCTATGCACAAAGTAGCAGGGAAATCGAAAGCCGCTTTCCTAAAAGTAGTCGGTCTCAACGTTTCCTCAACTAAAATTTTACATTCACGTAAAGCTGCCTGCTTCACGGCTTCCTCAGAACATTGACCAGTTGTGCCAATGAGATCACAAAAAAGGTTCAGGCCACCTTTTCGAGCGGAAGAGACGGTCTGATTCCTCTTATTCCTGCCATCTCAATCATTTCCCGGGTTAATCTGACTGAATTTGCACCCTAGGTGGATGGGACGAACGCTGGCTACGCTCACATCACTCCCTTCTGCGGTCGAAGGGCATGTGCGAATACCAAAGTTTAGAAGAAGAGCCGTCGAAATCTGATCAGGAGAACGAGCCTACTAAACAGCCCTCCGTTACATGCTTCCGTTTCCTTTCTTTGTGTTGACAAGATTCTCAATTGAACCTGGACCTAAGATTGAGTCATGAATAGAAGGGATGTCAGTACTCAGAATTGACTTCATTTGCCTTCTTGCTGTAGACCACTGCAATATCATGAGCTAATCATAAGTTGCGAGAAATAGTTCATCACAAATCAGCAGCAGTGGCCTTTAAACAAACACTCACCTCAACGTATGCCTTGTAATTCTTTCCTCTGCGCCCTTCCACCAGCACGTATATATCTCACACGTGCATATGAGATAGCAGCACAGACACAATGGGCTCTCGTGCTTAAGCTTTTAAGCCCCAGCACAGACGCAATGGGCTCTCGTGCTTAAGCTCTTGAAGCCCAGGGGCCAGCACAGACACCGCGATGGGCTCGTGTGCTCAGCCTAGCGAAGACGCGATGGGCTTCGGACGTTCTTTGAAGTTTGATGGCTTGAGTTCGTCTTTTCATGAACGTCTAGCTTCACATGTGGATCGGCCGGCCGGGGCCGGCGGCCGGGCGCGCGGGCGGCCGCGGCTGCCGCCACGGCCGCGCCCGTCGAAACCTCAAACCCTGCCGTGCGATAACCGCGTGTCCGAATGCTGAGAAGAGCGGCCGCGCGGCGGCCCGCTCCGACCGCGCCACGCGCCGCGCGACCGGTTGGAGTGCGTTCGCTCATACGGTACATTTAGTTGTTGTACTATGGCAAATAGCAGTCTTCCACAAGCAAGAGGCAGGAGGAACGCTAACGTGTCACTACAGTAGGCAACGTGCGTAGGCCTGTGCTGGAAGTTGCTGAATCAAGCGGCGGTGCTCAAATGCTTCGAGATGGAGAGCAAAGCGGCGAAATGCATATCTTAGTGCATAGCTGCCACAGCCTGACGCCGGGACTGTCCTGTCAAGATTGCAGGACCTTCACAATAAAGATCATACCTGAACGTGGTGCCCTTTTTGTCCCACGTCTAGCCACTCGTGGTCAGAATATTTGAAGGTCAGGTTTCAAAGGGTTTCCAGATGATTTGCTGGAGCCGTTATAAGAGCATTTTTGACGAATCTCTACCAGAACAAGCACCTGAATTGACTAACCGTGAGTCTCTTCGTGGCTCAGCGGTCACTATCTGCGGACGGTCCTCTTCCTCCGTTGCCAAGGATTGCCAGCCAGTGGCCGGCCGGGCCCGTCCGTAAGTTGCATGGTTGTTTGAATAGCTAGCTGTCACCTCACCTCAGATTGCCAAACGAAGTGGTCTGCCGGATGCAATCTCTTTCGAAAGGATGGTTCGAAGTGACCAAAAAGCCAGAATTTCTGACAATCAGTTTACGCCTCGGAGCCTGACGTTTCTCAAGAAAACCGGACTCAGCGGAATGGCGCGCGCTGGTGGTTGACCAAATGACGCTTGCAAAGCAGCTATTGAGACGTGCAGGCATAGGCATGTGAAGGGAGTCCTCGGAGTTGAGAATCTTCGCTTGGCAATGGGACTTCAAACACGTTCAACCGAGCATGGTGGCGGTATTCTTGAATCTTAGTGGACGCGCTAGCAGATGCCAAGCGCTACACCGAGGCCGTAGATATATGTGCTCAAGAGACGCTGCTAGACGCCGTGCTGAACGGTGGCCACGTGGACAGATTGATACAAGGCATTCAATCACGACTCTACTTTTCCGATTTGATTCGCCACTCAAGAAGGTACAGTAGAGATATAGAGCCTGCGCTTTTGATATCCAAGGGTGCGAAGCTGACTGCAGTATCGAGAATGGACGGCCAAAAATTTAAATAGGGGGAGACGGTCGACACCCGAGCGACACCAACACGTACTACATAGCTTTTCTATCGTACCCTGGTGACAAGCTACATCAACTACAAAAAGACAGTACTAGAAAGAAACAAGCAGACAAGGGTTCACACTGGAGTGTATGTTCGTGGTTCTTCAGAGAAGAGAGATTGACGCGCACTTCGAATATACATTGACTTCAGATTGACCTGCTCGATCAAAATCCAGGGACACGAAGATGCTTAGCAACCGACTACTACCATCGATCAGCAATCTATATATCAACACCGTGCCTCGACATGTATCCGGTCCTCTTCGTCTCTTTTAGTAAGCAAACACTGATACATGGACACTTAAACATGACTTATTGACAATTCACCGCGTAAAACGGATACTCCAGTCTCTCATTCATCACTTCGGACCACTAAAATAGTCGCCCACTATTTCAGATTAGATCATTCGTGCCCACAACACATTCCCCTCTTTATTGTCGCGATCTGGGGCCCGCCCGTCAGGCCCTTCCTCACCCTCTACGGCCAATCTGTCACTATCTAAATATATAAGTCTACCCAATCAAAGTCTTCACTAAGCATACTTGTAGTAGTGTGCTCAGAAGCCAACGGTCTTCGAATCTTCGAAGCCGCTCACATAGCAGGGCCCCACTCAACATCCTTGCACGTCAAGTCGACCTTGTTAGCGGGTCCGCCTCGGAACTCAAGCCGTATTACCCGTCCACAACAATGGCCTCAAGGTCGTCAAAGGCATCCTTCGAATCCTCGGCGCCCCCATGGTCCGCCGGCAGTGGGGCCGCGGAACGCCCTCTCACCGGAACCGGCTCCATGGGCATAGTCACACCCAAATCGGCGAGCGGCCTCATATTTCGCCCACTTGGCAACCGGGTAAACTGCCGGGTAAATTTCGCAGGGTTCACGTTACCCGCCGAGGCCTTGCTAGTCAGCACGGCGGAGGCGGCCCTCTCCGCCGGGGCGTCCTTAGACGCTTCCCGCCCATCTGACAAGGCCTCCTGTGAGTCCACGGGTCCATCAGGCCCGGGCTTTGCTGCAACCTGGTAGTCGGCAAAGGACACGGCGCTAACACCAAGCGCTTTTGCGGTCTCGGTTGGGAGAGGGTATTGCGACTGCGAGAAGCCCCGGTTGATGCCAACCGGGATGAAGAGCACGCGCGTGAGCACCTCGGCCACGTACTCCAGCTCCGCCTTGAGGCGCACGGTGTCGAGCGGCCCTGCGGAGGATCGGACCCAATTGTTAAACCCCGCCTGTTAAAGACGAAGTCTCTTTACCTTTTGATTTTGCTTTGCACCTTAACCGCATCTCGCTGTACTCTTGCAAGTGGGACCGCGACGGTCGATAGAGGGAAAGCGATACAGCTACACCCGGGCAAAGCTGCCAATCTTAGTTGTCGACGTTGTAATGCCAGTCAAGCAGTCTGTTGCCAAGTCGAATCAGCAAACTATACGCAACTAATCATGGCAGGATTCTTGGAAGACGCTGGCTGCTTGTGATGGATGGCGGTACCTTTGCTAAGCTCGTCATGGCGGTCTCCATACTAAACCTTCACAATGGTGTGGCACGGGGTGTAAATCCTACGAGAAAGAGGGACCAAGAGATAGTGGAGGTTCGGTCAAACCTGGCCGCCTGACCCGAGTCAGGAATCGAGCCAGTCGCAAAACTTTTCTCGAGCCGTAGAACGTGGGCCGTTCGACGAGAGGCATCCGAGTCATTGCCGGGTCCAAGTTCTGCGCATCGGGTAGAGTTTTGCCCAAATAGCACTCCGGTCAGGCGGACAGGTTTAATTGGATGTCCATTAAATTCCGGGGGGCTCACCTGCCAATAGCGAGGAAACGTCAGGATCCAGCCCCAGTGGTGCTACCAGCGAGGAGCCTTCGGTGTTGCGCAGCCTCCCCTCCAGCAATACGAGCACCTCGTCGTACCGGATGTAAACAGGCTCTTCGGGTCCAAAGAGCTGCAAAAATGGGGTGGAACCAACCGGGTTCAGCAGACGGGGCTTCGGCGTCGTTGCAAGAGCTCCCCAGCACAACTCGCGAAGCCCGAGGCTTCTATACGCACGTCGATTCAGAATGAGAAACCAGTAGGACTACTATGAGAAGACTGTGTGAACATTGGGCAAGGCAAATTGGAGAAATTGGAATATTCAGTGTGGCGAGGCCGGCAGGATCCGCGCGAAGATTGCTAACCTTCAGCCGTCCATTCTCCAGAATCATTTTCCGGATCTCTTGGAGGCTCATGTGGGCAACAGCCCGGGGGAGCACCAACCGGGACAGCAGCACGGCGCTCTCCTGCACAAGGCGCGAACCCGTTACATCCACCGGTCATGTGAAAATTCACCGGTGGGGACCGAATGTAGAGAATCTCTGGCTAGTATGACGCGCAAAGCTTGAAGAGTGGCTCAGAGCATGTACCAAGCTAGAAGGGGTTGCGTTCAAAGTTCGCGACGAATAACGCAACCTTTCCCATGTTTTGGCTAAGCCTGTGTAAAGGCCCAACTTCTCAGGCAAAGTAGTCGGATTGGGCAGCCTTCAACTCATTTTAAAAACCCGCATGCGGTCAGATAACGACGGCGTGTTCCCAAGTCTCGAAGGGCTCAATTAACCGGGCCATGTTCCCGGGCGCTAAGCGAACCGTAATGGCACTGCATCTCGTGAAAGGGGAATATTCGAAGCATCAGACAGCTGGTGAAACGCTCACCTTCCAGAGGAACTGGGTTACGTCCACGTCCGTGCTAACCATCTCGGCAAGGAGGGTCCTCTGCACGATAGCGAAGGAAGTCTGAGGTAATCATGAGAATAAACTGAAGTAATCTAGAAATCAGCGAGAGAAACTCTGAAGCAGCGGCATCTCTCAAGCAGCGAATTGGAAAGCGAGGATCTCGGAACGAGCGGACCCCGGAACAAGGGAAACCCAAGTAAGCTATACAATAGCAGCAAGATAAGCGCACCGCAGAAGTAGCAAGAGGTAATATTAAGAGACCTTGGAGCCAGAAGACCTCGATATAAGCGGAAAAGGGGCACTCAAGATGAGTAGAACGTAGGATGTTCCACAAATATCAGCAGAATGCGGAAGTAGCGGATCGGACCCTGGAATGAGGGAACGCCGAAATAAGCGGAGCCCAGGAGAAGGGAACGTTGATATCAGCGGGATGCGGAAGGTGAAAACCGAGCAATCAAGTGAGAGCAAAAAGCAGGAGGGCTCACATCGACAATGTAGCACGTGCACACAGAATCAGCCGCGACGCTGGTTAGCTTTGCGCGGTTGCCCGTGAGGGCCTCGTACAGCCCCAGGATGGCACCCGCGCCCAACACGAACTGGGGCACCCGGCGCCCTCCCACCAAGTTGCTGACGCCATCGGCGCTGTAGACCTGCAGGTGGCACGGGCGATCAGGAATGATCAGAGGGTGTGTACAGCAATCGAGGTGTTCAGTTGAGGAAGAACGGGTGACTCACCGTCCGCACAACGGGAGAGCGCCCTCCAAGAGATCAGCAGTTTCAGAATCGCCCGCCTTAACCTACCGCAAAAAAACGGGAAAGGTCGACCAGAGTCACACTGATTTGGCATTACCAAGCCGCGACCCTGAACCTATAGGACAGCCAAGAATGATCTCCGCATTTAGCAGAGCCCCTTTTACCCACTGTCAAACATTTAATCGGCCCCCACAAAACAATGCAAACCCTTCACAAACCGCCCACCTTGAACAACGGCGCAAACAGAGGAAGTCCCAAACCAAACGATCTTACACCCCTTGCAAACCACCCACCTTGACGTGCCCGCTCGCAACGACGAACACCTCGTTGCCCTCGGAGCCCTCCCGGTAGACCGGCGCTCCCTTGGGGAAAGTGCGCTCTTCTCCGTCCTTCCGCACCATTGTTTCAAACTGGGGGGGCACGTGGCTCCCCAGGGGAGTGCTCTGCAGCAGGCCGGTTGGCTGCTGGGGGCGGATCAGCCGCGGCGCGCGTTTCAGCTTCTTGAGGTCCAATCGGATGACGTTCTGGAGCCGCTCGATCTCCTTGGAGTCAACGAGGCCCGCGGTGTCCAGGTCCTCGATGTACGACATGAGCTGGAGGGTAGAATTTTGATTGTTTAAGAATCTATAAGGATAAAAAATGATACATCAAAATACAAAATAACAATACTCACATATGTAATATAATCTTCGTTGTTTTCCAGAGATTATTCCGGAACCTATTTCAGCCTAGAAATCTAATGGAGCGTCAGAGAAGCCCTGCATAACGTCTGGTAGCGTTCATGGAGATTGAGCAAGAAAAAGGTGAGGAGAAAGTCAAGATGCATGCTCCAAGTACTGGAAAATTTCCAAAAAAAGCGAAGGAGAGACAAGGTGCTGCAAGTTTGAAATAGAAGAAAACAAGAAAAGAACCGTCAACCAAAGAGGGTAAGGACGGGGTCAAATATGCAACAGAAAAACGGCGAGAGCGGGTTTTTGAGCCTTCATACCCTATAATTTGGCTCTCGACCCACTCATTCCGCTCGTAATCGGCACACATTCCTCTCGAAATCCACACTCAAAAAGAGCCCGCAAGGCGACCTGCCTGTCAGAATCCGCTCAGAGCTTTCTTTGAAAACCGTCGATTCCCACAAGCACCCATCATTACAAATGAGTGCACTCCGCCATTTGAATGATTAAAAGCGTCGTTAAAGAACTTGTCGCTGAGGAGGAGCTTACATCGCCAAGCACGTGGAACGCCACCTGACGCGTCTTCACCGTTGTCAGCACTTGAGGAAAGGTGTGCGCCACCTCCTCGAGGAACATGTGCGGCTCCTTCGAGAACCACGCGCTCTCCTTGATCACCTCGGCTGCCAGCTCATCGTCGTGGAGGAAGTGCTTCAGCTGCTCCCTATAACGCGCAAACGAATGTTCTGAAACAGGACGAAAGTTCATCACAGCTGCTCCCTGTAAGGCGCCAAAGAATGTTCGTGGCAGGACAAAAGTTCGTGACGGCGGCTTTCGTCTCGGCTCCTTGCCTGAGACGGGCGAATGATTCGTTGGAGAAAACTAGAAACGGAATGCTCCGCGCGCCTTCCAAATCCTACTCTCCGCGTTTGGATCAGATCCGCTGCACCGTTTTCGTCCGCGTTTGCAGTTCTGGCTTACGGCTTGCTGGGCGTTCTATCTACAATAGTGAACGACATAGGGACGAGCGCACCTCGATCAGCACCGTTTTGGAAAGCTTGGTACTTCCGATAGCTTGGTCGCGCAAAAAAGGATGCGCTGTTTATTACAGTTTCAGCGGCATTTGGGACATTGACACTTTGTTTTCTCATCTCTGTGAACTCTGCAAATCGGCGCACCTTGCCCTGTGGTGCGCGCGCAGATACCCCGCCGCGAGCGCACACGCCTGCTCCAAACTGCCCACCACCAGCCGTTTAACCAACGCGTTCACGTACGAGTTGTTGTGCTGGATCGACTGCAGGAAGCGCAGCCAGGGGGGCACTTGCACGTATGGCCGCAGTTCCGCCCAGTCGCACAACTCGGTGTCCGAGTCTAAGCCGCATTCGATGGATTCGATGAGGATGCGCGTTTCGACTTGGGACAGGCGACCCTCGTCGAGCTGGTCCCAGTAGGCCGCCTGGACGCCTGCGGGGGGCCGCGGGAGTCACAAGGTTAGTGGGTTGGTTGGAGCGTGGTTAATCTGACTGAGGATGCGTCTGGAACGTAGTCTGGTCAAGTTCGATTTGCCATTTTGCCCGGATTTGCCCCAGACGGCGGCCTCAACATGTTCGGGAGTCTCGGGTATCTTCGCAGCAGTGTTCAGCTCAGAAGATGGCCAACCCAGAACTTGGGGGAAGTGCTCCGTGGTTCTTAGGCAACTGAACTGATGCAAAGAGAAAACTTGTACCGATGTCTCTGCTAGTTGGGTTTCTGTTGAAGGAGCTAGCACGCCGTGACTAGGGCGTCAAAGGACTCGTCCTTCTCGAAGTCGTTTTCTTCATGTGAAATCTGATCGTTGGTAGCATTCTGCTTTGTGACGTTGGATTTTGACAATCGGTATGACTATGGAAACCGGGGCGCTGCGGGATCCAGCAGATCAGAAATAAATGCTGAGGCCGAGTTTCGAACCGTCGAGTTTCATATAAGGGTTGAGCACGCTAGCCACCTCCACCTGGATTCCCAAAGAAAGTTTGCCTTGCTTCATCGGACGCCCTCATTAAATAGATAAGAAATATAAGTGCCTGGAGCTCGGATGCGAGGTTCGCCTGATGTATAAGAGACGAGAACCCGTATACAGAGGCACTCGCTCGGCACCCTTTAATAGCATTTTGCGACTGGATCTTTCCGTAAGCTTCTAGGTGCACATTTTGAAAGAGGGCACGTTTTCAGGATTGCAAACGCTTGGGAAGAGGATCCGAGAAACTTCTACCGGCACAGAGACTCAATGACGACATTTGCCCACACCTTAAACTATATGCCAGAGAAGAAGTCTTACAACCTCTTGAAGTTTCACAGGTTTCGTAAATCGAATCGAGTTATTGTCGGCATTCCGTTCCTCAGAGACGTAGAGCTTTCCGTCACCTCGGAGGAAACGCGCGCGCACATCTCGCAGCCGCATGCGGTGCATCTCGGTCGTCTCATCGCTGATGACCGGACCAAAGGGATCGCTCGGCTCCTCGGTCTCGCCTTTCCTGCGGGAACGAAATGGTCGAATGAGCGATCGACGGCTGTCCTTTACTAAGGCGGCCAGAAGGGGGGAGGCGAGATTGGCCGTGTTTACTCTTGGTTGACGTCGTCCAGCCTTCTGTGATGGCCAAAACCGGAGCCGCAATTTCGAGACTCCTGCAGAGGCGTGTCTGCAGTTGTGACGGGCTCACTTATAGGGGACTTCTAGGCTACGAATCCGGGAGTGTCTGAGAAACGGGGACGTCATACAAGATGCGTCTAGTCGGTGCGGGGCCCTGCTTTGCGTGCGGAACTAATATCCGCAAACGGCAAAGCTCCCAAACAAACCGTAGAAAAAAGCGCTCCGACGATCCTCATCGGCGACCCCCCCAAGAATGGCAGGGAAATCAAAGAGACCCGCAATACGGACGCTTGTCAACGGATAAGACCAGGTTTGTCTGGTAGCAATCAGCAGGCAGGTCTCGCAGATTCCTCGAAGGCCGTCGGGGATCAACGAATCGGCCGGGTAGAAATGCGACGGCCTTGTTTGGGCGCGGCACGAAAACCTCACCTCAGGTTTGTCACGAAATTCTGGACGGAGGCCCAGTGCGCAGGGCCCAGCTCCTCGTCGTCCTCTCCCACCTCCACATACGACTGCAGCTCAAGACTGCGCATCTCCTGTTGCGCATAGCCCAAGATACGCAGCTGCAACACACACGATAAACCGAAGCTTGACCGCACTTGGTAAAAGTCTGGTTGAGCGCCCGGTCCGCTTCACAAGCTTTTCCTTTGACCCTCTGTTGCCTACAGTTTGCCGGCTGATCAGAAGGAAGGAATCGATGGGCAGGAAACAAGAGACTTGGGTTGTTTGGATGTGTACGGTGGCTGCCGCTTGATACGCGCACTGAGGCGCATCTCTTTCCCCAAACCGAATGTTACCGTCGCAACTACTCTGTACGCAAGATCAGCGAAATACACGAAGCTTGGCTGGGCTCACCCGTTGTTTCAGGTGTTACAACTGAGTCAACAAGGCTTGGACGTGCCGAAAACAGGCGGAACGCAGGGGATTGGAGTGGCAGGGGGGCAGGAAGAAACGGCGTCACTACCTACCCTCTATATTTTGAGGTATAAAAGTGGACGCGTCAGATTCGTTCTTTCCAGGCGGATTTACTGGCCTTAATTCAAACCCGTTCCAGTAACCTGTCCACAATTGAACTTCTTGAACTCAGATGTTAAAAGGCATTCTTATGTGAAGATCGGACGGCTGCGAAACAATCTCGGCCATCTAGAGCTTCTGCAGTGCGCACCTTGGATTCGGTCAGGCGGTCCAAGCCCAGGGCGCTGAGCAGCCACTGGCTCGTGCTGCCGTTAATGACCAGGGTTAGGAACACAACCCCGCCGGTCAGGAACACAACCTGCGCGGTCAAACCACAGGGTTAGTGACGATTGTGGAAAGAAGGATGCTTCAGAGGGAATCACGAAGTACCAGGGGTAATCGTAAGGATACTGAGCCACTAACAGGGTTTGTCGACGAAGATAAAGGAACCAACGCCGCTGATTAGGAACCCAAACCACGAGCTGGGACTGGAAGGCAGAGAACTGACCACAGCTCTGAGAGCGTCACGAAAAGTGGGCTGGAGGCAGATCCCTACTGGACCTTGTCTAGTGGTTCCTTCCAAGGCAAGTAATGGGAACTGAAGGGGTTATTCAAGACATTGGCCCTTACAACCAACAAACCGCTCAAGAGGATCACCTTTGCGGCTCAGATTTCTCTAGCTTTGAAGTGCATTGAGAACCGTCCGATGAGGTCTGAAATCGCTGATAACTTGAGGGCTTATTGCAATTTGCTTGTTGCTAAATTTATCATCATAAAGGTACGCACGAGCCCGCATCCGACCGCTTTGCAGGGGCAGAATGAAGGGGGTTACTTGGAATATGACGCAAGGGCGAGCACTCGCCTCCCTAACTTCTTTTGTGTGGTTCAAGGTGTAAGAGCTGTAGGGTCGTAGGGTAGTGGAGCACTCACCCTCGCTCGGTCCTTAGCGGAGACCGTTTGGTCGATCCCGTGAGCATCGATGTGCGGCCCGTCGTCACTCTGCGATTCAGAATGAAAAATCAGATACTGTTGAGAATCGTTCAGACCCCTCGGTAGCCGCAAACCACACGCAGGCTGTTTGCAATTGAACCACTTTCCAGCTCTGTACTTACAAGAAAGTGGAGTCAATTAGTGGACAGTCTGTTGTTGGGTGAAGTTACAGCGCTTCTCGAGCAAGCTGTTGGTGTCCAAACTACGTGGGAAGCCTTAAGTTTAGTCGACGAAGTTAGGCAAGTCTGGAACACAGATTACGGCAACTGACTTCCACACCCTTAGAACTTCCCTTTTTCCAAGAGGAAACCCGCAGTTTGCTGGAAAATAGCTGCAGTCGAGGTAAGATCAAACTAGAAGACAGGAGACTCGAGCGACTTTTTAAGTGGGTTGAACGGGCGAAAACGTTTTCGGATAAGCGGGATCGGCTCCTTTCGAGCAACCTCCTTCGGTTCTTGTTGTTACATTTGACTATCCTTCCTTTGCCATGCACACCCCAGCTAGACAAGTTGGAAGCGGTTGAGCCGAGCCGCTAGTTGCCAGGAAGACACAGCTCCAAAGCATCTCGTGAATAAAAAGCAGAGTATGTTATTCAAACTTACGTTAACCGTGAGAGCAAGGGTAAGTGCCACAGCGCCACGTAGCCCCGCCCACGTCATCACCGTCGCCTGCACCCGTAGACAGACGTGAGCCAATATGCCGATCTTAAAGTACAAAGCGCCGGAGCAACGTCCGGTAGAGATTGAGAGAGCTCAAAATTATCCTTGGAAGTCGAAGCGTCCTGTCTGGTAGTTTCGAATCGCGGTTTGAAATGGAGCTAACCTTTTTCCAGTCGATTCCGTAACCCCAGTACTTAAGCAGCGGGTAGGATAACCCGACGACGACAACCCGGGCTAACTGGACGAAGAGGTAGAGCACGATGAGGTACACCCAGTCGCGCGCGTCGATGCTCTCCGTGTTGCGCAGGATGACCTCAGCAATGATGACCCCACTGCACGCACCCAACACGAGCAAAAGACTGTAATCCGGGCTGAATGGGTATCAAACTGGGTCTAACATAACTTGCAACTGACACTGCGGCGCAAGGGGATCTCCTTGATACTCATTGCACCTTATATTTCACCTGCTTTTGCAGATTGACAGGATTTCACTCCAATTGGGGCAAAGATAGCATTTGGGTAAACCTGCAACTAGGCCGAAATTACTTTTTTTGTACGGACCTGAGGATGAATATGAGCGTGTTAGCCATGTACGCGACCATCTCCCAGAAGTGGTGCAAGCTCTTCTTGTGCTCTCCCGTGAACGCCGTGTTGCCGACCGCGGCAAAGAATCTGCGAAATAGAGCCGAAGCCGAGAGGCTTATGAAAGGCCGTGCCGAGTTTGGAATGAGGAGAAACTCGTGGGGAATAACTCGTCAACAGCTTAATGCAAAAGTTCCTCTAAGGTACAAGATAGGAGGATAAGCAGGAGGCTTCTTCCCGCGAAAGGCCGATTCGAGCACGGCCTTGAGAGGACTTCGCAGACCATGCCGCACGAATGGAAACCTGGATCAAACGGCCAGACTAGCTATTCTCGCTAGTAAGAATCTGAGATTTCAATCGTTTCGATACGATCATACAAAGGTTATCTCCTCTCATCAAGAACGCCCTGCCGGCACTGATCCGTCATATTCATTTACTCGAAAGGCCTCCATTTTAGCCAGAGGCATAATTCCTTTCCCGAACATCACCTGACATTTGTGTTGATGCACTAGACTTTTCAGCGAAAGGCCCCAAACCGAAAGGGCTACGAAAGCGGAACTCACATTCCAAGGAACATAACGCCGATGACGCCAGAGACACCCGCATTCTGCTCCGACTGCAGACAAGACAGAGCGATGTCGAGTGTGAGGAACCCTGAAAAGAACAGCCCAGATATGGCAACGATGCAGGTCCGTCTTACTAAGATTCCGACAGTTCGATTAAGAACTAAGAAGCAAACCAACTTGCGATCTGCGAAACCAGGGTCTTGTAAGACAGCGGTCTGATTCTTTGAGCACACCGGTCTTGACATGGGTCGAAACAAGATCCTCGTCCTTCCACCGTGGATCGAGCAGAATCTGCAGTTGGCATTCCTCTTAGCGTGCCTTGCACAAAACGACTCTTGAAAACTTAAAATGCCTTGCGCAAAAACGACTCTTGAAAACTTTAACGAAATAGTTGTGTTGTCAAAAAGGGCGGGCGTCATGGCAATTTAAGTCACGTCAGTTTAGAGTATTCGAAGGATAGGATCCCGTCGCAATATTGGTCGTGAAGGTTGATGTGAAGGTTTTTCTTTGGCTATCAGGAGCAAATCCGCTTCACGTTCGCTTTCGAAGCCGCTTGCAAGGTGAAAACTTGGAAGCCCCAATTTCCGTTTGAGGAACCAGATGCACATATGAGCGAACTGCATTGACGAATCTGCTTGACGAGGTTTCTCAACAATGTCAAACGGATGACAACCAGAATCAAGTTTCTCGATGCTGATTTGCAGCGTGTCAAATCGGACGGCTGGGGCCACGTGTCAGCTCACCGTGAAGTAGACCATATACGCGGCCGAGACCGTGATGGTGATTTCGATGAGAGTGTCGTTGAACACGAAACCGAGCCACATTATGGCGACCAGCCCAAAGGCGATGCCCATTGCCACTCTGCAGGGCAGGAGTGGACTCAGACCGGTGGGATTAACGCGACAGTTGGCTCCAGGATAATTATTTTCATTGCTTGCCACTTTACAGAGCAAGAATAGACTCAGACCGGCGACATTGTAAAAGCAGCACGATGTCACTACAAAATCGAAGATGAGCTCAGGCAAGCCTAAGACTGGAGGTGGCGGTAACTCAGCTCGGGGGTTAGAGTTTGCAGGAGGAAATCGCACGAGGTGAAGGTGTGACCGGAAAAGCCGGGGAGAGGACCGACCGATCGCACAACGTTTCGAGTTTGGAATCCATCGCGTTTCAAGCCACTGTCATGATTCTCGCAGAATGATAAGCACTGGCTTTGAAAACACGAGAGAAGAGAAGTTGGGGCGGGGCTGACGTCGTATGCAAGAAAAGTCCGCATTCAGCAAAATGGCCCCTGAAATCCGCTCCGAAACGGCGTCTTGCTTATCCTCAATGATACAGACACGGGCCGCTCCACATTTGTAATGCCGCTACATCATTTAAGCGTAGAACATGCGTTTCCCGTCCCTGGACTCACCCTCCAAAGGAGATCTGCATAAAATAGACGATTGTGTTGACGAAGTTGAACTTGCTGCCGAAGACGATCCGGTAGAAGAGGCGAAAGACGACGATCGCCGTGCTGCGGGCAAGAAAGATGCTTGCTTCACGAAGCGCTGCCGAGAATTCAAATCTCGTCCGCCAATCAGCGTTCATTGAAACTCAACCCTGACCGCCGTGCGCAATCTTATGTACGTCACGCGTGATACAAAGCCGGGGCGCCCAAAGAACCTGTTCTAAGAAGCACTTTCTCATCTCCTAATTGGGAATGTTCCCAAGCAAACTTGGCCGGATTAAACTGGGTTTGGATTGGAATTGGGTGTATGCTGGTCTTGGCTTAAAATGAGTTCTGAGCTTGTTTGTGCTCACAAATGTCTGTCACTTCGCAGATCTGTATTGGACCGTGCTTCTGTGAATGAGGTGGCAGTGTGCCCTTCGTCTGCCTGCAGGACCCTGATTCACGTTTCGGGTCACGAAGAGGTCCAAATTTAACGGTACTGAGTAACATTCCTAAAGTTCTCGAAGTTTCCTTTTTATTCGATCACGTGGTGTGGCCCACATCCAGAATAACCCAACCACGCCTGGGACTTACCCGTCGTTGATGAGCGACTCCCCCTCGATTATGGTGTTGAGCTTCTTGCTGGCGCCCAGCTCCTTCAAGAGGGCGACCACTGCCACTGGATCCGTTGCGCTCAAAAGGCCGCCCAACGTCAGGGACAGACCCCAGCTCCACGAATAGGGGAAGCAAAACTGCGGGTTTGCAAATGGGTTCAGATTAACCACTGGGTGGGAAGCCTTTCTACTGAGTTGGATTGGAGTCACGGTGGCCTCTCGGACAAAAGGAGGCTGCACTGCTCGAAACAATCGGACTAGAATGAGTCGGGTAGCCTGGAAACGACCGTCGGGGGAATCTCGAAATCCGCATCACCACCAAGCAAGAAGGTCTTGAAGAAGGCTCGGTTGAAATGACAATTCCTTAGCCTGCGAACATCTCAGCCCGAACTCTGCACTACGGTTAGGGGGTGCCAAGACCACGTATTGAGCGAAAAAGAACGACTGTCGATCATCTTTCCTTTCGAAGGCTTCCCCTTCACCTTTGCCACGGTTGACTTTATTTTGGTCACGAGCGACCTCAGAACAAGCAGGGCTAGAGGTTTGTAGCCAACTCAGATAAGGGATCCCTTGAAAGAACAAGCTCGAAGGGTTTAGTCTGACTGCGTGTTAACACCGCAGTTGTTAAGTGAATGACCTCACCTTCAGAGCGGCCCCCAGAACAAAGGTGTTAACAAGCACCCCCGGACCCGCGAGGAGCGACATTTGCCACAGGCATTTCTGCGGACACCGCAAGCAAGCTCATCAGTTGTGGTGGCTGTATGATTGTATGGGGTACACCCTGCTCGGGGAGATGGCGTGTCAACCATACTTGGCTGCCGGTTGACAGGCAGTGATAGTGCTTAACCTCGTTGGCAGTCGTCTTATGCACTGATGTTCGACACCAGATTTAAGCTGCAAGTCGATCCAGGATGATTCGGGTCTAGCGCTGTCGGATAACTCATGGCCCAGTGTTATCCACGATGGAACATTCAATCCAATTCAGAAGACAAAATCTGGACGTGGGACATCTCTATTTGCATTTTCAGCGCGGGACTGATTGGTCGAAGTGCCGCTTTTAGACTGCCCAGATCTTATCCAATCTGAACTACGGCTACTGAAAGTCCGTTCATCTCCCTCAGAACATAGAGAGATTGGCCAATGCTTGACCATGACTCGCCCAGTGAAGTGGTGGATTCTGCTCTCTTCAAACGGACAAGGAAGTTTCTACCGCTCACCCTGACTTGTGGACTTCCATCGACATGGAGCTCTCGAAGAGCAGCGCCGGAAGGAAGACGAAAAGGATAAGACCAGGTTCAATGTCGGCCCCTGCAACACGAGAGTTAATCTTTGATTCGAAACTGCGCTTAAACAGGTGGTGACCAGCACAGGATGGAAATGGACAAAGTGGATGCATGAGACTAGTGGCGAGCTCAAACAGATAACCCGACTCCGCCTCCCTGTCCATGTCGGCCTTCCAACCATCCAAGCTTTGACCATTTCTTCAACATCGTGTGGGAGATGAGAAGTCAGCCTGAGCTAAGAATCCAGATGCGGCGGCCGGTAAATTAAGGAAGCACAGGTCTTTGTCCGGTGGGGAGAACACGTGCAGCATGCACTAAAGGGTAAGCAAATAATGACCTTTCTCGATCTCCTCTAGGTGCGCCACGATGACACAAATAGGTGGTGAAACAAAGTGACTGGGATGGAGCAAAGAACGTAAATCTTCCAGATTCCGAAACTTCCAAACAACAGCATGAGTCGCGGCACAAGAATGCTTCCGCACCAAATTAGAAACTACAGATAAAAGCTATCAGGAGCGTCTGCAAGGCTGTCAGAAAGGTTTGCAACACGCACTCCGGTGTCAACAATTGCGTCTGAGATGACAGTACAGTCCGTTGCCACGGCCACTCACATATCTGGATGCTCTCCCCCAGCGTGCCCAGCCCATTGTGCAGCACGTGATCTGCACAGTCATACACAAACATAGTCTGAGAATTCCCCATACATTGAAAACCACATTCTTCCTGTGTCCCCGTGCCCTGCAAACCAGAGCCAGTTTGCAAATTAGGAAAGCGGCCTCCGAACCGCCCCTTAGACGCCCCAGAGAAGGAGCTCACTGCTCGATTGAATGGAATTTCTGTCCACTTTTTTCTAAGAATTGGGGTCTGCCCCAGCGGGCTTGATTGGGCACACAAATACGATGAAGAAAAATGGTTTCCACAGCTTGAGTTGTGTTCGGTAATCACAGCTTAAAACATGTCTCCTTTGCTGAGTCGCAACCGCACAGGTCTTTGAACATGTAGGGGCATGGATCAAGGTTTGGCTTATGTCTGATTCATTGCTTCATACAAGGCAGACTGCCCCTGTTTAAGAACATTGTCTACGGCCTGGTTAAGAGACACAGCTCAGAAGAGAGTCCAAAGACAGGGGGCTTGCATTCATCCATCAAGCCGGACCAGCTCATTCCCCCTCTGCAACAGGTTGAGCTCAGCTTTCCAAGGCCGTCAGAACCCGAATCGCCTCTAAAAACCGACCTTTCCATAATCAAAGAACAATTTGTGCCATGCCCGGAGGAAAGCTATTGGAAACATGGCTTTTCAATTTGTTGAAGCCCAAATGGTCCAAGAAAGTCAGTGCCATAGCTGTCGAACTTCTTCACCACAGCTCCAATGCCTTTAAACCTTGACAGTGTCCCCAAGCATTTGCAATTGACTTCTCAGCTGACATAAGATTCATGGCATGCTGGCCTCATCAGCGGGTCCCTCTCATGAGAACCAGGATACAAAAGAGCGATCAAGACCGTTCTAAGTAAGTAGAAAGGCCACTCACCAAGGACACCGAGGACAATGCCAATGATGAGCAGGGCCACCGTGTAGGGGACGAGCGTGTGTGCAGAGACCTGCTTGCAGAGCGCGCCCAAAATGAGGGCCAGCCCAAAGAACAGGATTGCAATCTCAGGCTTGACGCCCCCCTCTTCTGTCTTCAAGGTGAGAAACTGGAGGGGGGAAGAGAGTTGTAGGGCCCAGGGGTGTGTCGATGTTGTGTCCATCTGAGCTGATGGAGGGTGTCTGACTGTGCAACTGAATTCTCCCTGTCTTTGGCTGGAAGTGCGGCTAGCTGCTCATGGCTAGCTGATGATCAACGATGGTTGTCAGCAAAAGTTGTTCTGGGACCGAGAGTTAACAGAATCCTCAGCACTGTTCAGGTCTTGAAGCAAAGCTTAAAATGCTAGGCCGCACCAAATTTTCCCCAGCTGAGGATCATGCCCTTCAGCACAAAGTGCACAGCATTGGACATGCCCCCAAGTAGTTCAAAGCCTCTCATATCCTGCTGCGCAGTGCCTGGCAACGTGGGCGGCGTTTACATTGGCCTCCCTCCTATTAGCACCGTCACCATCGCCCCACCATCGCTGGTCTCTTGGCAAAGTTGACCCACAATATTGCAAAAGCTGTCAGCTTTCCTCAGCTACTATGTAGTGGATACTACAAGGTAGCTGTTGAGCCTACCGAACAAGTCACAGCAAAATCCTGACTCACGTGGGCTACCGCAGCTGCAGTAGCTAGCTAGATGCGAATCAAAGGTGATGTTGATGACAGCATGTAGCCGGGGCCCGGCATAGGTATCTTGCATGGGAGGAAGCAAAAGGCTAAAGCGTAATACCGGCCGCCCACGCCTGTGTAAGTGCCTGGGGTCCGATGTCGACACTGATCGAATCTGGGGAATCTTTGTCGACTTTCGTCCGACACGCGTGCGGCGGGAATATGATTGGCTGAGCCTGATTTTCAGATTCCTGACAAGTTGATGACCACGGTTGCTGACGTCATCAAATTTCACCAGGTTCGGCCGGCGCATGATTCCTGAATTTCCACCTGTTTGCTGGCACCGTCCGATGACAGAGCTAGAGGTGGGCGACCGCCGCCCGCCCATGAGCGATGCTCGAGAGCTTGGAAACCTTGAGAATGGGTGCGAATCGAATGAGCAAACTTTACAAAAGGTGTTTGCTTTTATACATGAGCGGTTTTAAAATTTCAAGTATTAATTCAATTGATCAGGTGAGTATGTGTGTGCCCACAAAAGACACTGGCCGGCGGCCGCCGGTTTCTGGAATGTTGCACATGCATGCCTGCAACCGACAGGCTGCAGCTCCCGGGCACAGTTTTTTGACCGCGCATGCAGCAAGAATGTACTGTGCTCTTCCTATACCTTTCGGTTCAATCAGTTCATACACGCGTACGACTCCACGCTCAAAGTGAACCGAGTTACTTTCGAACTTCAAGTATAGGAAGATCAGAGGTCGGAGATGATTAGCTTTAAGCATCCACATACTTGTAAGATAACTTCTATCGGCGCTCGGACATTGAAAGTGCAATTGTCTCTGTAAAAAGCCTAGTGCATCAAAATCTATAAAGCCATTTCACGCGAGCTGCACTGGCGGATTCTTTCATATATGGCCTCCTATGGCGGACTCTGGTATGCGCAGCATTTGTGCATACGTCTTTGCCAACTTAGGTACCGAAGTCACTCTCGAAGCTTATATAAGCGCGCGGGTGGCGGAGGGTCTTGCCCTCTGTGGGCGATGAAGGTGTTTCCTGGGCTGTCGGTTCCCCACACATTGCACGGCCATAGGGACGCCAGCTCGCGGCTCGGCTGCCATATCGGATTGCTTCCGTTGACAGAGACCGGTTCGGCCGCTTCGCTGTGGATACACGTGGCGAAGTCCCTTGGCGGTTCCTCCCAACCGGCAACCGCCACGTGGCCTCCAGGGACGTATCCCTCCGGCGCCCGAGGCGCCCACAGGGTGAGCGGGGTGTAGCCGGGAGTCCCGACGTCACGGTAGATCTGCAGGGACACAGAGATCACAATCCTTGTTGAGCCTTGTTTCGTTGGCGTTATGCGCATGTGAGGTTCTTAGAACCCGCATGAGAGGGCGGAGTCGCAAGCAACAACTTTTTCCTACCAGCATGCAGTATGTCCCTACGTTACTTCCGGAAGACCTGGCCCCCAAAGCATTGTACGATTGCTAGAATCCGACGAGCAGTCGTCGGTCGGACACTTTGCCAGTGAAGCAAAGTTGTTTGCCTGAGAGGTCTGGCTACTTCGTTTTAAATACCTCGAGCACGTGATTGTCGAGTTGTCCAACTACGATGAGTATTCCGAGCCAGGATAATGAAGTTTAACCAAAGGCGTCCCAAAGGCGCTCTTCTTACCAGGTCATATTCGGTCGGAGCAGCAAAGAGGGGCGTCTCCCGGCCGTGATCGTCCCGGTAGGCGGGAACCGAGCCCGGGGGGTCGAAGTCACGAGTCAGAACGTTGCCCAGCGTGACATATCTGCAGATTAGATCGGGCGTTCTTATAAAGGAAAGAGGCTACAACAAGTTCGGCCAGTTGCAGAGCGCAATGAAGTGCGTCTTTTCCGTAGACGAGACAATGCGAGCATGATTGGTTGTACTTCGGTCCAAGAGGGTTTGGTAACCTCAGCACGAAATGCAATGCAGCGCAACTCCTCATCTAAAAAACATCCAATTGCGACCAACTTCAAAAGCGAAACCCAGCGCCTTAAGATAGGTACAACTTCAAGGCGCAAAGACCGACTTTCCCTCTGCCGGTGAGCAGGGACAAAAGCAGCAAGGCGACGTGTGGATCTTATATCTTAAATTGCGGATGCTCACCCGGGGGGAGGCACGGGTCGCCAGATGGCCACCGGCCCGGCGTTGTGGGAGAGCGGTTGCGGGCCGCTGCAGCAGGGGAGGCATCCCAGCGCCGCGCCTGCCTCCTGGGCGTCTTTGTTCCACCAAATGCTGCGGAAAGAGGTACAACAGGGTATTCAGGCGGGGTTCCAGGAGAGAACCGAGCGGCTGCTTTGGATGTTTAGCACGCTGCATGTGTGTGCTGTCAATCGTCGAAGTTTGATTGGAGTTTGAACATGCGGTTCAGAAGATTTTGCGACGCGCAGTAATTTGCACAAGCGCTTCTCCTCCACCAGGGAAGCGGAAAGACCCATACGGTGCTGGAGGGAGGAGAACGGAACGCGGTCGATTGCCAGAGAGAAAAGCACACTGTCGCACCTTCGAAACTCAACTTCATAGCTGTTCACAAAGACAAACAGAGCGCGAAGGCTCAAGACAATGAGCACTAAACCCTCTGGAGGAACGCTCATCCTGCAGCTCCAGCAAAACAAGGTGTGTCAATCTCAATGGACAGTTGATTCTACTCACAGCTCGAAGTGCTCGACAGGGGTCTTCGTGGCACTCTCCGACGGACCCGCCGTGATTTCCAGCGGCGCGCGGCGCGGCTCCTCCTTGTCCAGGTCGGGGATCATGCGCAGGCCCGACTTGCCGGCGCGGTAAAGAGGACGGCGGCGGTGCGTGAGCTGCGGGGGGAGCGGGGAGAGAGGATTAGATTTTCTTTCTCTGTAGGCAACTTGTGAGACGCTCTGATTTCATCTTGGCGTGCTCGAGTTGGAAAAACGTCAAATGAAAGCGTTGAGTCTGTTCACCGCAGACTTTTCCGATACCCATCGCTACAGCCCCTTTGAGACTGCGCAGTTTTAGCTGCAACACAGTTAGCGCGGACTACAGATTTTTAAAGAGTCTTCGTTCCTCTTCTCTACTAGTTTCGCTCAAAATTGCACGAAGGAGGAACCCAAATACCCTTGAAGCCTCACATTTAGCTTTTTGCCCACAATCTTCGCTTCTCATCATTCCAGAATAGCGCTGACCTCCTATTCGCTTCAAGAGAACACGTGAAGTTTTTTTGGGGCCTCTGTTCGCAAGCTCACCCCGATCCCCGTTACGGCTTCCTTCTCCTGCGGCCCAAATTTGGCATGCGCCCTCTTTATCGCAGCGTACACGTGGCGGGCCTGGGAGGTGCCAGGCTGGCACCGGATGCTCCGCATGAGCGCCTTCCTTTCGAAGACCGACCGCGCGTGCTGCCAATGCCGCAGGTGGACGATCACCCGAGGCGGCCTGGTGCTGACGTCCGGGCCGACGTCAGCCAGCTCAAGCGCCAGGTACTCGTCCCAGGTGACGGTCCACAGAACGGTGTCGCCCTGGGGGAAACAAAGCCGTCTGAGTGATCGTAATTTAATAAAATAGGTCTCCAAAGAAGTTCACAGGAAGACACATTGTTGACGACAGAAGCACGGGCAAAAGCTTCGTGAAGCTTATTTCACAAGATCGTCAATTTCAAACATCTTCCGCCAGTTTTTGGGACCATAGGGGTCCTTGCTTGGATCCAATAGTTCTCTGGGGAAAAAGTAGGAGTATTAGAAGCCTGACCTGTACCAGCAGCATCCGGTGGTTGGTGAGGATCAGCGTCCGCTGCTTGACCAGCCAAAAGTGGGCCTCGTAGAAGTCGGTGAGGGCCACCTTGTGCTTCAACTGGACCGCGTGGAGGACCGCCTGCAAAGGAAAGTAGCAAAATGTGAGGGCCTGAGGACTCTCAGATTTCCTGACCTAACTTAACGGGTTTGCTGGACATCTGTAAGTCGGGCGCCTTTCACACCTCCAGAATGTGAATGGACGTGTGAGGCCGTCACTATTTGTTTTCCGGTTTGGATTTCAGGCTTTCCGCATCAATGTCGGATCTCTGGCAACATCTGGGATGCCCAACTCTTGGCCACCATTTTGGAAGGAGCGCACCGTTTACTAATTAAGGTGCAGTTTCTGATTTCCACCGGATGCTTGGATGATCCTCCACCGCTACAAAGAGTAGCAAGTTGAACACTGCTCCCCTGGAAGTAAACTGGTTGCTGGCTCAACCAATACAGGACACTTCGCGGAACGGTCTTGACTAGACCAGAATCAAACGCAGAATCCGGTCCTCACCTGGCCCCGTGCCTGCTCCTCGTCGTACGGCCGCAGCACCCCGTCCGCCGTGAAGGCACGTGGCAGCCGCACGCGCTGTTTGCCCTTGTTCCCGCTCAGGAGCTTGACCCAAGTCGTATCGATGCCGTCCGTGGTTTTGGACGCTAAGTCAAGACATCCGGACGCGGGCAGCAGGAGACAGCCCACGAAGCCCTGCAGGCAGCCCTGGCTGAAGCCCTCCAAACCGTCGCGGGACGCGCCCTGTACAAAGATGAACGCAATGCATGTCAAGCGTTTACGAAGACTGCAGCAGCGTCAAGAAGGCGTCTAACCACATGCTTCCGCGGCGGCCCCTCTGCAAAATATGCTGCCCTTGTGCTGCCAAGGATTCTATCACGTGGTACCGGATTCAGCGACCCGGAATGCGGGCAAACGGGCTATGCGGTCGCCGAGGCGTTACGTGTCACACGACGCCCCCTTCAAGAGGGACGGTGAGACGGGACAGAGTAACTAAGCGCAGCAAGAAGACGTGCGAAACGAGGGCCGCAGTTGGCAAAGCAGAACACTTCTAATCCTTGTCGACAGACTTCCTTAGAATTTCTTTGACTTTTTCGAGCGCCGCCAGTCGTTAAGTCAAAACCCTCCCCTTCTTAAGGTGTAATGCAGGAGCCTTACCTCAGCAGAGCTTCAGATGCAGCAAAAGGAGCAACTCAAACGGTTGTCCTGGGTTTACAACCCCCTCACCTGGACCGGCCTCGCGACGGTGCCGTAGATGCCCCGGGCCAGCGCTCGCCCAAGTGCGCGCGCGCCTTCCTTAATACCGGACCCCAAGCCTTCCACGTTGCTCATGCGCTCCGCCCGGTTGCGGCGCCGGACGAAGACGCGGTCCATGGAAGCGTCCGCAAGGATGCGGCCCGCCTGACCGAGCGTGCTGCTGGTGTTGCCCAGAACGTCAACGCCGGTGAGGAGACGAAGGGGCTGCGATTGGAAACATAAGGATTGGGATTGCAAAACGTGAATTCGAGGGTCTGGGCTCCAATGCTTTCATTATGAAGGTTAGGTCCCTGGCATTTCCAGGATGCAAAATGACTGAAGGCCGAGTCGATTCATATCGAGGATCCAAGCAGACCTTCACGACGACTTCTGGGATCCGTTCTCCTGAGGAATCCCACCGTGCACAGCTCGCGCTTGCAGTCACTGCAAACTTTCAAGCGGCAAAAGTAGACGGAACTTGACAGAAGCGGGCCCAAAGTTAGCGCGTCTTTCAAAGCTTCGGTTTATAAGCTGCGCCAGTGCAGAGCCTTTGTCGAAACACAGAAAGTGTCGAAAAACTCGAAAAGATAAGCATTTGTTTGCTGACGTCCTCCAGTTGCCCACCTGGGAGAGAAGGTCCCGCGCCACGTGGGCGATCATGGCGTTCACGAACTCGGAGCGGCGCATGAACAAGTTCTCCCGGACGACCGCGTGGAACACCAGGTGCATCGCGTTCGTGTTCCCGAGCGCCGTCAGCAGCGGGCCCCACACGCCGAGCGCGCCCGGGGGACGCTGTCCGGGCGCCATTTCGGTCGTCAGCTTCAACCGGTGCTCACTAAAGTCGAGCAGATGAACCCCAATGTACGGATCAACGGTCGCCGCCTGCTGCTGGCCGGGCTCGGGGGATCCCCCCAGGCGGTCCAGCCCTAGCTTCTCGTAGAAGTCGAGCAGCCGCCAGACGATCGGTTCGTGGATGGCGATGTTCCAGGCGATGTCGGGGGTGTGGAGACCGATGTAGGGGTACTCTTGCGCGGTGTGGCCGGGCTCTTCTTTGGAGATGATGGTTACTTGGAGGACCCAACTGGGGGGAGTGCCCGAGTGTGCGTCCTCCGGCTCCGGGGCGAGGAGGACCGGAAGAGGCGACCAGGGCAACTGGTTGTCGACCTGGCGGTGAGCAGCAACACGAACAGATTGAGACAGCCGAACCATTGAATTGAAATTCGTTTCTATGATGTACCAAAGCGCTCTCTCTCACAAAGGTCTTGCTCCTTGGAAATACTTCATGTAGTGGATCGTAGCCTGCTGCGCCAGTTCGGTGGAAAGGAGAACGTTTCTCCTTTTGCCTTCTTTCTTCGAAGGGGAAAAGCGTGGCAACCGTTAAGAGCTTCTCCACACTCCAAACCAAGAAGACGCGGCCAGCCTTATGCGCAGCACATAATTCAGGAATGACCTAAGTCCCTGCCCATTAGCGGTCAAGTTTCACCTTTCAGCGCAAGTGCTCGGGTCTCCAAAATAGCTCACTTTCGTCTCAGGAGCTCGCAGGCGGTTCGATACCATGGCCAAATCATCTTTCTATGGCCTCCTTGATCTCAGAAGCTTTTAAAAGGCTCAAACTCGACTATCTGCTGAGCGGAACTGCAAAAGATCCTAAACTGAAAGATACTGACCTGGAAGTGGCGCAGCTGCAGCCGCGTGCGTGTAACGCCCTTCCCGAGCCCTGTGGTATAGCCCAGCTGCAGGCTTGCCACGTGGCAGTACAGCAGCTCCTGGGGCACGTGGTCGATCACGGACAGGCCCAGCTCCGGGACGTCCACGCTGACGTCAAGCAAGTGGGCGCTCGCCTGCGGGTCAAAATATGGTTTTTGAGAAGCCCGATTCTATTTTGGGGCTGAGTCATGCTATACCGGTAAAGAAATAAAGTTTGCGGCTTAGAAAACGCCATTGCAGATGCGCCATTTGAACGTTGCTGACGAAGCTCATTCTCCACTTAAACTAAGGGAAGAAGCTCACATAGTGCAAGGCCTTTGGCAAAAAAGAAGAACGTTAGTAATCCGAAGTAGGGTCCAGTTTGGGGGCAAAACAGGTTTTTTCCAGGCATCACTGAAGTGAGCTTCCTTACTGGCTAACACTCCCCCATCACTGAAGCGAGAGACCTTGGTATTATAGCAATACTAATGGAGTAATGAAGTTCAGGCCAGAGGAACGGAAGCCTTGTGAGCTCAACAAATTTACCACCCCACAGTCCCAAAGTCTTCAAAACTTGAAGGAACAGAATTACATGGATCCGACGACCCCGACAATTCACGTAGCCAAAAGCTCAACACTCAAATTCTCACAATGAGTTTGGCTTACCTACTCAAGGTTTTCGATCTTGAACATATGGCTCACCTGCGAGGTTCCGAGCGAGTCCTCCGGCGTGGCCCCCACCCAGTCGGAGGCCAGCTCGCCTACTTTCCCGGCGCCGCTGTTGCGGGTCACCACCTGGCGGTCGCCTTCCGGGACAACAAAGCGCAGCACACGCTCCGGGCCTTCCACGTAGAGGAACGCTTCCAGCTGGGGCGGACCGCCGGCGGTGCCACTGCCTGAAAATTTACGCGCAACTAGGTCAGTCCTTCTTGTCCTCCGTTTCCTGGATATTCGAAGGGAAGACAGAAGCACGAGCGTCGTTCCGATAGACCACCGTACGAAACTTGCCGTTGGCAAAGGACTCTGTCTCTTTCGTATTCCTTCTTGAAGATGAGCATCGCTGCGAATAGTGTATATTAAAGAAGAATTAAGGGGTCCACCAGAGTGGGTTCTGCGCTTGCCATTCTGGTCGCTTGAAAGAACCGGCTCGCAACTAGGTCTCACCATATTTCGGTGGTGGCTGTGAGATTGCAGCCCAGAAAGACTCCATCGCTCTTTGGCGCTATCGGAACGGAAACAGCAGCATTCGAAAGGACACAATTGAAGCACAGGAACGATTTACGAAAGACACACGACTAAAAAGTAGAAGGACGGTTTCAACTTCAACGCACCTGGCACTGGCAGGCTGTCCAGCCTCCCAAGCCGCTCCAGGTCATAGCTCTGCGGCTCGCCCAGTACTCCCCCCACGCGCGCCCGCACCTCCAGTCGCTTCTCCTCCTGCACCTTATCTTGCCAAACGAACGCCGCCGCCGAGTGGGGGTCCAGCGCGGCCCATTGCGCCTCATCAGGCAACCCCCCTTGACGATACTCCAGAACGCAATTCCCCGAGCGGTTCTCGAGGCGGTAGGGGGGGTGAATCGGGGGGCGACGGAAAGTGACCAGGAAACGCGCTTCTTCTAAGACAGTGCGGATCTCGATGCGCAGAAGGCGCGGCAGCAGGGGGTGGGTCAGGTCGCCCATGAGAACCGTGAGCGTGCCGTCTTCGTCAGTGCGGAAGGGGCGACTCCAGGGAAGGTCGCCTACCCGGACCTGCAAAAGGACCCAAATTCGTAATTGGCTTTAAATTCCATTTTGGCTGAACGGTTCTTTGTGCCCATGTTCGTCTGGAGCGACTACAACTCTTGGGAACTCAGGAAGAAACTGCAAAGAGATCGAGAAGAGAGAATGAACAAGTGGGACACTGCTCAGTTTCAAGTACCGCTTCCTTGATGAAAAAGCCGGGGGTCCCAAAGATGTCGCCGTACCAACTGTTTTTGACGAGAATTCTAGTCGCTCGCTCTACCCATGACCGTCACGCTCGCTCTACCAGTGACCTCCAATTTCGGGAAAAGAGGCGAACAAGTATGGCAAACGCACATCATGCGCGCTACATCCGCCGGCTTTCCTTGATGTTTCGACCAAGAAAAGCTACGAAGCTTGGTCGAGTTTCGATCCTAGTACAGCCGTGAGGGTTTTATTGACCAACCTCCATCCGCTCGGGATGTTCTGTTGACGTCCAAATCAGCGGCACGGCGGCGGCCTCGACGTCTAGCTTAAGCTCCTTGTCAGTCCCCTCTTGCCGGAACGTGATCGTATCGCCGTATTGGTTCGAGAGGAGCGTGTGCGGCTGCAACATGATGACCTGCACAGATAGGGAGGATTTGTTACGCAGACAATAGCCCTGCTCAAACGAGGATTAAGAACCAAAAGAGACATCCTAGGCTGACTTGAAAGTTGCTTTCAAGCATCTTTTTCAAAGCAGCCTTGCTAGCGACTCCAAGACGTCGCTTCGGAACCTGAAGCCATCTGGCTCCCAAACGACGCCTTGAACAGAAACAAGAGGGCACATGGCATAACGACGTTCTCGCCACGATCTTCCAGCACCAATGAGCATTTGTTCTTAGGCTCCTGCAAAGCGCAACGTTTCTTAGGCTCCTGCAAAGCACATCTTTTTCAAGGTTCCTGCAATGCACATCTTTTTTACGCTCCTGCAAAAGCAAAGTATGTTGAGACTGTGCGTCCTCACCCTGGTCGTCTCGATCTTGAGCGGGCAGCTCTCGATGCCCACCATGACGTTCATGTACGAGCCGTCGCTGCCGCGGGCCATCATCTCCACGCGGTCCGCCTGCACGCAAAGACAAGCGTCCGCAGATCATTGAACGCGACCATAACGTCCGCAACGGTCTCAGTGTGTGGCGAAAGCGTCCGGTCGCTTTCGACACTCTTGGAGACGTCAGACAGCTTCGTCATTTTCGAAAAGCGGCAGCCAAAATGAGAAGCGTGTGAAGTGCAGAGCTTTTCAAGCCATCGTTGAGCGAAGACATCGGTCGAACCGTCCATATCGAGCGGCAAAAACCGTGTGGTTCGTGGCAAATCTCGTTGCAACTTCTCGGAGCCCCAAGTTGTCTTATGTGGGGCACCGCTCAAATCCAGACCTTCAAGGCCTATGATTCGTGACGTCACGACTTTGCCGGCAGCGCCAGTATTGCAGCTTTTTCTTTCCTGTATCTTTCTCAGCTGTCAAAAATCCTGAAACCCAGTGCACAGCTCACCACCTACTCCTCGGCTTTCAAGCCACCATAAGCCGGTCCGTGTACATTGCATCTTCTTTCCACTCAACCCCTAAAACCTCAAAACCACATATTCCGGTACCCTTTCGACCGCTCACCGCATGCTCCTCCAATTCTGCGAGCGCTAGCGCGGGTCCGTAGTCCGCGTCCGAGCCTGCCATGCGGACGCACAGTCCCGCCTTGTCGTCCGCAGCGCGGGACAGCAGCACGGGCTCGGACGGCGCCACGTCGCCCAGGTCTTCCAGCACCTTGGCCACCCGCGAGAAAGACACCACGTCGGCCTGCAGAAATACTTTTTAAAATCAGTTTTCGCGAGAATGGCTGCGACCGGTTGTTTAGACGTCTGCAGCAGCCTCCGCCGCCTGAAAGGCGGGCAAGAATCAGGCAAAATACCCTGGAGACTTTAAGGCTTAAACTTCAATGGAGAAAAGTGAATATCTGGGTCGCCGACCTGCTCAATTCTGCCTGGATCATTCCACAGAACATCTGGGAAAGGGCACTCCAACAAGGGGTCAGACTGCGCCACTATGGGACCAATTTTTGAACATAGCACCATTCAGAGGACGACTCTGCCAAGACTACTGCTAGCCACTTGCCAATGGTACCATGTATTTGGCATCGTCGCCGGCGGATACATACTAAATACTGCGCTCTGAGGCCTCGGTCGGACCCAAAACGGGCGAACTCAGGCACTTACCGGGGCAACCTGGTTCTGTTTCGCCTGCTGCTTGTTCTCCTTCCGCTCGGCGATCCGCTTGGCGATGTTCACCCGGGCGATGGCCTGCCCGATCCAGTGGTCGCGGCCCTTTCCCGCGGCCACAGTGCCGCTGACTTTGACAACCTGGATGGATAGTTTGAGCCCCGGGCGCACTTGCAGCCAGAAAGGCGCGTACAGCCGGATCAACCGGGGGAGCTCGCCGTCGCTCGGTTGGAAGTCGAGCCCCAACCGGAGGTGCCTGAAATTGCGGAGACGTGTATCACTTCCGGAAGTTGACGTTTCCAGAAGCCGCTTCAGGTCCGGGAAAGCGGTCTTTGAAGCTCCCCAAAGGCCTTCCAAGTTGGTGATGCGACAATCGAATTGTCCAGAGCTAGAACCTCTGATCATATCGAATGCGAGGAGTATGTAACGGCGGCGTCGCTCTCTGCTTCAACATGTGAGCCAGTCCAGAGTTCGCTATCTCATAGCTCTGCTGATGTCTTTGCTCCAAACGTGGTGTCCGTGAGCCGTGAAAGCAGCGAAGAGACGTAGAACCCGCAAAACAATCCAGAGTCAAAGGACTTACCTATTTGTGTCTAGATGCGTCAAGGAGAGGACCCTTTCAGGGGACTTGTCGGGATGAGAGATGAGGACCGAGTCCTGCAAAGCAAAGCAGATCGACTGTCATCCAATTCACACTCGTTTTGCAGAACAACGTAATGGCTTTCAGCCTGTCCGTAAGCTTTAGAGAACCAGGTACGTATACGACGCTTTTTCAAGAGGCCCGACTTTCTTAGGTTTTCAAGGTCAGCTTTAAGGAAGTTTTACATTCTTCCCGTCGCCAGTGCTGAGCAGCAGAAGATGTCGTAAGATCGTGATTTGGCAGTGGGTGCCTTCTCAAAGCATATGGGCCGTCAGAGTAAGGTCACGACAATCGACGATTTTGGGGCAGACGGCAGAGGATAAACACATCTTCACACAATCAAGCACGCCCACCCTGGCAACCGAACATGCGTAAGACAGCCTCTGATCACTCCAAAAACTCTCTTAAATGACATTGGGGACGTGTCGCAGCCACGTGGCCCCACCTTATCCATCTGCCAGCCGTCGAACTCCCACTTGAGGAACACCGGGCGCCGGACGTCCGCAGCGAGAATCCCGACTTGCTTTCCGCTGTCCACTTCGCCGCTCTGTCGGGGCTCCAAAGAAGCCCTGGGGGGCTTCTCGTACACCGTGAATTGGCCCCCCTCGGGGAGGTCGTTCTCCAGGCTGATGACGGGGCTGACGCGCAGCTTCCAGTCGTTCACGGGGTCTCGCCCTGAGAATATGCGAAGGCTGGTCAGTCAAGTGGCGAAATTGCTCCCCCGTTGTAACGGGCTTGGCTCTGCCACCATGCGAGCTGGTGATTCGACCTTCCGAGGTACTCATTTCGCCGTTAGAGGTCGCCAAGACGCGTGATTGCCAAGTGAAGCAGTCGTCTTGTTGCTATACAGATCCAGCTTCCTCCTATTGAAGAATCGTTGGGTTTTTCCTGTCCTGCTGATCTGGTCTGACGGACCAGGGTCCGGTCAGAATGTGATATTTGATCCAGATGGATGTGAGGGTCTGTTGACAGATGACAGGCTTACGCAGACTAGAGCTCGGTCATCTCCAACCCTTCCAACTGTTCAAATCCCTGCAGTTTTGTGCAGAAAGCACTTTATATCAAATGTCCTTCATTCTTGGAGCCTCACCCGGCGTCTGCCGCTGCAGCTTGTCCGCGCGCACCGTCATGCAAAGCCACACCTTGCCCGGCACTTTCGCGGCCCTCCCCGTGATCTCATCGCTCTCCAGAATCTGCGTCGTGGGGCTCAACTCTCGCAGCACAAACTCCGACGGCGCCACCCGCTTATGGTGCCGCGGCCCGCCGCTTGTGGTGGATAGAGGCCGCAGAGGGAGCGGGGAATCGTCTTCCGCTTCTGCCTCCTCTGCCGGTTCCGCCCACCGGTGCGCCGGAACGTCGGGGCTTGGGCCGAGCATGGGGCGGACCTGAAAAGATTGGAAGTTGGTTCAAATTTGGAGAATGAGAATTTCACAAAGTTAGCATTGGTACTCCCAGATGTTGAAGAGTTCATGACTGAAAATGTCAGAGATCACGGCGGATTCCGCTCTTTTCAGAAAGTTCCAAGCGGAGAATCAAGGAGGACAATCAGCGGGACGGTTCTCGGCAAACACTCTTCCGAACCGGGGAATGTTACTCACTTTGCGGTTTCAGTGATATGGATGAAGGAAGACACACGTCTCCATCTCCAGAAGACGAACATCTTTCCTAAAAACCTGCCGTTTCACTCGAGCGGGTTCATGCGTCCACAAAGCGTCCCTCAGAAGCTATCCAGAAGCAACCGCAGAATCGTCGCCTCTTCTGTAATGAAACCCAAGCCTTACCTGCAGGCACAAGTCCTTGCTCGGATCCACCGCCGTCCACGGCAGCGGCAGCGTCTCCCCCGCGGCCACCACGCCCAAGCTCACTCTCCCCGCGAGCGACTCGTCCAGCACGCGCCGCCGCACGCGCACCCACCGCCGCCGCCGCACAAAATCGAAGCACTTCTTGAACTTGTACTTGGGGCTCCGGGGGGGCCACCGCCGAAGCTGGCTGAAGTTGCATGCGTATGCCCAGCCCTCGTAATCCACGTTGCCGGACGTGTCGAGCTGCCAGTCGCCAGCCCACTCCCACCCGGGGGGAAGCGGCGGGTCCTTGAACTCGGGCTCGGACTGGGTGTTGTCCCGGTTCGTCCAATGGCCCGGGTCCGTCTGCGGGGCGGGTTCAGGTTAACAAGCTTTCATCGGAATGTCTCCTTGAGGATCTAACATGAGCCAGAGTCTCCTTTTTGACGCTTGCGGACAAGACTCAAGTTCACCGTCAACGTCAGCATTCAAGCGTCAGCTCCAGAGTTTTGGGCAGGATTGTCAGTCTATCTGACTCTTTTGAGTACATTATAGTCGCTTACTGCACCGTATACAAGAAAAACGTAGACAGAAACCGAGAAATCGTGGCCACCCAACTTTGTGGAGTTCGTACGTACGATTCGATGTGAATTGCTCATCGTCCGAGGTTCTTTGCCATGGCAACATGCGAATGCCGCACAGGGAGTGTTCTTGGAATGACATCTGACATGCATCCGGCGACTAAGCCAACACCAGCATGCTCAGAGCAACCTCGTCGTGACAAACGAAGGGCCACGGACAACCTTCAGCGGCCTCGTAACGAGATCATCCGAGCGCTCACCGGCAAGAAGGCATTGCCCCAGCCCACACATGGAATCAGGCGCTCGTTCTCGAAGATCTCCTCTTCCACCTCCAGAGGCCCCGTGATGTCCCGGTCGCCTTGAGACCCCTGTGGCGCCGCAGTGTCGCTCTCTTCGTCATCCGCGTCGCGCAATGCCCGCGGCACGACCGACGCTTCCAGGGAAACCGTGCTGTCGTTGAAGAGGACGGCGGGGCTGCGCAGCGTCACGTGCTTGCGACCATTGGCCATGTCCACCTGCGGGGAGTCACATTGTGAAAGATGTGAGCGAAGGCATCCGGCGGAGCAGCTTTCGCACGCTCTCTGCGAAGAAGCGCTCAAGGGCGGGGCAAGATCGAGACCGCTAGAAAGACTCGTCAGCTTCATGTTTGGAAAGTGGTCTGGTAACATCAGTGGAGCTAATAAGGATAAAAGAACTGCTGGCCCTCAGGTTTGGGGTCCGAGGGTTTGAAGAGGACCATCCAAATAAATTTTGTATATCCGTTTTTCTTGCTCCTTTTCGCCTGTTTTTTAGACTAAGAGCAACACGAGAAGTCCGCTATGTCTTTCACAAAATTGAGCACTTGGCGGACACAACACGCATTTCAAGGCAATGCGTTGGCTGGCCAACCCACCTGTACTACGATCTGCATTCCCCCTACTGTTCTCACAAACGCCCCGACCGGAATCACCGACCGCAGCGAGCTCCACGGCCCGTCCTCTCCGAGCCCCAGTTGAAGCCCACTGGGCCCTTCCTCTTTGCTCTGCACTCTCTTCCCTCTCTTCCACTTCTCCCCACCCGACCCCTCCCCCTTCTCCAGCCCCACCAGTTGCACCGCGACGCTCACGCGCCCGTTCTCCTCGCCATCGCTAGTTCTCAGCGTAAACCATTCCGGCGCGTCTTTCACGTTACTCTGCGGCACGGGAACGCTGGTTCCCCCAACGACCGCGCCGCGGCCGCCGTTCGCGCCCTGGTTCGTCACGACGAGATCGACGGACGCCTCCCCTTCCGGCGGAAGCTCGAACACGAACACCTCGTCCCAGCGGACGTCCAAAAGGTCCGGGGTTTCGGGGTTTGGGCGGCCGACGACGCAGCGCGTGCGCGCGCTCTGGTGTTGTAGCAGTTCGACGAAGTGGCGGCCGAGGGCGGGGGAAGCGGAACCGGAAGCCGGAAGGCCGGCAGTGACGAGGCGAAGGGCGGAGAGGAACTCCTGGGTGTTGACGCTGCTGGCTGGAGGAAGGCCCTGAAATACCAAAGATTGTAATGCCACTTTGAGCCGATGGCAAGCTTTCAAACGAATGGAGCCGTGCTGAACAGCGGTAGAGGGGTCGCTAAAATCTGCACTTCAGAGTCAACCAATAGCCGGAATGGTTCAAAGAAAAGCAGCGCCTCTTCTGCCAAGAGTGCGTGAATTGCTATTTAGTGTCTTCTCAACCAGACGGTGTCAATGTAGTAAACCACACTTTGCGTACCTCTGCGCTGCCGACGCGCACAGCCGCGAACCGCCTCGTCTTTGGCAGCAGCCGCTCCGTTCCGTTCCGCTCGCTGGGCAGCAGAGCGGAGCTCCTGCTAGAGCTCGTCCTCTGGAGCGTCTGGGGCGGAGGAAGCGCCACCCGCGTCTCCCGACCGCTCGGCAGGCGCACAACCTTCCCGGTAGACTCCTCCGAGGACGACTCTACCACACGGACCCACATGTCGCGCCCCAGTTGGTTCGTCACGGCGACGGCCGCCTTGCTCTTCTGATCCAGGGCCGACCGCTCGATTGTCAGTTTGCCCTTCTCCAGCACGCGCTGCACGGAAGGATTTGTGGGTGCTCAGTTCCCGTCATCTTTCGCGCCTCTCTGAATGATTAGCTGCAAACTTATAATCTGGTTCAACACACTGCACATCGATAGCAGCAAAGAAGTTGGAAGAGATACTGAAAGCTCAACCCCTGATCCAAAACCGTGACAGTCACGAGTCCGAGAGCATGTCAAAACTTGCCATTACAGACATCAAAACATTCATTTCTTAGCCTTACAAACCTGCCCCACCTCCCGTCCCCGATGACTTTCTTCAGAGCAAAATCGGCTCAACTCGACGCACTAAACCTCCAAAAAGTGAAAAAGTGTTGCATGCTCTTCTGCCCCTCCTCCTTTGCCTCCTCCTCCATCTGCGTCGCTTTGTCGTACGCAGTCACAACGTCGACGAGCACTCAATGAAGTCAACGAAACCCTTCACTCGCAAAGAGGATTGGTGCTTCACCTTTTGGCCCTCCTTCTTTGCGTCCTCCTCCATCTGCGTCGTCTTGTTGTAAGCAATCACGAAAGTCATCAAAACCCTCACTCCCAAAGAACTGTTGGCACTCACCTTCTGGCCCTCCTTCTTTGCGTCCTCCTCCATCTGCGTCACCTTGTTGTATGCTGCCACGGCCTCGACGAGCGTGCTGACGGTGGCGCTGCTCGCGTTCACATTTACGGCGCTGCTGGCCGACAGCCGCAGCCGGGTGACGCCCGGGAGGGACAGCTCCGACGGGTCGTTCACGTACTCGCACCTTGCAAAGAGGGTCCGGAGCTCAATTTCAGGGTTTTAGAATTCTGAGGTTCCTTTTTAAAGGGGGTTTGAGCGAGACAAATTGTCGCGAAACGAGTGCAGCGCAAAGAGTGCGGAACGAGCGTTTAATGCCACGGCGGCTGGTGGAAGACCGCGGCAGCGGGTGACCCCCGGGAAGGACAGCTCCGAAGGTTGCTTCACGTTATTCGCAGTTGAAAGAAAAAAAATTGCAGCTTGCGGTCTCTTTTAAAGTGCCTTGTTGCGGCGTAGCGCAGCAAAGTGAATTGTTTGACGGACAAGTCTGCTGAGGAAATGGCTCTCAATCCAGGTCGGTGTCCACCAGTGCGTTGGCTTCTTCTCTAGAATGAAGCTGGAAATTATTGACCGTCCAGCGACCTATTTTTGTTGCTCAGCATGGTGATTAGTCCAGCAGCTCACGATTTCAGATCAACATCGCTGTACTCAATAGTGACACAAAGAGGCCAGATCCTCCGCAGAACTTTCTTTAGCAAGCACTCAAAGTAACCGTTGAGCATGCGTATGCAGAGTAATCTTGCAGTCGGTGAGATCTGAGGCTAACCGCATGTCTTCAATCTCTTTCTGGACATTTAATTCTACGCTCGAAAGCTTGCAACTAGCAATATAAATCAAGGTTATCGAGCAAACCCTTCTTGAACCTCGCTCCGAAAGGCAATTTACGGGGTGAGAGTCGCCAACGACCTCACCTGACCATGGCCTCCCAGGGCTCGATGACCGGCTCCCAGACGTCCAGTCCAGGGTTGAAGGTCGCCGCCGCTACTGCTGTGGCCACGACCGCGTTCAGCATTTCGGGGCGACCGTGCACCGTCACCTGGGAAGTGCGCAGACCCGCCTCCAGCAACGGGGTCATCTGCAGAGAGGGAGATCACCGATAGACTGTCAGACGACATCTAAGCAGAGTGCACATGCCCGATTTTTCATAGGGGCAAGAAGCAAGAGCGGAGCGACCGCAGTCAACTTCAAACTCTTTTCGTAAACAGACGGCAGTCGAGCAAAGCGAGCTTTCATCTCGACAAGGGATTTGACTTTCACTTCTTTAACGTGCAGTCATCATGAAATGACGGGCAGGTGTGAGTTGTTGCCTAGTAGTGCTTAGACTCACAAGGTCAGTCCAAGTTCGGCTCGCGGCATGATTTCTTCCTACCTAGTGGCCGCTTGCTGAATTTCTGAACAACACTTCCGTGACCTGCAACTTCTCCAGCTTCTGTCTACCAAGTATCGGTTTTTAAGGAGTAGCAGGACGCTCAGCCACAAGTGAAATCGATTGGCTCCCTTACCAGTCCGCCGAAGTCGTCGTAGACCGTGAGCGTCACCGACCCGAGCTTGGCTTCAAGTGCGAGCGTGTCGGGGGGCCGGTCACTTGACAGGTCCTTGAGAGCGAAAGCCTTGTACGGTGGAGGGGGGTCATGGTCCGGGCCCACCAGGAACGTGTTCATCTGTTGAGTGAAAATGATAAGGGCTTGAACAGGGATCCGGTCACATGGAGCTATATGCAGCTTGTTGGGAGTACTGGGTGCTTAGCAAGAAAGTCAAGACATTCAAATATTTGACTTCCGATTTGGCATCAGCATGACGAGTACATAAGCATCCCAAAACAATACACAGGATCTAGGTTTCTCAGTTCCTTGTCGGAAGCGCCTTCTTTTCGCATGAATCAAGTGCACCGGATCCGGAGAATAAGGTTTCTGTTGGCGAGTAGCATACATAGATCAAATCCTCCGTATCTGGGATTGCCAGGTCGAGCCTGAGATTCCAAGCTCGGAGCGAAGAACAGTGTGCATACGGGGTTCGATTTCTAAAGATTCGTCCGGCTTCTGACAAAGATTGGACAGCTTTGGTGTTTCCACACCCCTCGAAAGATTTGCCCACCTCATTCTGCACCCGCCACAGCCCCAGTTCCGGCAGGCCCCGCACGCCAAACGTGTCCATGAGCGGCGGGGAAGCGGTCCCGACCGGCCTCAGGAGGTCCCTCCGGACACAGCGCACCAGCGACGTGGCCGGTTTCTGAGTACCGGGGCAAGCCACACAGCCCAGGGCGTGGTAACCAGGCGGCGCTCGGGGCCACCAAATGGACACCGCGTGTTTTGAGTTGGGGTGGGGGAAGACGATACAGAGGTCGTAGTCCTCGGGAGAAGCCCACCGGTCGGAGCCTTCGTCCACGACGGTGAGGCCTTGGGCGGGGGGCTCGAAGCTGGGGAAAGAGAAGGATTTTGGGAATTTGGGGTCTGCTTTAAAATGTTGAAGATACTGCGGTGACGGCTGGAGCTACAAGTGAGAGTCAATCTAGAGAGCTACTTCAATGCCTGGTCAATTTGGACGGTCTGACACTCGCAACCCCCTACTTACGGGTTTGGCACCAGCAGAAAGGATAAAATCTTTCAGGACTTTGAAACCTATGATCAACCTGAGGCGAACCTGGATCATCCGAAGGACCGCAGCAGTGGCGCTGAATTGCTATAGACGACTTGTTGTGCAGGGCAGATCTACATCCCAGTGTCCTTTCAGGGAGTATGTATAATTGCAACCCAGTGAACGGAGACCCGTACAGTCGACGCAACCACGTCCCATAGCGTACACTTAAACCATATACGTAACAGATTCTTAATGAATTGAGTCAGAAACAAGCCCATCGAAGCTTCTCACCCTGTCACGGCAACGTCCCCAAAGATAGCACTCCCGGCGGGCGGCACGGGCCGCCAGATGGACACGGGCTTGATCCCGGGGATCCCCTTGCTCCACCACACCCGCCGCAGCTCCGCCACCACTTGGTAAACCTTGCGCCTCTCAGCGATCGCCGGGTCTTCCGCTGCACATACACGAAAGCCAGTTCTTTTGACAGGATTAAGGCTTTTCGACTATAAGATCACAATGATCAATGCCATACAGAGGCGAGTTCCTGATGGGTGTGCCTACGGTAAGCTGCTTCCAGATTTCAAAAGACGGGCTCGGGGGTCGGGAGTGAGGAAGCAGCGGCCAGATTATACCTCGACAAAAGCAAGGTTCAAAAGCAGACAGTCTTCGAGCAAAGACCTCGCAAAGATGCGCTTTTGCTGCAACACGCTCCATTTCCCGTACAGCATCACCATCAGAAGCATGCTGTAAGGCATTCTTTTCCAAATAGGCACCGCGCTTGTGCCACGTGTCGCACCTTCGTCCCCGTCCTCCAGCGACGGTAAAGAAGACGCCCCGCCCGTCGCGCCTTGCCGGGAGGGCAGCCGCGAGAGCCCGGCGCCTCCTCCCGGGGGCGGAGCGTCAGGTCGGGGGGCAGCCTGGCCTAGACTGACAAAGCGCAGCATGTCTCGGAGATCGAAGGCGGCGTCCTCAGGTGCGGGGCCGGGGCGATCCAGGAGAACAAATGTTCCGGCACTGTTCTCGATGTGCCACAGGCTGAGGGGCGGGCGATCGGGGCTGCAACAAGGTTTGTCGTGAGGTCACTTGAGAGGCGAGGAGGAAAATGACAGACGGGGATTATGGAATCAAGGGAGCGATGACCTTCCAAAGCTCCAGCTCTGTTGAGGTGACCAACCCGCGGTTTGTTCTTCTTTACATAGTAGGGAGGAACTCAAACGGCAAGGCTTGTCAGGGCACTGGTTAATTCAGGAGCAGGTACTATTCGATGTTGGCGAAGCCCTTCATATCTCTCCTCTGGTACTAACGTGGACTTCGGAATATAGAAACAATCCGGTCGAACTCATATGGTGCCAAATATGCACTTCTCTATGCGACCGCCCTTTACAGTACAACAAGCAGCATCAGTTCCCAGCCTGCATCTTACAGAAAATACATTAGAAGGTCCATGCGGTGGAACTCACCTGCCGCCAGCTTGGCTGAACAAGCAGTCCCCCACGGCCGCCGTCGTCACGAGGTCCTCCCGAGCGCACCACACCACGCCAGGGGGAGGCTGCCGGGTGCCTTTTTCCACCAGGTACCCCAGAGTGACGTAACCGGGGGGAGCTACCGGGCGCCAGATGCTGTAGCATTCTTCCGGATCGTCACCGGTCCCTTCTTCGCTCGCTGGGGTGGGGCTGGTGTAAACGCGCTCCAGGCGGACCGGTTTGCGCGTGCGGCTGAAAGCGGTGCTCAGGGCGAGGACTGCCTTGGACGGGGGAGTGGGCCTGCAGCGGAAGTTAACACGTATTGCAGTCTGCTCTAACTTTCCAGGCGTCCATTGTGGTATCTTTTGAAATTGCGGATTTTGGGTCGCGGCAACTTTCCAGATGACAGGATTGAAATGACTCGAAGGCTCGCACCTTTCTCTAGACCCGTGCAGAGTCTTATCTAAGAGCGGAAAACCAAGACCTTGAAGGCCAAAGAAAACAGTAGTGAGTGCGCGAAAGAGGTGTCCCCAAGCTCTTGCTCTGAAGATCTCAGGACAAACTCTGAAACCCAAGCCGCAACAGCGGGTCAAAGTTGCAAATTTTCGATTCTCATGAGGTTTCCGTCAGCGACAGCTCAGGAAATCTGGTGGTGCAACCTAAGCGGAGCGGTGCGTACCCTGTGACGAGGCAGTCCCCCAGGCTGGCATAACCGGGCGGCACACGTGGCCGCCAGACAGAGAGCGGGCGGCTAGACGGCAACTCAGCATTTCCTGCAGGAGCAAGGAGAAACGATTATTGCGGCGCTTTGAGACAGCAATGTGTTGGGATGGTAAGAGCGACATCAAGCATAGGGGCCACTGACATCGATGATCTCCAAAAACCAGTCTGCTAAGTACGGGATCAAAATCGCGTTTTTAACTCGAAAGTTTTTTTGGAAAGGCGCAACCCATTTCCAGCCTTTACTGGAACGGACGACAGGTCACCGACGATAAAGGCGCCAGCATCCTCTTAAAACCACTCCAAGCTGCGTCCGTCCATGTGATGAGGACCGAAGAGAAAGGCGTGCACCGCCCACCTTTGCCGAGCCAGATCCTGTCAAACTGCGTGCACTTGACGGTGAACTGGCTGGACGTCAGCTGCAGCGTTTCCAGGATGTCTGCCTGCAGCCGCAGCAGCAGGCGCAGCGTCGTGAACGACAGGTGCACCGCCACCTGCACGGAACGTGCCATCGATTCAAACAACGTTGAAACTCAATCATACGCTCTTCAAAATGGAGGCCACTGTTTGAGTGCATATATACCGTTGATCATTGAGCCAATCTGCCTGAAACGAGGTAGAATGAGCTTCCATAGGCATTCTAGCGGCCGAAGCGTGCAAGGACAACCGTTATGGAAGAGGTCGTAACCGGATTGTTGCGTCGCAGCAAGCGGCACCCCTATCATTCTTGTTTTGTGAGCCCACGTTTTTCAACCGATGGAAAAGTCAAACGGTGAACAGCAAGTCAAACATGACCGGCCCGCCTTGGAGAGGCGGCGGGGGCTTGCCTCTTATCGACGAAAACCGTAGATTGTTCCAAGCCGAGGGTTCCAGGTTGACTCTTTGGCCGGTATTTGAGACCCGACCTTCGTGCATACGTAGTAGCATGTAGAGATGTGTGGCCCCGGTACACATTGTCAGACTGCCCCATGAACTAGCTAGGGGCCCCAAAGTTACCCGGAAACCCGCACAGCGACCGACACTTGAATTTCGAAGGCCGTTACAGCGTTACGTCAGTCCATTCGAGCGGCATCGCGGGCGGGTTCGACGGCGAGGCACATTTCATGCAGCCGCGCGGCGGAGTGTGAAAGAAATGGCATTCACGATCTGCCAGATTTTTCGGCTTTACTGTACGATTTCTGTCGAACGCCGGCTGTGTCGGAAGTCTTCCGCAGACTCGGGCCACTCAGGCCCGCATCGCGACGTCGTACAGCGTCGCCCGAACCGCGACGTTCGTCAAAAAGTATAGCTCTCTCTTTACTAAGAGTAAAGAGGCAAGCCAATATCCAATTGCTTACCGGGCTCAGGGCCACTGCCAGCAGCTGCTTCCCTCCGGTGGTCGTCAGTTCCGCCGTGGCAGTCAGAGGCTCCACCACGCTGACACCGTTGCTGGCCTCCACAGTCAGCCCGTTGATGAGACCCCGCGCCCACATGTCGTTGCCGCGCATGGACAACCTGCGAGTAGGGCATGACTTCTTTAGCACCTTTGCAGGTGCGGTCTGTGACTTTTTCTTGACGTTCCTTTCCAATTACGGCTGTGTGGCCCTGCAAGACGCCTTTGACTTGAATGTCTGAGATTTCAGTCTGTTTGCATCGCTCACCTTTATCACATCAAGACACGGGAGCAACTGGTAGCAGCAATGAACTAAAATGACGTCCAACCTCGTCTTCCGAGCCAGCTGCAAAGTGTTGAACACGGCTCATAGAGCCTCATCAACGAAACGCCTAGAAACGCTAAGAACCGCACTCAAGTTTCGAACCGTCAGGTCATGACTGGGAGGCAATTGATCCCGAGGGAAGGATCGTAATATGCTTACGTCGCATGCGCGTCCATCTTGAGCCTCAGCAGGCGCTCCGGCCGGACGACCGTGCCCGATGGCCAGGGGGTGCTGTCGTAGAACGTCAGCTCCGGGCTGTATATCTGCAGAATATGCGCATGCGTGCTTGACGGATCGATCTTCGCGAATCACAGCAAAAAGTGGCCTTACGGTAGTATTGTTCATCGTGCGTGTGTTTCCCAGGACATGGAAGATACATGTCTTGCACAACACTTCGTGAGAGAGTGTCGAGGAACTTGCTACGCTTTCCAAGCAGATGCTTTCTTGACTTCACCCGGGACGATTCAGGGAATGCTTGCCAAGCGTCTCTAACAACTGGGCGGCGGATTTGTAACAGGGTCAATCAAGCCCTTTTTGTGCTAGCCAGCTCGAGTTCCCTTCAATGAAGTGAGACATGCGACGACGTGACACCATCTCCAGGTGCCAGCAGGTGACGAAAGGCATCCGACAATGTGACATCGTCTCCAGCAGGAGACGAAAAGCATCCGACAACGTGACATTAACGCCAGCAGGAGACGAAAGAGTACATCCTATACGACCGTGGTCAAGGACTGCTTACTTGGGCATGCACCAACATTTTCACTGGCGGGCTCTGCTGCTGCTGCTTCGCCTGAGCCACTTCTTCCGGCCCCTTCTGCACCCTCTTGGTCAGGCGCTGCTCGGAGCGGGGCACCTCGTGGGCTTGCGCGATGGCCTGCCGGCTCGCCTCCAGCGTGACACCGTCCGCTTCTTCTACTGTGTAGCGGCTACAAGCGCCCAGCTGGACCGACCAGTCCAGGAACGCAGCGCCCTGCGGAACAAGTACGGAAAGAGATGTGATTAGTGTCAGTTTTGACGTTCTGAGCAAGAGTTTCTGTGGTTCTGTTTGATCGGGGTTGTGGAAGAGGGGCTCTTCTACTAAGGACTGCTAATACATGAGCAATGCGGGAACGGGTTTGATGTTGCATGTCATCAAAATTATGGGTTTTGTTTTCATTCGAACGAATCGAACGCAGGCAGGAAACCGCGGTTTAGAGGGTGAAAGGTTCCTAAGTCGATGGTCCAGGTCACTGGATGCTACTGACCAACTTAGGTTTTAGCAGACGGTAAGAGGATACTCTTAACATGAGTTTACGTGAATCTTCTGGTGCAAGAGGAGGAACAATGCGCTGTCCCTTGCTTGCCCTGAAAATCACTACAGAAGTGCACGAATTCCTAAGAACTACTCAAGACAAGCATCCAGCCCCTCTCTCAGTACGAGCGCGAAGGAGACAAACCCCATTGAGAAACGGAAATAAACAACGACCTAACACCTCCTAGCAGACTTTCACTTCTCACCTTGATCGTCACGTTGCGGAATCTCAGATTCTTCCCCGGGCCGATGATGATCAGGGGGGTCGCAGGGGGCTTATGCAGCACCTCCCCCTCCTGATCCTTCAGCACCAGCGTCCCCCCCTTTCCGTCGTAAACGTACTCCGCCACCCCGGGGCGATCCGCCACCAGCTGCCGCCCGGGGGACAGCGCCAGCTCTTCTTCCGACTGCTCGTACACCCCCCCACGGAGCCGAATATCGTGCTGCGTCCCTAGGGGGTCCAGCTTCTGCGCCTTGCCCTCGTCCGCGACCCCCCCGCCAGGGAGCATCGCCATGTGGGGGATGAAGAACTGGAACACCGCCAGGAGAAAGTCGACGACAACCAGTACTCGCGGACGCTGCAGCCGGACGCTGACGGTTATGCTGTCCGGCGCGATTTGGGCGTCCACGACGAGCAGCGTCAGCAAGGGGGATCCCTCTGCTGCTTCGGCGCCCGCGTGCAGGGGGTGGTCTGGGTCGACATCGACGGTGCTCCCGACGAGGAAGCGCATCGAGTCGTCGGTGGAGTCGCGGAGGTCGAGCAGGTGGAGGCGCAGCAGGGACGCGTTGATGACAGACACCTGGCTGGTCGTCATTCGGTAGGCCGCCCACAGGCCCTCCATCTGAGAGGAGAAAAATTATTCGTATACTTTAGGTAAGATAGTGTCTAGGTAGGATAGTAACAGTCCTCGGGAGACACAGACCTCAAATCCCAAACCGACTGATGTACCCGCTCCGCACCTGTCCCCACCCTAACCCCCAACATAACCCACCCGTCCCCCGGGCCATGACCATATCCCACCTAGCACTAACCTACCTAAACTATAGACCTATGAGAGAAAGTACCAGCTTGGTCAATTGATCGCTGATCGAACGGTCCGACAGCTCGGTCCATGCCTGGCTCCTGGACACTGCTAACGCTCCGGTCGGTGCGCTGACCTTTTTGTTACTTAAAGCCTTGAAGTATTCTAAAGTTCCATCATTATACACCGGGGGTCTGGCAAGTTGACTTTAGATTCTCAATCTAAAGGCAGCTGCAAACTCATGCCATAAAGAGTCTGTTACCAGTTGCTCCAAAAGGTCGGACACGACTCACTTCAAAGCCGCGGTCATCCTCGCTCAATGAATGACCTCTTTATTCTTCTTTGATTAAAAGTAAATGAGAGACCCACATGCGTCTTGCTTTATCCAAAGCATACTGAGACCAGGAACAAATAAGGGGCAAAACCGTGCCCTAGCCGTGCCGCTCACCTGCACGAGCGCCAGCGACGTCTCTCTCGTGTCCGAAGTGTACAGCTCCACCTCCACGCTCCGGACGTCCACCGTCAACCGCACGCTCGCCCAGGGTTGCCCCTTTTTTTCTGCCCCCCCACTTTCCCCACCCGTGCCCACCCCCCCTTCCACTTCCTGCAGCTTCTCCTCATCCTCTGGCAAAAGCCCCGTCCCTCCCGCCTCGACAATCTCGTTTTGGGGGGCTTGATCTGCCGCGGTCTGCTGACCCCCAGGAGCTGGCGCCTCGTTTTCGGCGTTGCGCAGCTTGGGCGGTAGGTGGGGTTCCTCACTGAGGTTGGTTAAGGCGACCCGGGAAACCACCTGGTACTCGGAGCTGGCCATTCCGGCCTTGAGCTTGTCCACCGCGACCGTGATGTCGATCGCGGGAACCTGCTTCAGGACGTCGCGCAGCGGCCGTACTGCAACCACCTGCGAGATACGCCGCACCATAAATCATGATTCTGGGCATCAACAAAGATAGCAAGTGAGGCTCGAGCAAGGCTCGAGCGACGAGTGGGCTTGAGATCAGCGTTGCTTGTCTGCGCGCTGTTTAACTAGTAAGCACAATAACAGTCTGCATTTTCTGCTCTGTAATGCTTGACAAGTTGAATCCCGAGGGATGACCGAAGCAGTGCTCTTCAGCATGTACTGGTTGCCAGGAAGCTGGGTTTTATGGTCTTGATTGAAGCACAACGTTGGGGCTCAGTCGCTCCACACAAGCGAGTACTCATCACAGCCTAGATTACTCCCCACGCAAGGGTCTTCTGCTGTCGAACGCTTCTGGAAGCCTACAATTGAGAACCGGAGCCAAATATGGAGCTCCAGCGCTTCGCTCCGGACGCTCACCTGCAGTCCCGACGCCTCTTCCACAATCTCGTGCCCGACCTGACCGCCCTCCCCCCCGACGCGCACCCCCAGCCCCTCTATGCTCAGCGTCATCACGTCTAACCTAACGGCCGCCATATCCTCCTCTCCCTCTCCGCCCTTCCATTGCGCCTCGTTATTCAGCGCTATCCGCTCAATCGCTAGCTCGATGTAGTCCTTACTATCGCTGCACTCTGGCATTAGAATCACCGGACTCTCCATTTGGACGTCCAACTGGATCGCGGGCTGTCCGTGCACGTCCGACTGCTGGATCCACTGCTCCACCCCCGCGACCGTCGCCCGCAGCTGCTTTTCCGTTTCCGCTCCCGTCCCGGGCGGAATGAGATCCATGAAGTATGCGCTGAGCTCTTGCACGAAGCGGTACAGTATAACCGTGCGCACCGCCGCCAGCCGTACGCATAAGCTATAGTCGTAGCCGAAGTACTCGTCTTCCCCCGGGTCGTACGACTCAAAGCTCGCCATGATGAACGACCCCCCGGCGGCGCTCTGCATTCCAAACATTTCCCCGTACGGGTGCCCCTCCCCCAGGCGCGCATCGCTTATCCTCAAGGACCCAAGCTCGGCTTTCACCGCAAACGACGACGGGAAGACGCGGACTTCGTTGGACAAGTCCAGCATCGCTAGGACGCCTAAAGGGATCCCCCCCTGATCCTGATTCAAAACCACCTGCACCCGTTGCATGCGCACTTCAAGCCCGAAGATCACCCGGCTTTTTCCATGCCCCAGCAGCCCGCTTATGACCGCCGGCTTCTCCGTAGACTTGCCCGGTTCCAGCGCCGCCGGTTCGAACTTGCTGACAACGGTCCCCTTGCTTTCCTCGCCCTCGTCTTTTCCTTTTTCCGCTTCCTTATCCTCTCCTTCCGCCGGCCCCTCCTTTGATTCTGCCCCTTCGTGTTCCCTCCCCTCCTTTCGCCTCTCTTCCTCACCCCCCACTTTCTGTTTCCCCTTATCCAGGGGCCCAGCTTCGCCCTCTTCGCCTTTGGGGGGTTCCGTGATCTGCTGCACAAAATCCATCAACGCCAGCACCGTCGGGCGGTTGAAAAAGAAGTCGAGCGTTGCCATGTCTAGCACCACTTGTGTATCCACTCCCCTATACTCCGGACTCTGCGTCTGGCGCATAATCGCCACCACTTTCACGAACGTGCTCCCCTTTCCGCCGGTCTCCTCCTGGTCATCCTTCTCCTCCAACTTCAGAATCCCGCTCTCCTTGAACGAGGGGGGGAGCAGCTCCAGTCTGCGGCCCCTCGGGCTGGCGCCCCCCTCCGGCGCGTCGAAGTAAACGCTGCCATGACTGGACACGGTCCGGGGACCCAGGCTGGGTGACCGACCGGAACGAACGGAACGACCAGACCTGGAACTGTCTGAGCGGGAGAGGGTGCTTGCGGCGTCGTAAAAGTCGTCTCCGTCAAGCTTTTCCACCTCGCCCTTCGGCGTCCTGGGGCTTTGCATTCCTTCCTCGGCTCTCTCCGTGTTGCGGCTTCCGGCGGTTTCCTCCTCTGCTTCACTCGCGTTGTTCATAGGGTCTCTGCTGGGATCGCCTTCTCCTTCCGACCTAGTTGCGGTACTTTCGGTCGCAGCCCCCCTCTTTCCCCCCTCTGCACGGGGCGGCCTGCCCCCACTGGTCCGTTCTTTCCTCTCGCTGCCTTCCTCTGGTCCTCTTCCCGCCCCCTCTCCGCCTTTCCCGCTCTCCTCTCTCCCACTTCTTCTAGATCCCCCCTCATCGTCGACCTTATCCCAGCCCGACTCCTTCTCCAGCGCCTCCAGCGCTTGCGCCTCTTCGCTTTTGCTCCGATCTAGATCCTCCCGCGCCGCCAAAAACGACCGGGCCAGGAAGCGGCACTCGGGGGCCGTTCCCCCGTGCAACAAATCCTCAATCTCCACCGACTGGAGCACCATTCCAACCGACATATCGTACATTCGTTGTACCATTTCCACCCGGGTGCCCGACGCCCGCACCTGTAACAGCGGAAACTCTTCTCCCCCGTTTCGGGACCCGTCCACGTCCACCCGCAGAACGTCTAGCACTCCGACTAAGAACACGTTCTGCTGCAGTGCCGGGTTCAGCTCCTCCCGGTCACTCGCCTTTTCCACGACTGCTTCGACCAGCCTGCCCTCTGGTGTGTTGGCACGCCCCGGGGGGATCCCTCCGGGCGTCACTTCGTGCTCGGGTTGGCTCGCGGCGTCGAACTCGCTGCCTTCCTCGCTGCCAGAGTCGCCGCTAAGGAGGGTGAGGGCGGCCGGGGCGGACGCCCGGTAGACGGCGTTCTGCATTGCCGCCTTCCACTGCTCCTTGCGGGCCTCCGAGTCAAAGCGCAGGACGACCGCGTTCGTCGCCTGAGATCAGAGGTAACGGTCAAATATCTGTTCCCCATCGGGTTTTATTTATCGTGCTTCCAAATTGGCAGTATGGCTAATGCGTATGCCCCGACGTCACGCCAAGCTTCAAATAGAAGTTAAATCCTTGTGACCAACCTGCGGCAGGCCCAAAAGGAAGAAAAGGATCAAAGTGACCCATCGTATACACACAGGTTCGCACAAAGGACACCCAGCTTTGAAGCCTGTTCCTTGCTACTCTTTCGAAGCTCCTTGAACATAGCAGCCAGCACAGAGGGGTTTTGACAGGAGCGTCCTTGTAATTCAGATGTTGATCGTTTCTATATTCAGACTAAATACTTCAAAGTACTACTAAAACTCTGGCCCGTAGCTCCAAGCTGCGATCAGTTACCTGGGCGATGCTGTCGACGGACGCCCCGGGGTCCATCACCGCGACCACGTGCTCGCACCCTTGGATCTTGTCCGGGGGCACGTCCCGAACCTGCTTCCCGATCAGGCCGGTGTAGTGCATGTACGTGTCGGCGTCTTTGTGATCGAGAAGGTACAGGTAGACGCCCGCCAAGAGACCCCAGGCGGGCTTCCACGTGGCTTGCGTGCGGGTCAGGCCCTCCCATCTCAGGACGTGCACGGGGCCCTGTAATGAGAGAAGTGCGGTTGACTTAACACGGATGCCAAGAAGATTGATGAGATGGACGGCCATCGTGAAGATTTTCAGTGTCTATGAATCAGGAAAGCACAAAATCAGTGTAACGAAAGCAAGCGACGAGGTCTTTGAACGCAGCACAGCGCGTCTACTACCTCCTCATGGAAAGCACTGCGCGTCCACTACCCTGCTCATGGCAGAACAAACGAAAGCTGGGCTGGCTATAGCGTCCTCTGCTTTATCGACGTGCTTCACTTTTAACTCAGGAAGCTCTGCAATTGTCCTCTTGATGCCGGAGACGTGAGCAATACACGCATCTCATGAGGTTGCTTCGGCCTTCTGGTTTGAAAGTGGCGGCGCTCTCATCTGGAAAGAAGCGATAAACAAAGGCGACTTAGCGCGCGGCAAAAGATACTCTTCCACCCACCTCCAGCTCGGCCGGTCCCCACGGCCGCAGCTCCCCATCTTTCTCCGCGCGCTCGTCCAGCTTTTGTTCGGGCTCGCTCTTGGGCAGCACGGCATCCACGACGGCCATCAGTCGGTGGTAGCGGGCGGGGGAGAAGTGGAAGCCGAGCAGCGGGACGCGGAGGGCCACCCGGGTGGTCGGATACCGCGGGTGGGGCATGAAGATCTGGCACAGGATAAAAGATGCTGTAATGGTCCGAGAGAGTCGGTTTTCCTGACAAGTTGTGCGGAGAGCACTTGCGGAGCTGCAGAGCTCTCAATGAAATTGACCACCTGCGCTTTACCAACAACCTCAACGAGTACCGTTTGCAATGGTTGTGACCGAAAGCTTGATTAGTCTGCTATCTTTCACCTTGTTAGCGTGCACAGATGAATGCTTCAACAACGCCAAACATTTCCAAGGCATGACAACGAGGATTATCTTGAATGTATCTGAGAGCTCGATTCTAAAGTGAACCAGCAACACTGGCCAGCCGGAGGTCGTTGTGGATCACGGTTTTTGCACAGGAGGTGCGCAGGTATGATGAGCGATTGCGTTTATAACTGATTGGAAGAATGGCGAGCTTGATAGACACGCCCTTCCTTTGTGGAAACCCTTTAGCAATCTCACACTCACCTGATGAAGGGCTACAGTTAGCCCAGTGTTGTCCAGTAACGAGAGCACTCTCGAAGTGGGGCCTTCCGTCTGCTGGCCCGGGGTCTCCTCCCCACTCGTTCTAGACGTAGAACCTTCGGCCTCCTCTTCGAGGCGACCACCCGGTTGGTTGTCTTCCCCTGTCTTGCACTCGGGTGCTTCGTGAAGAGGAGCCCGGGCTTCCCAGTCCCAGTCGCCGTCGCTGAGAAAGGCGGAGATGTCGGTGGCGTTGAGCTTGAAGCGGGTGTACAGGTCGATCTCTTCCTTGGATAGGTCTGTCGGATCCTGCAAAGGATAGAGCAGAATGTGGACCCGTTACATATGATCGGCCAGAAACAAGTTAGAACTCGGACCGGGCAGATGCGTAATAACCTGGGTTTGATCTTGCCAGCTCCTGATCAAATGGAGTCAAGACTTTCAGCTACAGATACAGAGCGGATCAACGGGAAAAGGACAACAGTGAAACACTTTGCTCTACAAGTGTGCTCTAGAAGTGGCTTCGCTTGGTTGGCAATGAAACGCTGCTCCTTTAGCACTAACTCCACCACAGATTGCCTCGCAGTAAGGGACAAAGAGGCAGAACTCAGCTAGTGTCACCCAAGCTTCATGGCCATGCCGTTAATCCAATTCTGCAAGTCCACAAGGTCAGTCTACGAAGTTAGACGACGAAATTCAGCAAAGCATCCACTTCATAGGAATGAGATGTTGAGCTGCTTACGTCGTCCGTACGGACGGTAAAGTGTCCGAGGTCCACCAGCAGCTGCGTGTTACCTCCCCCGTCCGCAAGATAGCTGGTGGGAATCGCCACCTTGGGGGCATCCAGGTCCAGGTCGATACTGAAGCGGGGTTTCTGCTGCATCGCCGCCTGAAGTTGCTGCGTGGCGCTCTTCCTCGCCTCCTCTAGTTTCACCTGTCGAGAATCTGGAACTGTAAGGCCCTGCTACGCTTGATTGGCTTGTATTTCAATTTGCGTGCTCGCTGTCACTTCGACAAAAACTTGAAAGCGCTGGCAGTTGAATGCTTAAACCTGTCCTGCAAAGACTACCAATCTCTGATAATCTGACTGTTTGTACGGCAAGAGTCGAACCATTTGTATAACATCTTGATCTCTGGCCCTTGCAGGAGCGCCAACTCTCATGCACATGCCAGAAACACCTCTCAGCCATGTAGCAAGTTATCAAAGTCGTGGAGTCAAAACGAAGAGGCTTCCGCAGGCGCACCAAAAGCGCCGCTGAATCTAGTGCCAGGAGTCGAGGAGTCGTAACTTCCGTTTCGGAGGTTCCTAAATCCCAAACGCGTATTGAAAGGAAATTCAAAGCTCTCACCTGCAGTGCCGCAGCTGTGTCTTGCACCGTTGCCGGGCTGGCGGCCCGCCCGGCCTGGAAGAAGTCGAGCACGCGGTCGACGCTGGCGCGCCAGATGGTGATGTGGGCGGGGGCACACGTGGCGGCTAGGGACCAGTCGAGGTCGGAACGGTTTAATGGGGCGAGGACGAACTCGAGGGACACCGTCTCCTTGACGTCCTTCCTTAGAATACTCTGCAAATTTGAGGGCGGTAGAAGGTAACTTGCTGGGAAGAGACTTGAGAGCATTCTCTTCGAAAGTAAGTGACTAACAGAAGGTGATACTTTGGTGCCTAAAGGTGTGCGGTGGCTTGGACCAACATACTCAAGCAGGCCTGAGACTGTCCCGAAGGAAGACACATACTTCGCGAGCAGTTTTGGAAGAGGGACCGCTCCTGGCTCTCGTGAGAAGCGGCATTTTGACATGACCAGAAGCATGGTTATACAAAGAGAAATCCTTGAAGGCTCGGACACTTCTCAGTACACGTGAATGACACAGAACGAAGTCGAAGGAGGTATTTGAAGACAGCAAGTGCTGAAGGCCACACTCCAATCTCAAGTACTCCCGTCAGTTCAGGAGCCAAACGAGCACCAGCAAATCGGAAGCTACACTAACCTTCTTATATTTTGGTGCTACTCCTTGTATTGCTTGTTTCTGCACAATAAAGCACCAGCCCCCAGTTATACGAGTCTCCCTACCTGCAGCAGCTTCCCCTCTGGCACGTGCACCCCATATCGCTCCAGTCCAATTCGCGCGACTTTCATCTGGGGGTACACTCGCGCCCCAACCAGGAACCCCTCGCTCCCCAGCCTCAGAACTTCGTCGTCTTCCGCTCTCCCGAGCAGCCGGACCTGGCTGCGGTGGAACGTGACGTCAAGTGCCACCTGGAGCATGTTGGGCCCTTCCTGGCCGTACATTGCGGCCAGGTTGGCCGCCCCGGGCTCGTCTAAGCCCACCAGCTGTTGGATCTTTGCCCACTCCGCTTCGGACAGGGCCTCGGGGCGCTCTACCTGGCCCTTGGAGCCTCCACCGCCGCTGCGCAAGGAGGACGGCAACTTTAACTTAGGAGCAGTACTGGCAAGGCGTCGACTCCTCATTCGCTACCAGCTTATCTTTCTTGATTCTGGTGGCAGTGTGACCTTTTTCTCGTTTGTTTCTGAAACAAACGATTGTCTCTTTCACCAAAGTTGAGCGGAGTCATTTTCTTTGGCACTTGTGCTTCAAGTATGTGTGACTATGAAGCTCTGCAAATGCTCGATGTCAGCTGCTTTTATTGGATATATTGAGCGCTCATCCGAAGATGCATGAAAAGATCCTCAGAAATGAGCCTTCCTGCTTATTAGCAGAATTCAAAAATGTTTTCGTGCCAATACACGACACAACTCGTGATGACAATCATAAAAACGTCTGGCATTGCGCAGCCAGGAATAAGTCTGAAGTAGAGCAAGTCACAAGCGCTCACAATCCGAGGTAGCTCCACCACGACTTGGACGCCTCCTGCCGCCGCTCCGCCTCCTCCTGGGCGCGCCTTCGAGCGACCTGGTCCGCCTGTTTGTGGGCGATGATTCGCCACAGAGCGGCGGTCTCGACCGGGATCTCCCGGTCCATGGCCTTGATGTCCGAGTTGTCGCCCACGTTCTGCCCAGGCTGCGCTGATGTCAGCAGGCGTCCGTACAGCGGGATGTACTTGCGGCGGAGATGCGCTAAATGGACCAGGTCCTGCCAGTCAAGCGTGGCTCTGCAGGGGGGGAAAACGGGTTAAACCAATCAGGTCTATAGCCGTTGAGAAAAACGGGTGACCGAGAAGATGCAAAACTCTGAGCTTCCCTAAGGCGCAGCACCTTCTGAGTGAGAGTCGACGCTCACATGAGGACATTGTTCCAGCTTCGACTCCTGGAAAGTTGAAGGCCATGATACTGTAAAATGGAGTGCTACTCCTCGAGAGAGTTCCTGGTCGGCAGCATGACCTCTTTCTCTGGCATGTCGACCAATTTCTTCACGACGCTACGCGATTCTAAAACACGCGCTGCAAGAAAGTCATGTGCAGCAAGCAAACTCTCCGCTGAATTTGAGAATATGGGTCAGGTGTTTTCACGAAGAGTGCGTAGTCTACAATCCTTCCTCAGGTGGAGCGATAGTGCTTGCTGATCAAGGTAGGATCCGGGCAGCCATTCAGTTCGGGTATCTGAAACCACGTACACGGCATGCTTCTGTAGCGTGGCGCAGAAACGGACGCGTACATTCGTGCTGCTTAAGTTTATACCTCGCCCGATCCGCCCTACCTGTGCTTGAGCACCTGTTGCTTGACGCCCTTGAGGGCGAAGCGCCACCAGGCGCGCGGGTCCTCGCGCACTTTCTTGCGCGGCCGCAGGTGCGCCACATTCTGCAGCTTGCTGTACTTGTTGAACGACTCCAGCAGCTTCATTGCGTCGCGGAACTGGGCCTGCAAGCACGGTGGTTTCGCAGCATTCAGCAGAAGCGAGCGTTTGACTAAGCAGGGCAATCGTTCCCCGACTCCTTTACCTGTGCACTTTTCCGCTTGAGAAAGCACCGGGGTTTTCTTCTCTTACACAGTGGTCGGCAGGTCTCTGCGGTTCTGCGCAAGCACCTGTACCGCTGACCTGGACATCAGATCAGACTCCAAGGACCTCGCTCACCCTCCTTTTAATGAACTGCTTAGCAGTCCAAGCCGAGCAAGTTCGTTTAACACTCCCTGACATCTTTCGAAGCAATCTCAGACGCAATTCACCTGCTCCAACGTCAGCGTGACGTCTTGCAGCGTCGCCGACGCCATGTGCAACGGTACGTCCGGCCGCCGCTCAATCTCCTGGCTGGACAGCTTGCTGTAGCGGGCCCCGAGACTGACGGGGCGCAGCAGGTAGTGCCGCAGAGGCCGCCTTTCGTCACCTGGACAGCTCAAGCACTGTCAAAGCTCGTCGTTTCATCTTAACTTCTGACTTTATTGGATAACAAACGAGCCTTTGCATGACAAAAGTACAGCAGTATCCAGCATGTCGCACTCTCGGGCGTTTCGGAAAGCAGGCGACGTGGCAACTCTTACTGACGGACGTGCTACTTGTCCCAATCTACATCCGACGACTGTCCTCTGTTCGAAACAACAAAAGGACCAGAAAAGGTGCCTCTGATCCTCACTCCAGCTGCGACAGACAACCTTTGAAAATTCAACCCTCAGCTAGAGCCAAAGAGGAGTATCAGAATCCTCAGCACGCAGAGACCGTTGATGTTGTGAGGTGGGCTTCACTGCCAACGTATTCAAAACGCAATCATCACATTCCAGGCAGCCTGCGGTCGCTTCGTTTGTAACTTTTGAACGGGTCTTTTTCAACTTACCTTCGCTTCTCCCGCTCTGCTCCAACACGGCCACGGGCGCCGCCAGCGACTCGTCGTCGCGAATGCCGCGCTCGAAGATGGCGGCCCACTCGTCGGCGGTGAGCTCGCCCCAGGGCTTACGCACGCGGAACGGCTCCGAGTCGGGGTCGGCGTACACTGCCAACCGGGACATCTCCACGGACTGCAGACATGGTCAGAATTGTCATTTAAGTCCTGATTTGAAGCTTTGAATCTCACCGCAAGCTATCGGAACTGTACCTGCAACTCTTGCATACTTTGCAGAGGAGTTGAGGAGAGGCAAAAGTTTACTTGACGCACTACGAAGCAGGAAGGGTTACAAAGCGAATCACCGAGTAGCCCCTGCATGCGAGAAGCGCGCCGATTTTGGCTGTCATAGTCGATAAGGGGTCTCTCGGCTAATCCGGCACACCTAAAGCTGTCAACAGCACACCGAACGTTCACTTTTCAACCTTCTGTCCGTTTGGGAGACGGCACAACATGACAATACATGGTGTTCGGCAGCTCGAGCCGTTGGTTTCCAGATAGATCTGCTTGCCTTGCGCAATCGGTCCAGGGCGTTGCTGGTAGCGAAGGTTTCGTTTCCTTCCTCGTCCACAGTGACTGCCGCCAATTTGGCCAGAGTGAAGCCCATGGCGAAGAAGTGACCAGGATTGCTGCGCGCGATGCCCAAGGACAACAACGTCAGCGCAGATACACCAAAACCCACTTTGTCATCGTGGCAAGTTGTGACAGAGTGCTGTCCTAAACGTCTTTTGACGAAGATACTAAGCTGGATCGACCTGGATGAAGGAACTGGAAGTGATCGTAAAGATAGGCTATACTCGAAACACCGCTCGTTTCATTCAAGCTGCTGGTGTCTTAGGACCGTCCAGAGTGACACGTTCTTTCGTTCAAGGCCAAGTTTGAACATATGTTGCCCCTTGTGCGTGGGGCCAAGGTCGTCGGAACGCACCGTAGCAGTGTGCTCGAAAGCAGCTGTGCCGAAACGCACGCTTTGCAAGCAAGTCGATCATCATTTGTATCGGAATTTTACAAGACACAAAGGTCGACAATCAACAGCAGTCCGCACTCTCTGACTGCTTCAAAAAGGTCAAAACCGAGCCATATTTGCTTCGTCCAGCCGTGTTCTCACCTGGTGCCATCTTCGTAGCGAACGTGCACATTGGTCACCGACAGCTTCAAGTTGCCAACGATAGTGGAGATCAGGCCCTGGAGCCACCCGGAGTTTTGTTGCTGCACAAACATCGAAAGAACCAGCAAAGCGTTGAGAACAGCATACTTTGCTTTCAAAATAAACATTGAAACGTCGAGAACTGACTGGGAGGTTCGTCAACCTCGCGGAGCAAAACTCAGTCCTTCGACAAAGGGTCCCTTCCAGAACCTGCACGAAATGTACCATGTGATTGTGAAGAGAAGCTCGCGCATACAAAAGAGCTAAAACTATAGGGTCCAAACGTGTCCCTGGAAAGGACTGTCCGATTGCGGGCTGTCGACGTCAGTGATCTGCATGATCGGATTCGACTGCACCTACAGATTTGCAGCATAGACTTTTGCATCGAAAAGAAACTCCTATCACCAAGTCGTGTCTCGGAGAAGCCCAGTCTGTCGGGCTGATTGTTGGCGTCCTCGCCCTGCTTCTGCCTTACATCGGCTTTCTGTCCTTCTAATAGAATCTTAGGAATCGTCAAGAGGCCTCTGAACAACAAGCTACGGGGCGACCGACCACCCCCACTCACCGCCTCTGCGGTCGCCTTGCCCTTCTTCTTGACGTACTGCAGTTCCGCCTCCTCAATCCTCCGCCGCTTCGACTCAAACACCGCTGGAACGTCCTCCTCGTCCGGATCCACCCGAGCACGTTCCGCGCCTGCGTCAACACGATACTTCTGTTTTGGCGATTTGCTTACGTTTCGCTCAGCTGTATCGACTTCAAACCACGATATAGCCAGGTTGAGATAGGTCATGCTCTCGGGACGACTGCGGTTAACCTTGGAGATTAGGCGGGGTGTGACAGCGACTCGGTGAGTTTGTCTTCGAGGTCCTGATTTGGTGCGTCCTTCCCGGTTCCATCGTGTGGCGGCTTAAGTCAACCTGAAACCGTGGATCATCATTGGTTTGCAATCCCTTAGCTTCGATTTCATGTATTTCTCTCCTAGGCGATTGTACATCAAATTGCATGGCTTCTGATTGACCTGACTTTGGACGGTCAACAAGCCACGAAACACGCAGGAAGGCAAAACGATCGCCGGTCCCGTTGGCGCAGTGAGCTACAGCCATAGGATGAAGAGCAACTCAGTATGCCAAAGGAGGCCCGATCAAGGGTGACCATGGGAATTTCACAACCCCTCGAGTCAAGGAACGAAGGAGCGCTTTAACGCACGTGTCTGGGTGCATAAAGGACGTTCACAACGAGGAGAGGCTCAGCTATGCTCTGCCCACCTGTGTACGGCTCTGCTATGAGGAAGATGCGATCCAGCAGCACGATCACGGGCTCCTGTCCCAAGCGATTCCAGGGAACTTTCAGGGTGATGCTGCCAAGGAAGCCCGCCTTTACGCTGATGGGCAGGTCGAGGGCGTTCAGCGCCTCCGCTCGGAGCTGAAAGAGGGAAAGCGCGTCAAGAGGAGTGGTTTGGTAACCCAGGATCAGGGTACGATCGCGGTTTCAGGGCAACAAAACATCGATGCCTAGCTTTGGCAGTAGTGTTGGGGTTGGAGCCAGGGAGGCGACGCCTGCCACTACAGAGTTTGTGATCATCTGAAATCTGAATGAGCATCGCCAGTGGCGCTCTTTATGGAATCTGACAGCTGACCGCTCCAAGCAGAGCGCCTGCTTGCGAAGTGGCCTCCTAATTGGCCACTCCTCCATCCAGGTGAAAAGTCAAGCCATCATCATAAATTCGTGAAAGCTGCTGCTCCTTAGCTCAATTGGATTGATACCAGCCAAAAGTTCTACTTCCATTCTCCTCGGCCATTTGGTTCCAGCAAGCACATAGTTTGAGCACCTGCTTCACAGCCCGGCTTCGACTTGCAGACTATCTTGGACGTACTTCTGTAATGCTAAACCCGTCAAAAAGGCGCTTTCTACAATATTTTGTTCAAGCTTTCAACAGCTTCCATAACTTACAAAAGGATTTTCATTTTCTGCTTGCAGAAACAACATCATGCATGCAAATAGATCAATTATTGTTCCTAATGCTGCTTGGCGCAGCCCCTTCAACTCCTACTCAACCTTTCGTCAAGCATCCCGTCTGGCTGGGTGTTGAGTCATCAAACATGAAGGCAATCGGTCACTTTTTGAACACTTGGGGGGGCTTACTTTGAGATTCCGCAGCTCAACATCACCCTTCCACACACTGACGGACAGCGCCTCCCTGCTGAGGCCATGGACATAAGTGCCCAAGTACCTGCGGTGAAAAGCATAGCATCTGATCTCAACAAAGCTGTACTTGTTTCCGTGGTGGCTCCAGAACAAGGAGAAATGGACGCATAAAGATTGTGAACAAGCAGAGGTGAGGACTCGTGTCTTGAAGGAATGCCGAGACGAGGTGCTTGGACATAGAGCGGCCAGTAGTAAGGGCTACAACAGTGATAGAAGAGGCGGGACTTCTAACAATAAATCAGCACCACAGCAATTGCCGCTTATACGCGACAATAAATGGAGAATCAGATCTGCAAGTTGCTCCACATTTGATGTTAGAAAACACAATCCTAACCACCTCAATGACAACTTTCGAGCAGGACAATGTGAACATTTCAAGACAGCATCGCCTGCGTACCGAAACCTCCTGACATGGAAGGCCTTATGGCAGTCTAGATGATTAAAAGAAACTCAATCGGAATTCTTTCGCATCTCCAGAATCACCCCAGTGCTCGACAGCAATCGCAAGAGGGTGGTGCATCCACAGCAGGTGTTCAGCATTATCCTTCAAGATAGTCAGCACCAAGATGGCACTCGTTGCACAGGCCCGGCACAGAATGGAACCCCAAGAACAGCTAGGATCTGCACACTCTACAAACATCAGGTTCATTGAGGGCCCAGCACATGTGTATGAACAACCAACGAGATTGTGTTTAATGTACACTAACACTTGCCAAGCTTCCCAACGGTTTCATCTGGCAACCTTCAGCGTTTGCATTGGCCCAGGCTTACAATTCGTGTCGAAGTACAACTGATCAATTTGAGCATCGTTCAGTTCTTTTCTTTCAGCAGCACCGTGGGTTGTGAACGCCCATGAGAAGAGATGTACCCACCTCTGCAGCACGCTAACAAGCTGCGCTTCAAACACCATTTTGCCGTCGCCTTTGTTCGCTCTCTACTTTCAAACGTGGGTGATCATCGAAGATTGAAGCTTTTATCTGGAAAAAGGTAGTGGTAGTTTTTCAGCTCCATTTGCCACACATCTGAGCACGTCCAAAGACAAGCTTGCTTTCTTGTTGATGCAGTTACATTGTCTTTTTCCTGCTTGCATGCAATCTTCACCGACCGTGCAGTGCAATGCCAGCATCAAAGTCCATGTCTGTTTGCTGGTTGGGGCAGCTTCTTGATGAACAGCTTTGAGACTCACACCCTCCTGTCTCCTGTCTCCTGTCTCCTGCTTTCTCCTGCACAGGGGCATTGAACTTATGCAGATTATGCAGGCAGGGGAATCTCTTTAGGGCAGCCGCCTGTAGATTCCTGCCACTTGGCGACCTACCACGGCGTCAACCACGTGAAGATCCGAAACCGTCCATAAACCCTCAGAAAACTTCTTGACCGTCGGATAAGCAGACGCATCCCGGGGTTCGTTATGTTGGTTATGGTTTGTCAGTACTAACTTCTGCCACCAGCTCTTCTCTTGCATACGAGAACCATACGAGTGGAAGGAGAGAAGGATACACCTAGCTGCTTCGGAAAACGTGCTTACGGTTGACGAAATGGAGTATGGATGGATCTGATTCATACAGCGACGTGTCCAAGTCACTACATCAAGAAGAGATGGGGGGCCGACCGAGCGCGAGGTCAGCGTGAACGCGGTCTTCTTGCGAATATAGAAGCCATCTGACATAAAATGAAGCTGTAAACAGACAGGGAGACAATTCAACCGCTTTTCAAGTTTGCAAGACGAAAAGGCCATGCAAGGGCCGGCGTCGCATATCAGACACCGTGTCCAAGCTAGATTGAACGCCAAAAGGACGAGGAAAGGACTTCCGTACCTTGATAATACGCCGTCGGATCATTCGAATGATGGCTCATGGTAGAGATTTCGCCGTCGGGGGAAATGATGGGCAAATATCAGTCCTTTTTATACTAGCATAAGCTCCCTTCATGCTTAACCAGTTGCGATCAATGCGTTCTTAAAGATTTGTGGAAATATTGCGGTGGAATTGTTGATAGGTTGAGCTAGCTCTAAAATTTAAGTTAGTTCTTGCAAGCTCGTCCGATCGATAGCTGAGTGCCAGATATTAATTGCATCCTAAAAGCGATTTCCATGTGCATGTTAAATCCACTTCGCCGGCGCGACCATCTCAGCTGCCTTAAGCCGGCGCTAATCATTGTTCATATGCAACCGTAGTAAGGCAACTGTAAAATATATACCATGAAATATGGACCTGGCACGTCATTAACTGAAGCAGGCATGCAACTCTTGCACATGTCGGATTGGATCGATAACATCGAACGCGGGTAGTGCGCATGCCACATGGGCCCTTCACCGCAATTGTACACTTAGCTATATACAATCAGATTCTATCGGCCTGTTATCCACATCTATACCACGAGTTTAAAGCTTGTCGAGCGACTACTTGCTCCATCTCGATCAAACGCAGGTTTATCTGACAGGCTAAGCACACAAAAAGTCTATATCAAACCCTTAGGTGTTCTGCGGGGGAACGCCTTACTTTCGAACTTGTTACGATTATAGGGTGCGTTTGGCGATATATGCGAAGCATGACAGAGCAATCAATCAAGCGCAGCTTATTGCACCGCGCGCGCAATATCTGAATTTAGTAGGTGTCACTTCCAAGCCGGCAACCACGTGCTGCAAGCATACGTGGCAATGCCCAAACCGGCGGCCACAACCGAGGCCTGCAATGCCATCCACGTTCGGTCCTCCCGCTCCTTTTGGGCGAGGATGCGTCGGAAGGGAGTCGTCGTGAAAAGCATGAAGAAGGAAGGCCTGCATACATAAGAACCAAAAGAAGAATGCTTTAGTAAGCTGACAACAGCGAATAATGTCGCCTAACCTGTAGAGCTGACGCAAACAATTGCAAGCTGTCAGTGGATAAGGGGTCATGTCCATGTGGGCCGAATAACGAGCGGGGTTGATTGACCCGCCGCTTTGCTAGAGATACTAAAGAAAGAGTGCCTTCAATCCAGTAAAAAGCCGAGAAAGGAACTGGCCTTGAACAATCTCAGACATAAGCGGAGCCCGTAGTCGCTGAAAGGAACTTACGTGCCGATTAGGGGGGGCGCCAACTTGGACAGCATAATGATGCCCACGAACTTGATTCGCTCCAGAAAGGTGCGCGGAAAGAAGCGCTTGGCGTTCAGGGCCTGGATTGCGCGCGCGTCTGGCAGGCGGCGCGCAGTGAACTCTTTTAGCGCCTTTGGAATGGCCCCAGGGCTCGCATCGCCTGCAACCAACAATGAATAATTCTATTTTGCAACGAGTTACGAAGCCAGAAAAGCTTGAGAAGCATTCATGCTCTCCTGACGAAGTTCTTGCACAACCTTCCAGAGCGACTGTACGGCCCTCAAAAAGGGGACGTACAGTCATCTTTGCGGTCATTGCGACGACGTTTCGCTTATGAGCCTTTAGCAACGTCATGAATTGCAATCGTTGAGTTAGCGAACAGAGATCAATCGATGTTCAACCCGCACGTGCTCGAGCGAAAGATGAAGTCTAAAAATATATAGTTCGGAAGTTTTGAAACTCTGGTTTCCAGTTCCAGATTCTCAGCGACTTAAATGCAAGACACGTGTCCACACCTCGTACGCCAAGCGCATCCAGAGACTCGTTCAGCACTAAACAGTCCTCGATAGCCGTGTTGCAGCCCTGGCCCAGCTCGGGAACCTGCAAGGAGGAAAGGAGGAGGTAATTCAGACGGTCTAGAGCTTCGCAGGCGCGGATCATCCTTCTCGAAAACCCTCTCATGAATGGCCCAGAGCGTTCAAAGCCGCAGGCGGAAAGGCGGACTGAGAAGGTGAACCAGGAATTAGCAAGTCGGCTTGAAAACGTCCGTTCAAGTGTACGTACGACCGCAACGGAATCATAAGATACTCTTTGAATGGCCTTCTTGAAGAACGATACCTGCGAGCGGGTGAGCGGGATGATACGTCCGCCCAATACAGACCTACTCTTGCAGGTCTCAAAATCGTGGCTTATTCAAGGGACGTAGTGTGATCACAGTCTCGCAAAGTGCCGGACCTTGCAGAGTGTATCCGCCGTTGCGGGCTGGCCTCCACCGTCACGCCCAATCCAGAACACTGCCCATCCTCTCTTCGGATTCGACCTTCCCTTTTCTCAGCTGTAAGTCCTTTGTCAGAAATATAAAAAAGTGCGGATATTCCAACCGGCGGCACTCCCCCAGTCGGTCTCACCATGCTGTGCGCGGCGTCCCCGACCAGCACGACGTGCCCTGAGTGGAATCTCGAGAGCACGGTAGTCGTCCCCTGGGGAATCGCCGGCTGCTCCACAAACTGCTGCGCGAAGTCCGGGTTGGTGTCCTGGAGGAGGGGCAGCAGGGTCGGGGCCTCCTTGCTGCCGGAAAGAAACGTACAGAACTACGTTAGCTAGGAACTGATGTAGTTTATCTCGAAAAGCATGAACGCAGTAAGGTGAGTAAGATGGTGTCGGGGGGGGAGGACAACCATGAGTATTAATATTTAGAGTAATCAAAGAGAGTACCTCAGCTCAACGAAGCGCGGGACTCCATAGGATGTCCGGGGCACCGAGGAGGAAAGAAGAGGGACGCTAGATATAGGTCTGGGACCGGAAAGGAGAGGAAACATGAACGAGAGGAGAAAAGGAGCGGGGAATCGAGCGTTGTCTTTATTTCAAGGAAATAAGAGATTGTCAAAGTAGGGATTAAGCAGTGCGTATCAAAGTCAAACCGATATATCAAGCTGGAGATGCCGCCGCTGACCTCAAAGCTGACGTCACCGTCTCAGGCGACGTGGCGCCCACGAGCCGCGGAGCCATCGACCCGCCCCACAGGCTGCCGTCACCTGAACGGACAATGACGTCATTAATCTTCTTTCCCGAGCCCATTGTCTCCTATGAGAAGCATCGAGCTGCCTGAAAACTTTGGAATCAACTCTAAAACAGCAGTCGCTAAGCGAGCATGAGAACACCGAAGCGAACGGTCGACACCGCTGGCTCCATAAAGAAGTAGTTAGGGAAGCTCCTTACATTGAGCACAGAAGGTTCAGACTGTGCCTACCGAATAGGACAATAGCAGGGCGAAAATGGAAGTATGAAATCCCTATTATCACGAACAAGCTCTTCAACAGGTATCCAAAGACTGTTATTGCAAACAGTGTAGATCGCTTAGCACTCAGCCGCAGTTGCGGGACGGTGTCAGGAAGTGGCACTATAAAAATCTCATCCCACCTTACGACGTAGTACGGTGACGGCCACTGGACCTCCAATCCCAGAGGCCAAAACTCGTAACTTTGCAGACATTTCGAGAGCTCCAAACAGGTTAAAGGAATTTAAGCAGGCTTTGACACGTACCCATGGGAACCATCATGATGCCACTCTGCCACACGTTCAGGTACTCGCGAGTGGGCCCCTCGAAGCCGTGCCGCAACGCCACCGAGGGGGGAATCACCAGAGTTTTGTACAGGGTTAGGGACATGGTTTGAGAGCAGGTGAGCTCGCTGCAGAGCAGAAGAGCGCAGGTTGAGGATCTTTCGCAACTTCGTGCTGCCAAACTCTTCTCTTCTCTTCGTTATTCAACTCTGATTATCTCTTAATTCGTGGACAAGGACTTCTGGGGATCAGTGGCTCTTTGCCTTGCAGCGTTGAGCTTCGGGGCTTAAGGCGCTGGACGCTTGAGCTTTCGGAAAAGGCCTTGCAAAAGCAAAGCTCTGTTTGATTGCATTCTTGAACCGAGCTTGCAGTCTTCTTTGATCGCGAGCAATTTCGGTTACCCGAAAACCCAAGCAGGTGAACTACAAACGAAACATGTTGCACAGCGAGAAGTGTCGCCTTTGCCTCTTCTACGAGGCGGAAGAACAAAGAAGTAGAAGCAGGCTGAAGAGGGGTTGATGCAACCAATTGCACGTTAGGAGTCAGGAGTACTAAAAAGACCAAGGGTATCAGTGAAGAGAAGGAGAGAGTGGCGAACGGAGAAAATTCAGTCCTTTCAGAAGGTACGAAGCAGACGAGACATAAGGGACCGATAAGAACAGGTTGCACCAAGCAGACCCAACACAATGGTTCAGTACCGCAGCAGAAACAGGAGGTTTACAAAGCAAGAATTCGCGCTTCGTACCATTCTCCTGCGGGTGTGCCCTCCGCCTCCTCTTTTTTCAGCAGATGCGTGCGGACACTGCTGCTGACGCCGTCCGCACCAACCAGCAGATCGAACGGCGCCTCCAGCAGCTCGGTGCCTTCCCGGACGTCCGCATCAACCCCGTTTCCAGCGTCTGAAGTGGTCCGGACCTTCTCAAAGAGGGCAACCCGGCCACCCTCCTTAAACCCCACGAACCCGTATCCCAAGTGGATCCGCGCTTTGTCAGGAAAGCTGCACGGGAACGCAGAGGAGGCCATCTTAGCGTGATCCGAATGTTTACGTCTCTAAGAAGGCTCCGGCAGTCAGCATTCGAAGACGTACAGGCTGGGAACCGTCAGCTTACGTGTTGCCAGCTGGCAGCCCAGTTCCATGTGCCACGATCCTGACTGAAGGTCGTGAGCAGGGTTTAGCTTTAAACCGGCTTTTCTTGATGATGACACGAATTTCAGGCAGATGAGAGGACTTCTCCTCTTTGGATGCCTAGACCTTATCTGAGCATTCACAGGTCAGAAAAGTCATATATCTGGCGAGGAGAACTGGCATTGATAAGGCGAGCTTGCAGGGTTGTTTCTCTGTATAAGCAAAGAAAGGCACCCATGAGATTGACTCAGCGCCTCAATACTAAATCAAAGGTTGAGGCAACTTGTCGCATGACTAAATGCCCTCCTTATCTGATCAGGGGCCGCTAAATTCGGCCTCACCCAGTGACAAGACAGCCGTGCTTTTCAATGCAACCAGATTATCAGCTGAGTCAATCCCTTTACAAGCGCGTACTCCGGTGAAAACCTCGCTCACCTATCCTGCAAGTGGTGCAGTAGCCACGCCGTCAGTGTTTGCCGCGCAACAGTCCGGTTGTCCGTTGTTGCTCCATACTCGTTTTGTACGACCTTTCCAGTCTTGAGGTTTCGTCGGCTACCTCGGATGCGCTGCCCGATCCAATGAGGGAGCTCGACGCCCGCCGCGTCGAGAGCAACGAACGCGCGCTTGGTCAGCATCATGGCATACGAGCGCGTCTCGCTGCGATCGAAGACGGTCGCCCGAACCTCCTCCTTTGTCAAATCTGCACAACCGCAACAAAGGCTAGCTGGCTCTCAAGTTGCGGAAGAGGGATTGAGTTTGAAAAGAATGGTTGCTTTTGCGACAGGAAAAGCAACCACATGATTCTTAGATTTTGAGTCCCGCTTCCTTCGATTTAGAATCAAATCCAGAAGGTCCAAATGCATATAAGCGCCACATCTGCCATTATGGAAATCAGTAGCCAACTTGGTCACTAAGATGCCATTTGACCAACAGCTTGGTTGAAGCGTGCTCTTAGTACAGAATCTGCCCGCTTTCATAGCCCTACAGGCTGACGATCTTCTCGTAGGCAGCAGGTCTGCAGACTGAATATGCCCACTTCTGGCCAGTTCACAAACAGGCTTCTAAATCCGGCTGGGGGTATTGATTGAAGCCCTCCTGTACATCCCTTGCAGTTGCCAAGAAAGAGGAAGTACCTGCTGTCTCCTGCGGCCGAGCGATCCCTGCTCGGCGTTCAAACACTTCGACCTGGAAGCCCCTCTTGGCCAGAAAGAACGCCGTCACGCATCCCGCAGGTCCGCCGCCAACGACCACCGCCCTCAGGGGAGCCCCATTCCGCCCCTGTAAGAAGTGAGTACGAAGTTGATAAGCTAGAGCTAGTCTGCACTTATGCTCGTTGAACGCTCTGGGCTGTAGCAGAAGAGTGTCGCCAGGCTGCGCGGCTTCTATGAGATGGAAACTATTGGCCCTGTAGCCAGAAGACAATAATCAGCTGCAGGTCCTATGGTTCTACATTGGGGTGTTGAAAATGTTCGAGGAGGAGGTCAAAGATGTGCTAATCATAAGGAGTTGAGGGCAGCGGAGGGGGACGGAAAAACAAGGTGAGGTAAGGGGTGACCTGAATATGCATCTTTGAGGGCACTTTTTGCCCACGGTGTTTCAGGGGGATCCCTGTGGAGACCAAAGAAAAGTGAGAGTGTTCTGAAGGGAAGGTAAGGCCCTGCATTTGGACAGTAATGCCCCACAGGGGAGGGTTCAGGTATGCAAGATTGTGCTGATGGCTCTTTGTTCTGGACTCAACAGCATAGAGCGGTTAACTTTCTTATTCCCAGAATAATCAGCTGCGCATCGTGCCAGCAGAGTCCAGCATTGCACACAGACAGAGCTTTTTATTGCCACTCCCTGAAGAGATCCATGAAGAGATCTAAGTAGGATAAAGGCAGGCCTGAAAGCCTCAGGCCTTCAGGCCTTTCCATTATCACCAAACCCAGGATCTGAATCGCACCTCATGATGACACATAAGTCGCCGCCGACAGGATAAGTCAGCACATTCTCAACAACGGGGACACCTCAAGAGGACTTGCGGATGCAAGCTCTTTGCCCCAAATAGCGGCTGCAATACTGTGCTGTCAAGCCACAATGCTGCAAAACCTTATGACATACCTCATCCTGAGGAGGGGTCCCCATCATACTCTCCGGGTTGCTCTTTTGCGATGCCCCTGATGCTTGTTTCCGGAATGCTGCTGGAGCGTCCTTTCACGAATCAGCTGCAGCGCTGGCAGTCTTCAAAAATGCGGAGCTGGGTATGTGGTGAAAATGAGGCAAAGAACTTGCGTTGTAGGAGAAAAACCTAAGCACGACTTTAGCACTCTTCTTCCAGAGGTATAGGGGTCACATTTGCTGGACAGCTGACAACCTGAGGTTGTTGAGCTCACTTGCCAAGCGCCTGCGGAAGACGACAAGTTCATATACAGGCGAGAGTTTTGCTTGGGCGGCGGGCCCCTTCGGCTTCGCTCGAGTCTCCGCCGGCGCCGGCGCAAGGTTGTTTGCCTGAGTCGGCCGCCAACAGTGTGCAATGATCAGTCGAATGATTGCACTTTGCAGAGCTAGACGCGTGCACGGCCGCGTGCACGGTCTGTATGCACTGTGCACGTCTCTCGTCAACATCCCGCCGTTAATCCGTTGACTATCCAAGCCCGTACGATTCATTGCTCAAAATGGGTAAGTCGTGGCATTAGTTCGTCCGTACGATGAGACTCGCATGTCGCTGACCGTCCCGTGGCAAGACATTTCGCAACCGTCAGATAAGTACATGAGAAGGAGATCCATGAGAAGGAGATCCACGGCTTTGAGATTCAAAGCTTCACTGCGAGAAGGATGCAGCCGATCGTTCTTTCGTTCTTTGGAGAAGTCATCATGGCATCTTCTGATACCTCTCAGTGTTGAATACAGCGGGGAGCCCTAATTCATCTTTTACCACGGAAGCCAGAAAGCCAATAAGCCAAAGGCCGCGCGCACGAAGCCGCACCATGCGCACTCCCCGCGCACTCCTGTGCTAAGAATGCAGATTCCTAGGCGCGCGCAGCACTGATCAAACCACGCCAGGCTTTTTTACCAGTATAGCCACTTCGAATTCAGGAGTCATTGGAAGCATTGTGATCGAAGCAGCTTTTTGCAAGAGTCCGCCCACACCACAATTACGCATTAATATCCAATCGGACGCTCTTAAAGCCCTTCCCTCGTCGTTACCTTCCACATACACCGCTTCCTCGCATCTGGTCTCCCTGGTTGCGTTATGCCTGCTCAAATCACCGTAAACGCAGGATTCCGAAGTCTCCGGTCTTCGCCTACCGTTCCGTCCTGTTCCTCCTTGCCAGCTTAAAAGCAATTCGAGATGCAAAATAGTGTTGGCAACGAAAGTTGTGAACGACGATTTTCGGAATTTCAAGCTGCATTCAGTGGCGGCTTGTCTTCAAAGAGCCGGTGCAAATGAACTCCCGACAGCCGATTGATGTCGACGACGAAGGCCATGAACAGGGCGGCACCCCGTTGCAGGTAAGTGGCGCTCAGGAAATGCGATCTGTACATACAGTCGAAGTAACGCTGAACATCTTCCTTCAGACTTGCAAACTTGGACCTCTATTCTGTGAGTGTAGATCGATCAAGCATCTCCTGAACCTAGCTTGAACTTTTTTGTAACGAAGCCAAAATCAGGACGTAGCAGGACTAGAGCGCACTTCAAAGAGAAAGCAGCAAAGAGAATTTGGTTCTGAAATATCATCTTCAAAGCTCTATGCAGAAAAAGGAAACTGTCTCGACAGAGAGAGCTTCGGTTTTTTGTTTCTATGTACAGAGCCTATGGCACAAACTTCTCAATCCCTGACTTCGAGAGCCACTTCAGGCACACAAGTTTAGCTGGCTCTATACCATGCGGACTACAGCTCCACAAGTGAAGTTCAGACTGCCCAGAGGATGCACTTAGTCGAATCACATACTCCTTCTTTTTCCTCCTCTCGACAGCCCACTTCCCTGAAAGCCTCAACATCGTGCCTGTGGAAGGGCTGGACAGGGTCTCAAGCACGACGTATGACTACGTCATTGTGGGGGGAGGTGCGGGGGGCTGCCCTTTGGCTGCCGCTTTGGCAGAGGACAAGTCTTTGAAAATCTTGCTGCTCGAGAGGGGAGCATCTCGGGAAAAGTACCCAGAGACCTGGGTGAGGCTTCGCCGGAGGTACTTCGCTTCGACCACATCTGAAAGGAACTCTGCGCTCTCATCTGCTCTGGAGTGCACGTGTGCTTTGTAAACTACGCTCAATCTTCACTCTGCCAAGGACCGCTTGTTTGTGTTGGTCCTTGACTGTTGGATCTGTTGTTGAAGCGTATTCAGAAAGGCCAGCCAGACAGAAAATGATCTCCACAACCTTTGGGCATGCGCGCGCCGCCACTTCCAACGACTCTCACCGTGTGCAATGCAGACCCAGCTCGGCTGGTTCGATCTGCCCAATAGCGAGGCCCTCCAGCTGTCTCGCGAAGCAAATGGGGTCTGGTTCGCCAGAGGCAACGTGAGCCTCTACCAGGTTCTCAGAGTTCAGCTCACAAACAAAGTTTCTCAAGATCTATTTTTTCTTCAATGTCATCCCGTTTGCGATAGAGCATCTTGCGACCAACTTGATCGGTTCCGGCTAGCCCCAGCCAGTTTCGAAGCTGAAACCATTCTCATCACAGAAACTCTTCGCAAAATCTCAGAGTAGCTGACCAATGAACCTGGGGTAGAAGATCTGATAGTGACCAGCTCTCTTCCTGGCGTAATTTGCCACTTTCTTGATCCAAAAATTATCCATCTCACGTCTCGAAACCGGTCCGGTTTTCCAGGTCTTGGGTGGGGGCACCTCGGGCAACCACGGCGTGTGGGGCCATGCAACTGGCGAAGAACATCCGGGAGGAAGGGTTGGATCCCGATGCGATTCGGAGCACGGACGAGTACCTGGGCGCCCGCTTGACCCACCCGGACATCAATGGCCCGGTGAAAATGGCTGCCCACAAGGCCTGGGAGGAGGTCGGACTGGACCCGAACGGGGGATCACCCCGAAGCACGTCGTAAGTGCTCTTTCAAAGCAGTGTCTCCTCTTATCGGAGCATCAGTCTCTGCATTTACGACTCTCGTCATAACAACAGGTCAAAAGCGAAGAGCGACGTACGCCTTCCCATCGCTTCGTTACATGACAATGGCAGACGAGCTTGGAGATCGGCTTTCCTTCTCAGATTAATCGAACCGTCTCTAGTTTGATCGAATCAGCGCCGCAAAACCGTCGTTCGTGCAAAGTTACTTCTGAATCAAATCGTTCCCAGATTACCCTCATTTTGAAACAGCTCGGCAAGTCTCTGCACCGAGCTTGAGTCCTCGTACACTAGCTTGCGTCCTCTCTCCGTTTGCCAAACGCAACTCGAGTTTTCTACAGCTGCCACCGTTAGCCAGAACAGTCGCAGCGCTCGCAAACGATGGCTTCATGAATGTGGGCTTCTTGTCCGCAGCGCCGCATCAAGACTGTCATGCGGACGTGGACCTGGGATCAGAAACGTCGCGCCACTGATGAGCTGCTGGTTGGACTGGACAACGTCGACATCGTTACCCGAGCACTCGTGTCCAAGGTCCGGATCACCCATACGGACGGTAAGTTCGTACAACCTGCATTTGTCTGTGCGGAGACGTCCTCGGGGTCACTTTTGTTACAAGATTTCAGCGGAGTTTACTAACGGCGGTTTAATGGATGAGGGTTCGAGAGCACGACTGCTTGGACAAGATCTGATGACTTTGGCTTCCTCTAGAAAGCATCTGCTCTTGGTGTCGAAGCCAGCACAATCCCTTTCCGCTTTCAAAGTTATCTTTTCTTCGTAGCGATAGCGACAGTCGTTTTGAAACCTCAGAGCAGCCCTCTACTGCTCACTTAGACAGCCAGACGTCTCGATGTTTCCTTTCTCCCTTCTTGAAGTCCAACGGAGTGCATCGTGCACTCACATCTTCGGTAATGCGAGCTCGTCAGCTGGACAGGTAACCAAAAAATATATGTATGTGTGAAACCAAGGGGAGTTCAGCATAGCCCAGAATAGCCGACCGGTTCGCCGCTCACTTCGGCCCAGGGAAACCGACCCCGGGCACCCCTGTCGAGAAGACGTAAGCGGGTACCGCTCGAGCAGTGAGGCCCATCAGGAATCTATGACATTTCTCGATCCTCCTCAGGCGACCTCAAGGCGGTGGGCGTCGACTTCACGGCCGCCGATAACGCCGCCCGCCGCGCTGACGTCACCTTCGGCCCTGGTGAGGTCATCCTGTGCGCGGGTACGGTGGGCCCCCCCCAGCTGCTCGTCCTGAGCGGAATCGGCCCCGCGGGGGCGCTGGAAAAGCTGGGACTTTGCCCCGCGGGGGCGCTGGTTAAGCTGGGACTTTACCCCCTGGTCAACCTCCCGGTCGGGCTTAACCTGGCCAATAACCCGCTGAATACGATCGCGGTCCAGCTGAAGGAGAAGAATGAGGGGTCCGTTAACTCACCGTTGCGATTACGGATAAGCATATTTTCAAGCGTGGCTGGGGCAAAAAGGGGCGACGCATGCGGCGCTGTGGGGAATGGTCTCGATGCTGCCCCCCGCCCCGCGCGCGCGCGAAGCGAGGGACGCGATGACGGCGGCAAACCTGGCGCTGCCGGAAGAGAACCAGCCGGAGGAGCTGAACCGCATGTTCGTGCTTGCATTGAAGGTACGCCAGTTCGCAAATTCTTTCCTTTCTTTGTAACCTGGGGGGGAGGCTGTCTTCCTTCTGGTTGTGAAAACTGACCGACTGCTCGGTTGGCCGATTTTTGTATCGTTGCCTCTAAATCTAAATTTACCTGTATTTTGACAGCCGTGATGACGGCTTTTCCATTCTTCTTGTTTCTAATTTGGCCTCGTAAAGTCAGCTCTCTGACACACGGTCAAAAGGTCCGAGTGCTGCGTGACCGCTCGTGGTTAGAGTGAGTTCCGAGCTTTTCGAAGGTTCATGCCTATGCAAGCCACAAAAGCGGGCCGGCAGCTTTCGGAGATCTTTTATATGGTTCTTCATGTCGCTCCACGGGTTGTTGGGGTCTGCCTATATTTGCGAACCGGGCAGTTGCTGCTTGGCAAATGATCGTTGCTAACTTCAAATCTCCCTTAAGCGGTGCCAACCTTCACCTTTACAAAGTCCGATGCATATAGTCATTTGCGTTTTGGGCGGCGCAGTTGTAGTCGGGCCCCATCCTACAGCTGACTTGCTAAATCAGGTATAAAACGCAGCCCACTTTCTTTCTGCATCCGGCCCCGATGGGGGCCCCGTTGGGCCGAAGACAAGACCCCTTTTGTGGGAGTGCTTATCACGAGAAATACCTGGCTTGTCATCCGAACACAGACAATTAGCAAGCACGAATCCGGACTGGTTTGATCTCGATCTCATCCTGGCCCGCAGCTGTACCGGGTCAAGTCCCGGGGGGCGGTGACCGTCACCTCCACCGACCCCGCCGCTGCGCCAACAGTCGACTTCGCGTACTATTCGCCCATCCGGACAACTTTTCGGACGCCGTTGAGGGCGTCCGAGTCCTCAAAGCCGTGAGTCCGCCCTGAACTCCCTTAAATGCGAAAACGTGCCCGGGACGCTCCTCCGGCTGGCGCCCGACCTGGCGAACCTCCCCCCCGGGGCGTACCGGGGCGCCTTGCCGCTGATCCCCGACCTCGATGACGAGTCAGCGGCTGCCACGTGGCTGAAGGAGAACGTGTGCACGAGCTGGCACATGCACGGCAAGTGCCGGGTGGGGGAGGTCGTGGATGAGGAGCACCGGGTGAAGGGCGTCGGGGAACTGCGCGTCATGGATGCGTCGGTCTTCCGCGACTCCCCGGGGACTAACCCCATGGCAACGATCATGGCCGTCGGGTGGGCGCTCGGCCTGCGGATGCGCAAGGAGCGGGGCACGAGAACGGGTGACGTCAGCGAAAGCGGCTCGCTTTGGTACGAGACTGCTGCGCGAGTGCACCCAGTGCTCAAGAGTAGAGAGTTGGAAAATGGCCGCGCGGTGTAGTCTTAGTACTGAAATGGCTCGGAGAAGCGGAACTTGAGACTCTTCGAGTCGCGGGTCTTCCTTCAAATCGGAGGCTTCAACGTGGACACCGTCGACTTCGATACGACAAAGCCAACGGGCCTTTGAATGTCGGAGAGTCGACACGCCTGGCGCAGCCTGGGCCTCTCCCGCTCAATAGGAAAGGTATCTTATACCACTGTGGCCGTGAGCCTCTATTGAAGGAGCCTGCCGAATATACACCTCCCTTGTCAGCACGTTGATCCGACTCCGGTATACATGTTTCCGGCTCCTCGTCGGTCGTCCATCTTCGCCATATTCCTCAGGGTTTGATTTAGCCCCGCCTCTTGCCTTCAGGCCTAGGGGTGCGGTTTGGGATTCCGCGCATTCTAGCCTCGTGCCCTGGTGGGCAGCCAAGAGACGCAGCGGCGGTATTGGGAGCCTGAACGGTTGGAAGTGATGTTGCATCGAGGACACGCAATAGGAGGAGCGACGCAGCTCTTGACGTGTTTCGAGTCGGGGACCTGTTCGGCTCCTTGCAAGCTGCATGTATGGTTGTAGTTTAATGAATTGAGTCCACAGCGAAAACTGTTTAGAGCTCTCGAGTTGTACAGAACCACGTGCCTTGTACATTACCTAGTCTACTAAATTTCCAGTATGAAGCTGAACCCTAGCTTCTAAGGTAGGACCACGTACACGTGTGACATCAGATCTTTTTATATGAACCTATCTATTCGTAAGCTTTGCAGCGTGCTTGGTAGAAGCCCGTCAAAGCAGTTCATTCAATTCCACTCATCATTCTAACATAAAGGACGGAGCCGCTCATGGTATCATGATCGAGAGAATGCTTACATATGGAACCACGAAACCGACCACGTAATGCATTTGCACAATCTGTCTGCCGTGAGGCCCGGCTGAGCAACCAACGTTTGGATCACCATCTATGAGCTGAGGACCACTACTATAGTTGGCTTTATTCAAATCGGTGCTTCTATGCCAGAGTCTTCGGTCAGGTTCGGTCCGCAGGTGTTACATGTCCGTGCTAGTGCCCTGAGCAGTGGCATCAAAGGATGGCACCTCGCACGCAAGGGGCCTAAGTCGTTTTGGCAGCGTTGAGGGATTGGACTCATATGAAATGTTTCTGCACAGTAGTTAACAAGCAGCATTGATCCGACGGATTAAGTGGCCGGACGGTAGCTTCACGCGGGCGCGCCAGGCCTGCATGGTGGCCGCCCGCATCCGCGGGCTTGTACAAGTACCGATACCAATCACGCCAGGCTTGATCAGATTGTTGCATGTGCACGTATAGACGCGCATGGCCAGCTTTATGGCTCGACTCTATATCTAGCGGAACGTGCACCTGCGCCGGAGCGCGCTTGTCAAATATGCACATATGCTGAATGATCGATTCATCGATTCGGCGCGGTCAAACATGCTGCATACACGATGAGACGAAAACGATCACAGCTATGGAATGTCGCGACCCGCCGTGAAGCATAGCTATTTGAAGCATCCTGTGTCAAGCTATGCTTCACGACAGTGAATGTCAAACGATGCCATACCACGGAAAATCGCAATCCATTGCGCATGCTTTTCATGCTAGGGACCAAGTTTTGAATCTGAGAAACACACCCTTTTCATATCTGTGGGCTACTTAAATGTAATCAGGGCGACAATGGTAATGATTGTCTGGTGCGAGAGGGCGCGCACGCGTTCCTTTGCAGAGGATCGATCCGTCTTGACGACACAGGCCGTTGAAGTTATGACCTCACGTAGAGATTGAACCAGTATCAGGTCACACAGATGTGTATAAGCCGCGGCAGCAGCCGGGCTTGCGTAGAGGCCAATTCAAGGTTGCAGTTCTACAGTTACAAGCAAGCCGCCACGGCCTCACTGATCCAAGATGCCGTTTCTTTTGGTCGAAGAGGCCCAGGCGTGTCGACTTTCCGACCTTCTTAGGACCGTCGGCTTTGTCGTATCGAAATCGACCTTGTCCACGTCATCCACGTTGAAGCGTCCAATCTCAAGGAAGACCCGACTCACTCCTTGCTCCAAGACACTACAGTATTGTGCTCAAAATCCGCTTTTACAAGCCGTTACAGTCCCTAGTAAAGTTTCGTCACCCGCAGATGCTAAGTGGACAAGCGTTGTGTTGAATCAAGCACTTTCCAAGCTCAGGTTGCGCCGCCAGTCTCCAACTCTCTACTCTTGAGCACTGGGTGCACTCTCGCAGATCTCCTACCAAAGCGAGCCGCTTTCGCTGACGTCACCCGTTCACGTGCCCCGCTCCTTCCGCATCCGCAGGCCGAACGCCCGCCCGACGGCCATGATGGTGGCCATGGGGTTAGTCCCCCGGGAGTCGCGGAAGACTGACGCGTCCATGACGCGCAGTCCCCCGACGCCCTTCACCCGGTGCTCCTCATCTACAACCTCCCCCACCCGGCACGTGCCGTGCATGTGCCAGCTCGTGCACACGTCAGCCTTCAGCCACGTGGTAGCCGCCGACTCGTCGTCGAGGTCAGGGATCAGCGGCAGGGCGCCCCGGTACGCCCCAGGAGGGAGGTTTGCCAGGTCGGGAACCAGTCGGAGGAGCGTCCCGGGCACTTTTTCCCACTTCAGGGGGGTCAGGGCGCGGGAGTCACGGACGGCCTTGAGGATGCGGACGCCTTCGATGCCGTCCGAAACGTCGTCCGGGTGGGTGAAGTACGCGAAGTCGACTGTTGGCTCGGCGGCCGCGTCGGTGGAGGTGACGGTTACGGAACCCCGCGACTTGACCCGGTACAGCTGCGGGTCAGAATAAGATGGAGATTAAACTGGTCCAGAATCAGGTTTCCAAGTGTTTCTGTGTTAAGATTACAAGCCTGGTATCTCTGTTCAGAAGCACTCCCTACAAAAGGGGTCTTGCTTTGGGCCCAATTACGAGACCCCCAACGGGGCTGGATCCAAAAGAAAACTCAACTAATACGCGTCTTGGAACGGATCGAGAAAGTCAGCGTGTCGGATACCCGTCGGATAGGGCCAGACTGCAGTCGCGCCGCTTGAAGAGCAATATTTTGTATGCTTCGAACTTCGGGAAGGTGAAGGTTGGCACCATTTAACGCGATTTCTGAGTGGGCTTCGTTCATTTGCCAAGAAGCAACTGGCCGATTTGCAATAGGCCGACCCCAACAAATCATCAAGCGACATAAAGAACAACATAAAAGCTCTCCAAAGGCTGCCGCCCGCTTTGCCGCTTGCATAAGCACGGAACCTTCGAAAAGCTCGGAACTCACCCCAACTACGACCGTTCACCGAGTACACGGGCCTTTTGACCGTGTTTCGGAGAGCTGACTTTACGAGGCCAGATCAGGTAAAGAAAGTCAGAAAACCGGTCATCACGGCTGTCGACGTACAGAAATTAATTGTTGGAAAAGGCGATACAGAATCCGGCCACGCAAAGGATTGGTCAGTTTTCACATACAGACGGAAGAAAACCTTTCTCCCGACGCAATGAACGGAAAGAACTTGTAAACTGGCGTACCTTCAATGCAAGCACGAGCATGCGGTTCAGCTCCTCCTGGTCCTTTTCCAGCAGCGCCAGGTTTGCCGCCGTCATCGCGGCCATCGTTTCGCGTGCGCGCGCGGCGGGGGGCAGCATTGGGACCAATCCCCACAGCGCCGCGTGCGTCCCCCCTTTTTGTCCGACCCACGCATAGTAAATGTGCTTCTCCGTAATTGCAACGGTCGAATCAATGGAACCCTCACCTTCTCCTTCAGATGAACGGCGATCGTACTCAGCGGGTTATCGGCAGGTTAAGCCCGACCGGGAGGTTGACCAGGGGGTTAA